ATTTTACGTCCTGGAGGTCCGCCAGACGAAAAACAATACATAGAACATGCTTATATTTACGCGTGTATTTTGACGCGTCATCATATTGGCGCGAATTGGGGAACGGAAAGGCGAATGACCACCAACCAATACAAACAATACAAGCCATATATTGCCAGTATGGAAGGCGCCATATTGTATCGTCACAATATGACGGCGAGCATATTGTATTGGTACAATATGAGAAATCGCGTATTGTATTGTATATACTGCAGTATACTACTTTATTGTCATATTATTAGCAACACTGCTTTGACTAGGGAGTTTGGACGCTCAGGGCCTACGCAGAGGGCAACTTACGCGGGTCTGGTCCGTGGCCCGTCAAGATGAACCGTGATGACAACTTGAGCTTTCTGGAGGGGATGGACCAAACAAGATCAAAGACACAAGCAAAATGTGCCTTTGCTCCATTCCTCATTGGGATTCATGAGACAACAGCGCAGGTCGTAAGGAGGTGTAATTTTATTGTCCAGCTGTCTGCAAGCCGGGCTTCTTACTATTTCGCAAATCCAAGAACCTGGCTCTGACCTTGCCTTCTCTGATCTCGGCCTCGTCGGGGCTGTTGGTTGTGAACAAGGGGAAAAGGCAGGATTGTCGGGAGGGAAGGAAATGAACACAGCGTAGACTACTGAGATGGAAAAGATAACTAGTTATTTAGGCGATTCCTCCGGCTTACTCTGTCTCCTCAAGAACCTTCACCATCGCCTTTTCTAGTAACTACCGGTAGTCCTCTGCCCTTATCGCTGTCCAACTCATCAACCGAACACCATCCTCGACCTTACATAAAAACCGCGCTCGCACCACAACTCGCTGATTTGACAAATTATCTGGACTGTCTGCCGTATTTTGCGCATACTTATTTCCATTTCGGCGCTGATGCTCTTGAAAACCGGGATCCCCACTCCCACACCCAACCTGACAGGCCCCCAAAATTTTCTATCCTCACTGAGCTTTCGACAGTACCAGTAACGGAGTAAATATAGTTTATCTGTGAGGTCGTGAAAATCTTCGTGGGAGACTTCTGTCCTTCATACACCTCGTAAGTTTCGGTGATCATTTGGAAGGGTTGGACTCCAAGTCGGCACGGCTGGTCATGGCTGCACTTCTCCTGATCAACATCGTTGAGGTGACCGCACCTAATCGACCCTTGGGTGACAATATGAGATGCCATCGTATTTTTGCAAGTAGCTTGACAGCGCTTGTTTAGGTTACAGAAGATTCGTAATGGTGATGATGATTATGTCTGCACATGTGCCATCCAATGCCTTAGGTATATGCTAGAAATCCAGCTTCGTAACTGCTAGCACTCCCTTTGCGCCTACAACGTGAAGAATAGCTAGTAATTCACTTGAAATCCGTCGCAGGACTTAATATCCCATTACTATGCTAGGTTGTTGGCCTTGTCACCTGCGGCGTACATGCATGGTGCAAGTTAGTACAATGTCAATCAAGTAAGACGCACGGCTGCCGCAGAGAACCACCTTACTGCACCCACCCACACCGAATGGTTATAATAGCTCAGGACCGGCAATCGGTGCGGAGGCGGAACAAAGCAACCAGCTCCGTCAATGTTAAACAAGCAGTGATGAACTTATCACAGCATTTTTGTCAATATGGGATGCCTTTGCCATTTGGAAGTCGCTCGGAGTTGCTGCAGGCTCTTAGCATCATCCGCACGCGCGTCAGGGATGAAAGAAATTGAAAGGGTCGGGGACCAGTGCAGATACGATTGCCAGATCTGCACCTTACATGGAAAAGGAAATGTAAATACAAACAGCTGCACAAGCCAACACTTCTGCAAGCCTGCGTTCTTTTCTGACAAGTCACAAGTGCCGCCACCAGTCACGGTGACCCGCAGGTGAACCACATAGACCTTATTGACTGTTATTTCTACCTTGCCGCAGTTTTGGAGGAGAAGCAGTACACAGGCAGTTCAATAAGTGTATGTTATGTGTGACTGGGCGACCGGCGCTTCTGTGTGGGCTGGATCGCTCACTCTTGGTCGTGGTGGTATCCAGACCAAAAGCAATATGCCAGACGCCGCGGCGTTCATCGAGTTATGCAATCGGGGGGCATGTCTTGCATATGTTGCGTAGTAGATTGGTACCCGTCCCCAGACCATGTTCGTTGCGGCCTCTGCTATTACGACAACGGATGCGTGAAGCAAGCCCTTCGGGCTTAAAGTGGAATAGCTTCAGCCGTTTCCACTATCTTCCCCTCCACACGAAATCTTCCCCTCCATGCGAAATCTTCCCCTCCATGTGAAATCTTCCCCTCCATGTGAAATCTTCCCCTCCATGCAGAACCTTTCCCCTCTACTCGTCATCTCCCCCTTCATTCGTAATTTTCCGCTTTATCCGAAATCTTCTCCTCACCTCAGCTGACATCCCCGACCCAGGGGAATCATTACGGACCACTCTAAGCTTTCTTTCTTGAACTTATAAGAGAAGTAGGAACCTCGAGCGTATGTTTAAAACTCATTAGGGAAGCGATGTACTGTTTTCACGGACGGAGAGATCGAATTCCTATATTGGGCATTCGGGAGATAACGGGATGGCCACTTGGTACCCATCAGTGCCTAATCGCCCTCCCGGCGAATCACCTGCACGCCCCCTTCCCCACCCGACATTCTCCCCATGAGCATGGCTAAAAAAAACTAAAATGTTTTTCACTTCCGTTCAACAAGCCCTTAACTACTTCTTCCGAGTGCGTACACCGATCCGTCTATCCTGCCAGCAGGGGAATCATTCGAGTCACGTTCAAAAGCATATACGTGATCCGACTTTTCTCATAACGTTCGTCGCATACTGATCCTTGTGGTAAGTCGGCAGACGTTTCGATTGTCCAGCCTCTAAAGGATTTCCCAGGACATGAATCCGGAGCCTAACACTGCTCAACCTCTCTCTTTGACCGACTTCAGCGGTTTTAAGTCAACTCCAGGTTACATCGTTGGAAATGATGACATGGTATATTGGAAAGACGGTAAGGGCGTCACTCTTGCAAAGTCGGGAGAAGGCACAGGGAAAGACGTTTCTCGAATAACTGGAGAAATGCTCCTATCAAAGGGTTGGGTATTGATCGTCATCGGGGAAGGGGGAATATGGAAAGGGTGATGCCGTCCGGTGTATCTAAATTGCCGGGTGTCGCTATGGCGTATACAACAAGTCCTTTATCTCCAATCCTTCTCTTAGCTCTAGAGTAAGGCTGAGCAGTCCATCATCTTTCGGATTGTTGTTAATTGTCAAGCTCGCAGAAAAAGTGCGAGTGGTCGACTGGCTGATCTCCTTCTCCCGCTGAGGACATCGCTTGACGCCTTGATGGATTTTGCTGCCCAGGAGCTGGCAAATGCTCTCCATGGATGCTCCTTGTAGATTTATAGAGGGCATAGGAAGCCACCTTTTCCCCCCTCTACCGATGATATAAAGGCAGCCGTTCTCTTCTTCTAGAATCTCATCGAACAGTTCTTTCGCAATATTTGCAAGTCGGCGCGGTATTATACGCAAAGTCATGAGACAATGGATCCCCCCAAATTGATGGTGGGGGAAGATTATCGCGACCGCGGCTCTCGTTCCTTCTCCTTCCCCAGTCTTCGTAATAGCACCGCACATATACTCAGGAAAGACACGCATGAGGCCCTGAGGGAAGGCTTCCATGAAACATTGTCCTTGTCCTGTCGCGTCGTATGTCGTAGGTTGCTGGCTTGGCACGCGACCCCGCATAAGTGTGTCCGAGTCATTTAAAATCGTAGGACCTTCGTAGATGGGTGTAATCGTCGGGCTCGTCGCTGTGGATTCATCGCCATTGTGAGTCGGTTCTAGCCCTAAAGAATCGGAGTTAAGAGTTAGTGGCGTATGAATATAAGTGCCATAAATCCTCGAGACTTACGCCGTCGTTTTTGGGCGTTTGCCTTCTCCATTTTTCGTATGATCTCATTAACCTCTAGATGAGGCGCTGCACTAGTGAGCTCAACGGCGATCGCCTCGCGAACCGCTAGGGGAAGGTCATCAAGGGCTCGTTTATGTTTATCTCCGGACCGCTCCTCGTGGTTGCTGGTGCGCTCTTTGATTGCGAGATAGAAAGCCAAGAAAGGTTTGAGACCGTGTTTTCCAAAGGTTTGTGCCGTTTCGTCGGCGGCGCCGGTTGAACACTCGACCCAAGCCTTACCCAGGCCCTTCGGTACCTTTTTCCGTTTTGGATCAGTCGTAAGAAAGCTCCGCAATTTCGCTGTTAACGATTGGACATCTTGTGCGGGGTAGAACTGCATAGCGAAGGTGGTTCCGAGGCCGAGATTCTAGACGTGAGCTTTCCCGATTTTTGAGGGGAAGATCCCGAGGGGAAGATTTCAAGGGCAATTTATTCCGCAGCCATGGATAGCCGACGCTCAAACGAATGGCTCCTGTTGGTAACTGGTCGCTGACAAATCTGTCAAGAGGCCTGGCTCGCTGCGGGGCAATGCAACGTCCGGCGGGATGATTCCGTGCTCCCGCGTATGGTGGTACAGGTACCGAGGTAGTATGTATGCAACCACCTCTTATTCTTTGAGCGGTTTCTTTGCTGCCATCGTGGTTGCAACAGCTGGGCTTCCCTCACACAGTGGGTGCCGGTATCAAAAATTTAACAGGGTTGCACATATGGTAGAACAGCTGGCTTTGTAGTTAACGGTGGTTGTGGGGATCCTTCACTCTGTCTGCCTGCTTCTGCCCGTAGGTGCTAGGGCAGACTATTAAAATACTTCGAACACCCGTTAAGTTGCCAATGCAAGGGGCTTAACGGCTGAATATCCAGCCCGAAGGGTGAATATCGTATACCTGCACTCGACTTTCTTAAGGGTACCCACTAGAACCCCCCTTCCGCCTTCAGCGGCTAACCAGCCGTTCGAACTACTTCCTGGCAGGCCCAGTCTAACTATAACCCTATATCGTACCCCCCCCCCTTCCCTGTAGCTTGTAGGAAGACGACGTTTAGTCACGGTAGAGTGGTGGATACAGTGGATCGCTCAGCTGTTGACCCTGACGCCGTTGTTGGTCAGCGAGGCGCATCTTCATCCCTGTCTCATAGTTAGCCGTGAATGCAGTACGTAGGAAACGCAGGCGTATAACCTTCCGTCGGCGTGTGGTTATAGAGGCTCTGACGATCGAACGGCGCCTCAAGGAGTAAGCCTTGGAGCGAGGTAACCCGTGAGACGGCAACATAGCTAATACCGGCCTGGAAGTCGCGTGTAGCGAGATCAGTAACTATTTTATCCTTTGTTAGGCTCTGGCATTTGTGAACAGTAATAGCAAACGCCACGATTAGGGGGAAACTGCGTGCGAGCGCAGGTCTCGTTGCCCACAAGGAAGTCCCGCCTGACTGGCAGGATGGGGTGAGATTTTCCTGCCCTCGTTAGTTGTTAGATACGGCGGTCCGTCGTAGCTATCAAAGTCCACCATAATAACGGCTGGGGGGGGTCTTCCAATGGATCGGCGCCTGCGCTCCAGGCGATATCGTATACAGTACCCTGAGCACCGTTAACTAGGCCAGCTGATTGCCACAGATTAGTCGTGAGCATCACCCTGGTGCCCTTAGCAACAGGGAACTTGTTAGATAGATTGCCAGCATTGTTGCTTGGTGCCTGCCCAGCGCCGTTGCCGTGATTCTTTGCCTCCACTTGTATTGCCGGGGCGTTGAGATGCACCATATGCTCGTGGTTGTATTGGTTGACCCGTGCCTTTGTAGAATACACTCGCAAAGCGGTCCTGAAGCCGTCAAGCTCGCTCCGCGGTAGCCTGGCCTGTACCCGATTGCTAAGGAGGTTCCAGGATGGTATAGATAACTTTACATCACGCAGTTCCTGCAACGCCTGACGGAACTGGGCCTGATCATCACCAGCCTGGCGCTGTGCCGTGGTCAGGAAGACGGTGCGGTCAAATAGGCGGTAGGCCACCTGCCCTCTCCTTTCCAACGAAGACAGGCCGGTGCTAGTCGAATACAGGGGCTTTTGTCGGACTGGTGGTAACTGGAAGAAATCGCCCACAAGCACAACGCTCACACCACCAAAGAACTCGAGGTTACGCTGTGGAAAGGCTTGTCGCAAACGGGAATCGATCCGCGCGAGCTGCTCAAGCCCTAGCATGCTCTTTTCATCGATAACGAGGTATTTGATGTGCCGTAGGCGGGACTGAAGGGCGGCTGCGTCGGCCGGGGGAAGGTCGGTGAAAGTACCGCCTACTGGGAGGCGCAGCAACGAATGAATGGTGCTGCCCTGTATCTGGTTACTCGCAACGCCTGTTGGCGCCACGCGGCATATAGGGCTAGGATTCGGTAGGGCGGCTGCCTGAAGATGGGAAGAAAGCACCTTGATAAGGAACGACTTGCCTGTGCCACCACCACCATCAACGTGGAGAAGGATTTGAGCAGGATTTTGCGCCTGGAAGTGGCCCATGAATGTGTCGTACACGAGCCGTTGTTGCGTATTCAGCGTATTACGCCAGTGAGGGCCAAGGACCTCCACATCGTTGGCCATGGGGTGGCTAGCGATAAGGTCTTTCCAGTAGCCGTCTCGGAGTTCCGGATAAGTACCCACATGCTGTGTCCAGTCGTAATTGATGTCGATATCGCGGCGGCCAAGTAGGTCAAGATCTTCCTGGGTAAGGGAGTTGTCAGGTAAAGGGCGGCGAGGCGAATCCAGTCTTCGTCATCAAATTCTTCCTCCACAGGCAGAGCCTCGTATTGATCATCTTGAGGCTGTAATCGAGCCTCTTTGGCCGACCGTAATGGTCATCACCATGACTGTGATGCTGCAAAAAATAGGAGAGGGCCTCAGGGTGACAACAAAAAGGCGGCCCGCAAACTGTGAGGAGATCATCAACCCGCCGATGTGGGTGGTTTAATGTTAGCTTTACACGACAGTAATCTGACCACTGTTGACCTTCTGGATCAGCCTGATAGCGAGGAAAGTAAACCAGCACTCGAGGCCTGCCGTTAATGTTGCCTGGCTGCCATTGCTTCCACTTGGAAGGGTCCCTAGGGCGGAAATTCCAGCATTTCAGGAAGGAGACGTAGCTTAGGTCCGCTAGGGCTTCCGGGCGTTGAGTGTACTTTTCGTAAACGTTGGGGGCCTCGTCCACCTCATCGCCGTCAATACGGAGGGAGCGGGAATGCCTGTCAGGATTACGACAGTCGACGTACAGGCAAGTTCGTGACCCTTCCTGTAACGGCAGGCCGAGGAGCAAGTGGCTGACCTCCTGCTTCGAGTAATCCCGCTCCGCAACCAGCTGATTGAGGAGCTTTGACGTGAAGGAAATCAAGGGGTTGTGGTCCTTGACCCGGGGCATCAGGGCCTTCCCAATCTGGGCAAAAGACTCGCTCTTCTTTTCCGACTTGGAGCAGTATTTGGCCGCGTAATCGATTACCTGCTGTAGACTCGTGCAAGGCGAAACATCTGTATTGGCTAGCCACGCAACGGTAAGCAAGCGGTTGTAGTGGTTAATCTGGCCATCGTTCCGCTCGCCCCTAAAGCTCCAGTGTTTAGAGTGAGGAACCTTGTCAAGGAGGCTAGTAGGCGCTGGCCGTGAGGAAATCCAAAGCGGCACTCCACCTGCTTGGTATGCTTATTGAGCTGCATGCAGTAGTTGTTGCAGCGGTGGCGTTGCACGCGGTTGACTACCATCGATAGGAACTGAACGGTAAGGGGATGTTCCAGTAGATTACCGATCAGGGGGTTCCCTTCCCCAGGAGCCTGTATTCGCTGTGGCTCTGGGTTCACTGCAGATACGTGGTATCCCCAGATGCGAGCGAATTGCTCCCGGGACTGATCGTTGTCAGGATCTAAGTCTGGGTGGCCACTTAGCCAATATAGGCCGTGGTGGTGACTGGAACCCCTGCCCTGCCACTCGTAGCGGCCCCAAGAGTCCGTTAGGTTGAACTTCTGCTTCAAGACAATAGCCCTAAACAGCGCATAACGCTTATGAAAGTGGTACGCAGCGATGTGGGCGTTGTCTCGCAGTAGTTGCCGGGATAGAGCCATCCGCGCCGCCTCAGGAGCTGTTTGCCACTCGTCAAATCGAGGCATATGGCGGTATAGGGATTCCCAGTGGTAATCGGCTGCACTTGCAGTAGCGAAAAGGCCGGGCTTGCCTAGATTATAGGCATATGCTTCCAACTCCTTCCTTTGTTTATACCAATACGGCCGGGTGCCCTAATTACTGCGGCTTGGCGCGTGATCGACTGGATCAGGACCTGAGCCTCCGGCTCGTCAGGCTCAGCCATTGCTTCCTCTAGGTCGGCGCGTGTAAGGGGCTGACGGCGGCTGTCGCGTTGCTTGACGAGGTAGTCACTTCGCTTTCGGACCTGCGCACGTAACAGCGTGTTGAGGGCGACGAAAGGCCACGTCTTATGGCGGGCGAAACGTCCGTCATGCCATCTCATCGCATGGGCAAGGTAGTCCTGGAACGTGATGCTCCGTAAACGAGGCTCCACGAAGTCGGCCTTGCCGTCAGGGTAGAGGGTAGGGAATGCAAGCGTTAGCAGCGGCTGGGAACGGTTGAATTCGTCGATGGGGGTCCTGCGAACTGAAGGCAGCGGCATCTGGTGGTGAGCCTGCGCGTTACACGGTATATGCTCCACATCAGTCATACGCTCAGGTTAGGGTACCATCAAGAAATCGGGACTGCAGAGCGTTCAATTCGGTATCGGTAACCTGCAAATTCGGGATCGCTGATGCATCGGCATCGCTAGGATCCTCTTCCACAGCCTCCTCGACGGGGCCTTTGGGGACCTCGCCGTCAGGTATGTCAGCCACTTGGCTGGCAATGGAATCAACTATGTTGCCATCAAGAGGAAGCCGGTGCAAGCGATTCTGACTCACGACGATATCGCGATAGCCCCGGTGGTGGCGCTGTAGGTAGTGCAGCCACGCCAACAGGCATGAGCGGCGTACCCGCAAATCGCGAGCAAACTGTTGCCGGAAGCGAGGGCTGCCCTCCATATTAGGAGGCCGCAGGAGGACGACATCTAGCTCTTCAGGTAGGACCGGGAGCTCTTCAAATAGCCTGCCAACATTGCGAAGGAAGTGGACAACATGACCGCGATATTTATATTGAGCGCCACGTACCTGCAGGACCTTCACATGTACGTGAACTCTAGCAATGAGCATCTCCTCGACCATCGTTAGATCGGGTAGATCGCTCGGGACTTCCCAAAGTCAAGGTTGTTCGCAGCGCTAAAGAAGTAGGGCTCGTTGGGGCCTTTCTTCCTGTCTCGACTAATGCAGCGGCTGCAGATTTTCAAGCTATTTCGCTTCATATCGAACCAACGCTCCTGGCAGCGAATGCAACTATGCATCTTGTCGTCATTCAGGGCAGTATAGAACTCGCGCACAAGGGCTCGATCCCCCTCACAAAGGGCAGGCAAGTCAAGGTCCCCTGTAAAAGGCGGATCAACTATCTGATCGAACTGTCGCTCTTCAGGCTGTGGCCGTGGCCGGGGGTTAATGTTGACTCGACGTGTATAGCGGCCGCGGCGACGACTCTGTGGCAGTAATGAAGGAGGGGTACGAGGCGATTCCTTCGGTATAGGCGTGCCTTGCACAACAGAAGCCGATGGGAGAGTGCCTTGAGGAATTGGCGTTTCTGGAATCGGCGTGCCCAGAACTACTGTTGGCAGGCCAAGGGTAGGAGGGGGGGAAGGTCCTCTACCGCGCTTGAGGTAGATGGCCCCGGCAGAGGTCTAGGCAGTCCCTGGAGTGCGGGCGCCAGGGCACGGCATAACGTAGATGTGGCAGGGGTCGTAAGACTTGCACACACGCAGGCGTTGGCGCAGCCCGCCTTGGAGGCGTCAGGTTAGCTAGAGAATCGGTCCGTTTCGTGGCTCTGCGTGGCGATAGCCTCAAGGCGAAATTCCGCATTGCGGCAACGGCGGCTCGAGATTCGGTTACCCGTTCCTTTCGGCGTGCCCTACAGCTAGCACAGTCTCTTGTAAACTTCGTAGGGTCACCCTTCCCTGCATTTTTACTTTCTTGGCACGCAAGTGTTAAGGAAGTAGCCTATCCATACAGCTTTTCGCTTAACAGTGCTCTTGAAAATTCCGCAACAGCGCCGCGCAAAGCGCCGGCAGCGGCCATGGCACCAGCCTCAGGTTCGCGCGCCGCTCCTGTGCTGTCGACATACAATCGCCACCTGATCTAGCAGCCCGTGCATCTCAGCACCTACTGTCCTCTCCGGCGGAGGCTCGCCCAAATGTCTCAACCCTGGCGGCTCAGCAGCTCCTCGACCGACGTCTCCCAGCGACACGCCCAACGCTGCCGTCGCGGAAGGAACGCAGCCGGAAATAATCCCGAATGGCCCTGGTTCGACCGGGTCCACGGAAAATGCACCTGTCTCCATCATCGAAGCGGCTACAAAGATCGCTCGCGACCAAACGGCAGCCCATGATGCCAAGCTGGCAGTCTTTCGGGCCTTTAGCGAATCATTCGAACAGACAGCCAAACAATTCACGTCCGGCTCCCACAATAGCATCGCAAAGCAAGTTGCCACCAAGTTTCTGAACCTCTGGACTCAATCGCTCGCCGACCTTGAGGAACCACCGAAACCTACGTACAGCAGCGTTCTCGCATCCGGCAAAACGACACAAGGACAGCTGGCCATTACGGCCTCCGCCCCACCACAGCGAAAACAGCAAACCACCACTCGTCTCCAAGGACGACCGCCCGTGGTCCCACCCAAGGAAGACCTGCGTGTCTTTGTCCGACTTGACGCCGATGCTCCGGCCCGAAACCATGAAAGATACGCTATCCGGGCCCACATCGCCGCTAGAGTCGGCATCGACCTACGCCGCATCCCGGCAGCCTTCCCGGTAAACACGGGTTGGGCCATCCTGGCATCGGATGTGGCCACGCGCGAACTACTCGTGCAGCGACAGGCGGATTGGGCCGTAGATCTGGACGCGACGGCCGTAGAGATTAGCCAGAAATGGCATTCGTATGCCGTAGCCGATTGCCCCGTAGGCTCACGGACCTACGCGGCGTTGAGATCAACTTCGATGAGGCGGTCAAAGAAGAAATTGCCTGCCAAACCGGACTGAAGCCCATCAGCATACGGACCTCGCGACACGACTCGGGCGATATGCCTACCAAGACCCTTATTGTATCCTTCCTGGAACCCACGCAGAGACCCTGGCGACTGTTCGGCGCCAGCCGGTTCGCCCGCTATATCGACAAGCCCAGCATTCCTAGCCAATGTGACAAGTGCTGGGATTTCCACGCTCGACACAGCTGCGATCGAACGGCGCGCTGCAGGCGTTGTGGCAAAACCGGCCATCGTAGCCAAGAATGCACCGCCCTCGAGCAGTGTGCAAACTGCCTTGGACCCCATTGCGCGGATGACCCCAAATGCCCTGCCCGCCCCAAGCGCGTTCACGGCATGGTCCGGCGCCTGACGAAGGAGGAGAAGAGCCTGGTACGGCAGATGGGAGTTCAGCTCTCTGCGCAGCAGAAGCGGCAGACTCCAAAGGCCAGAGTGTCCGACCAGTCTGATCAGAGCCCTGGCAGGCCGCAGATACTTTCCTTGGAGTCAACGGCGCCGCGGGCAGCTGGAGGAGATGGAAGCTCCGACATGGGCGCCATTTACGAGCCAGCCGCGCCGTCAACCCCATGCATCGTTGTGGCCACAACGCCGCCGCATGTAAGGGACGGCGACCAGTTCCTCCCTGTCGTCCCATCGAAGAAACGACGCACTAGTCCTGTGACGCTACCCTAATGCCTCGCTGTTTTCCACGCAATCGAAGCGATAGGAGGATCTTGCGAATCTTCCAAGCCAACGTAGGCAAGATTCCGCCGGCACACGATTGTGCCCTTGCGTTGGCCGACTCGGAACAATACGACATTATTTTGTTGCAGGAGCCATGGACAGGACTGAAAGATGGCCGATGCCTCACTAAGACGCATCAGGCCTACGACACCTTCTCACCCGTCAACGACTGGGACGGCCGCGACACTCGCCCGAGAGTCATGACATACGTCCGGCGTTCCGCAGGTCTCGTCGCTGATCAAAAGAGACCTGCGGCGACTCGTGACATCCTTTGGCTCACCGTCAACGGCATAACAGTCGTCAACTTCTATCGGCAGCCGTACCACGACGGAGCCCTTGAAATCTTGCTTCAGTGGACCGTACCGGACAAGTGTCTTGTTGCTGGTGATTTCAATGCCAAACATCCCAGCTGGCAGGCCGGTCGACGAGAGGACCGCGGCGAAGAAATAGCGTTTTGGGCAATGGACAATCGACTCGGCTTACTGAATCCTGTCGATGTCCCGACCAACGCACACGGCAATACGGTTGATCTCGCCTTCTGCAACATACCTCTGGCCGACGCTGTTGTCGAGGATCATCTAGCAACCGGCTCCGATCATTTTACCCTTAGTATCACGCTGCCAGGACAAGTTCTGGCACCCCTTCCAATAGGAAAGATCCATCTCAACTCCGACGAGGAATTGAAGCGATTCATTGAATTAGTGGAGGCCGGTGCCGCCTTCATCCCGATCACCACGGCATCTCCTTCCGAGCTCGACAGCTTTGCGTCGGCGCTCGTGAACCTTCTTGGTTGTGCAGCCAGAGCTGCCGGTCGACCTGCCCGTAAGACTACGCATGGTGCGCGGTGGTGGACTGAAGAATGCGCAAAGGCGGCGGCCAATTACCGCGCGTGGAGGAGAGTTCACTCTCGGCTTCGACCGAGAAGTACAGCTAGCCAAGAGGAGCTCCATAGCGTGGTGCGCCGGGCCAAGCGCCTTTACTGGCGTAACTTGATTGACAGCTTCACCGATAGCGCCTCCGTCTTCAGGGCGGTCCGCTGGCTGAAGTCTCCAGGTCCGTTTCAAGCTCCTCCTGCAAATTGACGACCGAGTGTATGAGACGCAGCTGGAAAAGGCCACCGCCTTGCGACAAGCCACTCTGGAACGGCGCACGGCGAACGACGACATCCCAGATCCGTGGATCTCCGTGAACACAGATAGGACGATACCCTTCACCGACCGAGTCTCTCCGGAGGAGACCCGCGACGCCACGCTACGCACCGGGAATACGTCCCCTGGTCCCGACAATATTACGGTGCGGATGCTCCGCGCTGTCTGGCATGCGATCGGAAGTCTCGTCCACCAGCTATATCAAGGCTGCCTCAGGATTGGCCACCATCCGAAGCCCTTCCGAGAAGCAGAAGTGGTCATGATTGCCAAGCCGGGGCGCAGGGATCTCTCTACACCCCGCGCTTGGCGCCCCATCTCCTTTTGTCCTGTCTCGGCAAGGGCCTCGAGCGGCTCATCGCACGGCGTCTAGCGTGGGCCTCGGTCCATTTCGGCGTACTACACCCACAACAAGCCGGCGCGCTCCCGAAGAGATCGGCCGTGGATCTCGTTGCTGCCTTGATTCATGACATCGAGGAGGCATTTGCCTGCAAGCAGGTTGCAACATTGGTGACTTTGGACATTCAGGGCGCCTTCGACACAGTCCTCCGCAACAGATTGATCCTTCGCCTACGGGAGCAAGGGTGGCCACCGAACCTCGCGCGATGGGTCGGCTCGTTTATGCAAGACAGGTCGGCACGCATCCGCTATCAAGATATCGCAACGAATTCATCGCCTCTCCAGTGCGGGCTGCCACAGGGATCGCCAGTCTCGCCGATCCTCTTCCTACTGTATACGGAACCAATCTACCGCTTGGGCAGCTCAAAAGGGCGTTTCGGCTATGCGGACGACACTGCCATCCTTTGCGTCGGCGATAGCCTGGATGAGACGTCCGCCGAAGCATCTCATCATGTGCGTGAGCTTGTATCGTGGGGCGCCGCCAACGGGATCTCCTTCGACCCTGAGAAGACAGAAGTGATGCACTTCTCTCGAACGACGCCCAAGACGGCGCCGCCAGTGCTCCATGGCGAATTTGAGAAACGGCCGGGCCGGGCGATGCGTTGGCTCGGCGTCTGGCTCGACAGCACTCTGTCTTTCAAGACTCATGTCGAGAAATGGACGGCCAAAGCGCAAGCAGTCGCCTTCCATCTCAGGAGACTGACAAACACCAGGCATGGTCCTCTACCGAGCGCTGTGCGACGAGCGGTCTGCGCTTGCGTCATTCCAGTGCTGCTCTACGCGGCGGAGGTCTGGTATCCTGGTTCTACGCGCCCGCGCTGGACCAAGCCGGGCAAGGAAGGACCGTCCAGGATCGGACACCTCGTAAAGAAGATGAGCAAGGCACTCTACACATCTCTTCGGGCTATCCTGCCAGTGTGGAGAACTACACCAACGAATGTTCTGCACCGGGAGGCAGGGATACCGCCGGTCCCTCTGCTGCTCGAGGCGCGCCGGACTGCATTTGCTGCGCGTCTCAAATCCCTGGACGAAGCTCATCCGCTCGTGAAGCGCACGTCGAGGCCAAAAGCCCTATACTGAATGAAATGATCAAGCTGAAGTACCAAAAGCAGCCAAAACCCTTCCGGACTAGGCTGCGGCGCTCCGACGAATTGCTACCAAGCTGCCCAAGGCCTGCCTTGCTGCAGCGCGGATTTGTCGAAGAGCAGACTGCGCCTCTGCAGAGTGCATCGAAAAATGAGACGGCGAAGAAATTTCGCGATTGGCTCCAGGCACTATCGCCCCGAACTCTGGTCGTCTATTCCGACGGGTCCCGTTCTACCGAAGGCCACGCCGGATATGGCTATGTTGTTCATCGGGACGGATCCACCGTCTTGCGCGACAAGGGCCGTCTCGGGCCCGCCGAGATTTTCGACGCTGAGGCGAAAGGTGCGTTGGAGGGGTTGAAGGCTGCGGTGAGCCTTCCAGAAACTGACCGCATCTTTGTCTGCCTCGACAACCTTGCGACCGCAACATGCTTACGGGGCACGCCGAGCGACTCCTCGCAAGAGGTCTTCCTTGAGTTTCAATCTTTGGCGCGAAAATACGGAGCTGTGGAGGTCCATTGGATCCCCGGCCATGCTGACATCCCAGGCAACGAGGAGGCTGATGCTCTGGCAAAGGCGGGAGCATCACTGCCAGAACCCGCTGATAACGTCCCGACGCTAGCGCACCTGCGAAAGATTGCCCGACAGCAGCCGGAAGAGGCTTTCAAGGCCTGGTGGGAAGCCTCTGCGCCGGAGCGATACAGAGACCTGAGGCTTAAAGCCACAACCAGCTGCCCGTCAGAATTGGCGCTCTCTCGGCCCCTGCTTCGTAACTGCTTGCAGCAAGAACCCACCATGGGGATTTTGCTGACTACCACGAAAGGTTTGGTCACGACAATGCGCGACTGACGTGCTCGTGCGGAAGACGAAAAGAGCCAGCACACATCTTTTACTGCAGAAAGGTTGCGCCACGGCATCGTATGCGGCTTGCACCTTGGCCGGCTGCAGCCATCAACCGCGCAATCGGCAAGGACTTTGACAAATTCGTCAGGCTGGCGAAAGCGAGCTCCTTCTTCGGAGGATCTGCCCACGCCACTAGACGGTCATCATTCTCCTCTCTCACCCTACCTTTCCTCTCAATCCTTTCTGTTACCTGCTCCGATCTCGGGCGGCGTCAAGGTCTCGCGACCATGCGATCGCCGAGGTCATCAAGGGCTGCAAGGCCCCAGAAGCAAATTGGCTGATCTGACCACGGGACAGCTTTCTCTTCATGCCTGGACGTCCCGCTGACGGGCAACAGGTTTGTCATGAGCGCCGTTGAGCCGATGAAATGCTGGATAGTGGGTGAAGTGTACGATATGTAGCATGTAGACACCTGCTAGCTCAGCACGTCCTGTGCTCCCCTGCGGAGACCTGAGCGACCAAAAGTTGCTGGACGGAAAATACACTAAACTAAACTAAACTAAACTAAAACTTCGTAGGGTCCTTGACGCTTCGAAATTCGACTTCGGGCAGGTCTTGCTTGCAGGTATGGCAATTCCGAACTGCCTGGGGTATGTCGTCCTCCATCTGGCCGTATATGTATCCACCTCTTACCCTTCAGACTGCTAGAAGAGACAGAATAACCGGAGAATCTTGGGAGGTGGGCCGGCTGCCGAGGTAATAGGTGAACCTATAAACCGTTAGTAACATGATTAGTTTGATAGATTGGGCAGAAAAGAGAAGCAGCCGCTATGTAGGTTAGTGTAAAGAGTGCCTAGCGACCCAGTAAATTGATGGCATGGATGGAAGAAAGGAAGAACTGGAAGCTCTTGGAGAGCCTGCCAAGCTGGCCAGTTACCTAGTCAACGCTCAGGGGTAATTTTTGCGGGCCTTCATTTGGTGACGTTATCGGCCGACCAATCCGCGCACGAGTTGAGCACAAGCCAGGCCAATTAGCCAATCAGAGGAGGTTTTATGCTCGAATCTTTCTGACTGAGTAGAACGCCCTTCGGGCTGAATAATAGTCAAGAGCCTATTTTAGACGTCGGAGACGTCCGATATTTGAACGTATATACATATATGTTTGCCGCATCACTCTTGAGAACACAATACGACCAAAACTTCTTCCAAAAGCACAGTTCCACATCTTTCTCATGGATCAAAATCTGTTCAAACGAGGCTCCCTGCTTTACAAGCTCCGAGCCGATGCGCAAGCAGGGGATGAGCATGCGGCCACGAAGCTTTGGGGCCATTTTCTTAAAACGCAAATCTTCAAGGACCCGGAGAGATATGTGGTTTCGCAGGAGCAGCCAGAAAGGTCTCACCACAGCCGAAGACGTTTTGACCTGTTTGTTGAGGAGTTCATCAGGGATAGTACCATGGGAAGGCTTCGAGTCGTGCTGGTCTCGGAGGGAAAAAAAGAACGTGCAACTCCTCAAGACATAAAGGAAGTCGAAACACAGGTTTACGACGCATGCAATAGGATCATGTTAGAGGAGCGCACCAGGGGATGGATATGGGCGCTTACCTATCGCGGCAGCAAAGGCCGGCTTTGGGCATGCAACGCTGACGCCTCTTTGCTTGAGCCTGTTTACCCCGATAGTTTCGATTACGGCGAACAAGACCTCTACATCGACATTGCAGATGGCTTCAGGGAGCGGTTGATCTTCATCCGAGAGAATCCGGTGCCGACACCCGAGATGTTCGACGAGAGAATCGGCGTGGCAACTGAACGCTCTGCTGCTTTTGTACCGACGGCGTCCTCCAGCTACGGTGGAAGTAGCAACCATGCCGGCCAAGGCTATGCTACTGTGTCAACTTACGCACCACCAGCAATCTCTAGCTACGGCGGAGGTAGCAGCCATACCAGCCAAGGCTATGCTGCTCTGTCAACTTCCGCAAAGGCAGCATCCAGCGGGCCGGATGTCATAGATCACGACCAATGCACCTTTGTGGAGCGCGCAAAATACATGGAAGGGGGAACAAAGGTTAGTTGCAAGCTTGCAAACGGCACTAAGATGGTAACACCTGCCGAGTGCTGGGTTCAAGCGAACGTCACGGATGGACGGGGAGGGATTCGCGCTTGCGTTACCGCAAGTCCCCTAGACTCGGAGGAACAGTTCTGGGCATGGATGATCGAGTCTGAGACCGAGGACGGAGTAAAGGATAAAAGAAAGGATAAGGGGAAGAGCACGAGACGCAAGTAAGACGGTCGTTATAAATCAAATGTTGCTGTAACTAAGTACCATCTCATCACAATTAAACCAACATTTTAGGACGCCTCCCATCGCGCAACACGTCCAACCCCCATCGCTATGTTTATGGGCCCCCTCAGAAGTACTCTCTGCTCTGGCTGCTTGAAGTTGCCCCCTCATACACGATGGTCCATCCGTTACAGGAATGTAACAGAGTTGAGCAGGACGCTCCACTTCTCGGCGTATGTCGCTGCCTAGTCGGCATTGTCCAAGACTCCGCATGGCCCTATTGTTATATCGCACGATTATGCCTCTGCATAGCTCGGTGTCGGGATCATAGAATATTGTGATCCCAACGACGTCGTCCAGGGGTGCCGACGAGAAGCAGGCCCTCTCTAACGGCGGCTGATCGTTAAAAGGTAGAAGAGGGGAGGTCGCGGTTATAGGGATGTTGGAATAAGCCCAAATCGATGTAATAGGTCCGAGTTCGGGTACTTCATATATAAGGCTATGAGGGTAACGAATTAATGCAAGCCTGTCAAAGTCCTCTTGGCGAGAAGACCCAATGAAAACGTCTCCAGCTAATTCGGTACGTAGCTAACTTCCGTTAGAACAATAGACTTTAATAGTATCGCCCTTTCTTACTAGAAAACTCGTCCGCGGACAGGAGCGAGGACCAAAGTGCCTCCAGCCAACACTCGCGATTCCATCGCGCACGGGAACATAAACCCACGCAACTGACTGCTGCTGCCTAGGCCATAGAATCTCGAAGGTGGTCTGCGCAAATGGATAGTTTCGTGTATGGCCGTGAATAGCCCATATTGCGCCAGATGAAACGAAGAAAGTGATGCCAGTGCAGTCATATAACTGGATAGTGCGTAGACGAGACGGCGCGATCTCACAAGTTGGATCTAACTGGTACCTCTCTAAGGACGGTGGAAATAGTGTATCCCAGATATGGAAGCCTTTGGATCCATCTGGAAGGCGTAGGCGAGCACGTTGAAGCTGCTGGTATTTAGTTAAGATCATTTGCAACTAGAGTTTAGGAGAGATATACCTTGAACTCCACCTGGACGCCAGAAAAGCGGACAGCTGCCTCGACAACGTACGCGAGGGAGTAGGATCGGGAAACCTTATCGAGTGCTTCTATGGGTAATCTTTCAATGCGCTGGAGCCCTTGTGCGTCAATTGTGAGACATAGGAGGCGGTCATCTGCACTGCCATGGTTTTGTTCATGAGTATCCTTATTCGTCCCTGGGAGCTCACCGCGCTGCCATTTCTCAATTCTTTCGATAGGAATCGTGAGCGGCTCGCTTCGAGCTTTTGACAATGTGTACCCAAGGTCTGATGCAGATGAGTACCGCCAAAAGAGGCTTTGCTGAGATCGTGCGTAGACCATGCTGGCTAACTCGGGTGGTAGTTGCCAGCACTGGGCCAACTTAGCATGACGTAGACCTCTTGAAACATCCACAGCGGGAGGCAGGCCGAGAGGCGGGGCATTGCGCCAAGGACTCCTCCATGTCGCTGCCATCCATGACTGGGCTAAAGTAACCACCTCTTCCCACTTCGACTCCTCTGCCTTACTTCCGGCGTGAATCGCCGATAAACAATCCGTATGAAACGTCGCGCTCTCTAGGGCTGACGAGCATTTCATGCATTTGAGGTGCCGACAAAAGATCCACGAGTGGCCGTGAGAATTGTCGCAATAGGCGGACTCTATAAATGCACCCGCTCGGCGCGCGGTGTGGAAGTTGGAATCGGGGTTCTCGGTGACTAAGGAGAGCGAGTTAGCAATTAGCCTGCTGCTAATATGGGGGATGAAATCCACTCTTACTTGCAAGAATCTCGTCGCCAGCATTGAATCGAAAGCCGCACGCACCACAATAAGAGTGGATGCGAACGTGTCGCTCTTCGGACATGTTTGTGATGGAAAGAGGATGGAGTTGAGATCAGCCAGAGCATTACCTCAGTACCACAGGCAATCTGGTCGTCCGTGGGCGGACTATACCTAATCTGTAAGGTCATGTGATGTTCTCGACCCTATTGCTTACCTCAGCAAGCTCAGACCATGAACGTAACGTAATCTACCCCCTACTCGTACAGACCCCCCACTCGGACAGAAATTCTCCACCGACCGCACCATACAACTACACAATGTTTGCGTCACAACAACCTTCAGTTTTGCGCAAAGAACGGCTCCTCCGCATCGTCAGGGCTTATCAACAGGCTCAATTCGAAACTATCCGAAAGGACGCAATCGCGCACTTTACGACGTCCTTCCATCCACAAAATATGATCGATTGCGCGGTGTATTACCCTGGCACGACACGCAGATGAATAGCGAAGGCATCGAAAGAGATGTCTCTTGTACAGTAGATCTTGTCATGGGTGAGTGAGGATGCTGCCGACGGTAGCTTACACTCGCCGGACGACCAATCTATCCTTTCAGAGCGAGGTAAGATCCTGTCGGCGAGAACTGGATGCGCATTTCGTTGGCCGTCACGACTAAACCAAGGCGCAGCACTCTCGCCGATACGATCACCAACGTGCCAAATGCGAGGACCCGCAAAAGATTCAACAATGGTACGATCGACTCGCGGCGACGAAACAAAAGTGGGGGATTCTTGACGAGGATGTCTATAACTTGGAAGAGACCCGTGCTCAAATGGTTGCCATTGTAACAGCAACAGTCCCTACCAGGTCTGACCAGCAAGGCTTGCCTCAACCCACGCATTCTAGAAATCGCGAATAGGTTACTATACTCGAGTCTGCTGGTTGCTAAGACGGGCTTTACCAGCCAAGGTTATCTTCCAAGGCAAGCTACGCCAAGCAAGTCGGTATGAAACAGGAGTAACCCAACACTGGCATATCAGTGTTAATGAGAGAAGCTGGACTTCCGATGACTTTGCCATATACTGGTTAAAGAAGTATCTGGTCCAAATAAACGCCGCCGCATGGTTCGTACACATCCGCATCATATTCTCGACGGGCATGGCTGTCACGTCGCGCCGGCTTTGGCAAGTCGACACATCCCATCGTAGTACTCCATATACCGGCAGACTTCTCAGACGTTTTCACCCTTCTAGTACCCTCTTCACGTAGGGTATTTTCGTCGAGATCCGTCATATGACTTCATGTTATTTAGAGGCTCGCCGTCAAGCAATCTCGCCGTCAGATATCCGAAGAAATTTTGTGACCACGAGCGAATTGAAGAGCGAGTCAAGCGATGGAAAGAAAAGGACAGGAGAAGCGGGCCGAGCCACGCGAGAAGACGAGGAGTGGGTCAACGACAGATAGAAGAGGAGGGGCCAAGGGCCCCAAGATAGCGTGCGCCACACAGACTTAGGAAATCCAGGTCCTTCAACCAACTTCCCGTACGTGTAATGGATAGTCCGAAATTGATTTACTTGCCTCTAGCAATAAATTGTCTTCCATGTGCGCAGTTTGTTGTCGTGGTGAGGTAGCATTGGTGGGGAATTTCTGTCTGAGTGGGGTCTGTACGGGGTAGATTACGTTAATCCACCCCCTACTCGGTCAGAAAAATTCCCCACCGCCGCGACGGCGACGGGAGACCAATTGGTTCCACGCAAAGAACGGGTCCTGCTCGCCGTCAGGGCCTATCAGCAGGGCCAATTCGAAAGTACCCGCAAGGCAGCGGCCGCAGACGTCCCTCAATCGACAGTATCTGATCGACTGCGCGGTGTCATTCGCCGACGCGACGCTCAGGTGAACAACCTAAAGTTGACGGCGACGGAAGAGACTGCCCTGGTACAATGGATCTTGTCGATGGACGAGCGAGGAATGCCGCCGACAGTGGCTTACACTCGTCGGATGGCCAACTTATTGCTTTCCGAGCGAGGCGAAGATCCTGTCAGGGAGAACTGGGTGCGGAAGTTTGTTGGCCGCCACGGCGAAATCAAGGCAAAGTACTCTCGCCGATATGATTATCAACGCGCCAAATGCGAAGACCCCCAAAAGATCCAAGGATGGTACTGTAACGGGCTAGGTCCTGCTGGACAAGGCAGTGCCTTGTCGGTCTAAGCACTGTTGCTCCAGTAACGGCTTAGTCTATTTTGTTGGAGGATTTCTGTCCTTCTATTTTCCTTTCCTTCTTTCCTCAGCTCGAATGTAAAACGCATGAGGACTACATAGCTGTAATTTACACTAAAATACTTCGAACACCCGTTAAGTTGCCAAGGCAATGGGCTTAACGGCTGAATATCCAGCCCGAAGGCTGAACATCGTACAACTGCAATTCGACGGGATGGCTCCGGACAGACAGGTTCGGACAGACATATTGCAGGGATTATCGCGCTAAGCATGGGTTAAAAGCCATCGCGCCTTGACTACAACCTGAACGGGCACAAGTGCCATTTTTCAGTCTGAAGGGAAATCCACTAGTATACAATCCTGGGTAGGTGTCACGGGCTATGCCCGGCTGGTGGACCCGGTTGTACCGGGTCCGGTGGGTCGTGCTCCGGTGGCAACACCGGCCCCGCTCCGCGGACCCGGAATCTGCGAGAACATTCCGTGAAGGGCAATATAAGCTCGCACTCGAGGCTACGCCTCGAGTTCAGCTTCCTTTCCTCCTTAGCTCTAGATAGACAACACATAGGCACCTGCTTGTTGAACAAACTCCGGGCCAGCCTCTTACATATCTAGAGCTCACTACCGATGGACTCAACCCTTGCAGACGGGAGCTCCCCGGAGCGGACCTCCCAGCTCCTCATGCAGATGATGAGCCAGATGGCTGAACAGTTGCAAAGTTTGCGTGCCGACCGCGATGCCGATCGCGACGCCACGCGCGAGCAGATTCAACTGCTGCAAGACAGTCTGACGACCTCGAGACCAACGCCCTTGGGGACCGAGTCGGAGAGCAGAGCGGAACCTCTGCATGAACCGAATCGTTTGGTCGACACATCATTGCGGAAGACTAGGCCGACTCTCCCAGACCCACCGCGATTCGAGGGCGTTCGATCCAAGTTTCGCGCTTGGCTGAGCGAGATGAAGAACAAGCTTCGCGTAGACGGAAGGGTAATTGGGAATAAGGCGGACCAGTTCGCCTACATTTACGCGCGACTAGGGGGTGCCCCTCAGCAAATGACGATCGCGTATGTAGAAGCCGGAGGGGTGGAGACTCAGATCCGGACCAGTACCTCCAATATTTGGAAGAGTGCTACGGGGACCCGAACGCCAGGACTCGCGCGCTGGACAAATTGCGATCCTTGAGGCAAAGAGACAAGGAAAGCTTTGCGACACTGCTCCCTCGCTTCGAGAAAGAACTCGCTGATTCCGGCGGCGCCACCTGGCCGGAAGAAGTCAAAATCAGCTACCTGGAGGGCGCCCTGAGTCCGGAGTTGCGACTGGCAACTGTCTACGCGGCGCCCACTCGCTCCACGTACTCGGAATGGGTCCGATCTCTTCAAAGGCTGTCCTCAGGTCTAGAAGGTGTAGAAAGGAACGCCCTTCGAAGCGGTGGTGCAACCCATGATAGTCGAGGCCGCGACGCAGACGGAGATACCAAAATGGCAGATGTCAACCGTACAGGTCACGAGCCGAAGAAACGTCGCAACGCAGATGTGGCGCCCAAGAACGAGCGCCGCTGTTACCGATGCGGCCGGAAGGGTCATCTCGTCGCGGAATGCCCAGCTCATTTGGTCTTTCCTGGCGAAGCGAAGAAAAAACGGTCAGGAGCCGCCCGGGTGAAGCAGCCGGATGCGAGCGATGACGATTCGGAGTCGGCCGCAACATCCAGTGGGGATGACGAGCCGATGGGAAAAGACTAGCCCCGGTGCGAAAGCGGGCGCCGGGGCATTCGAAGGCAGATGTCCAAGACTGGGAGGCGTTCAAGCCGCGTATGAATAGTCGACCCGTGCTCGTTAACGCACGGCTCAACAGAGGCAATCCTATACGCGTCCTAGTCGATAGTGGATGTGACTGCTATGCCGTGATTGACGAAGCGGTCGTCCGGAAGTTTCGAATCCCTCTCGTTGATTCGAAGCCTCGAGAGATCGGGGATTCGGAGTCCTCAGAAAGTGTCACGTCGCCGGGAGTTGTGGCTGTCGTTGTGGAGACCGCCGGTTTCGACGAACGCATCTTTGCGTACGTCGTCCCAAGCCTCGGCCAGGATATGTTCCTTGGCCGGCCTTGGATGGAGGAACCAGGTCGTGTACGACGCTGCTAAGCGGCAAGTGTTCCACGGAAGAGCAGGCGTGACGATACGCCTCATGGGGCAGGAAGAGCCCGCCAAAGTACGCGCAATTCGAAGCGCAAGACTTGTGTCGGCAGCCGTGTTCACGGCAGAGTGCCGGCGTGCAAAGAGACGCCAGACGTGCGATGCGTTCTCGATACAAGCGATCAGCTTGGCAGACATAGAAAAAGCGCTTCAACCGAAGCCGCCAGTTGATCCGAGCAAGATGGTCCCAGCGGAAGTGTTGAAAGAGTTCCGCAACCTGTTTTCACCAGAGGAGGCCATGAAGCTGCCGCCACACCGGCCAGGTGTGGACCACGAGGTAAACTTGCAGCCTGACAAGAATGGCAACGAGCCGCCCCTGCCATGGGGACCGCTCTACAACATGTCACGCGAAGAGTTGTTGGTCTTGCGAAAGACCCTGAAAGACCTTTTGGATAGAGGGTTCATCCGAGCGAGTAGCTCGGCGGCCGCAACGCCGGTGCTGTTCGTGAGGAAGCCAAGTGGAGGCTGCGATTCTGCTGTGACTATCGGGCGCTGAACGCAATCACCAAGCGCGACCGATACCCGCTGCCACTCATCGCCGAGACGTTGCAGAACTTGGCCAAGGCCAAATGGTTTACCAAGTTAGACGTCGTAGCCGCCTTCCACAAGATCCGCATGGCCCCCGGGCACGAATGGAAGACGGCATTCCGCACGAGGTTCGGGCTCTACGAGTGGCTCGTGTGCCCCTTCGGCCTAAGCGGCGCCCCAGCATCGTTCCAACGATACATGAACAGCGTGTTGCGCGAGTGGCTGGACGATTTCGTCACGGCGTACCTAGACGATGTGTTGATCTATTCGAGTGGTTCAAAGGCTGATCATGAGGCCAAGGTGCGAAAGGTTCTCCAAGCACTCGCCGACGCCGGCCTACATCTAGACCCAGCGAAGTGCGAGTTTTCCGTACAAGAGGTCAAGTACCTTGGGTTCATTGTCAATGCAGGGAAGGGAATCGCGTGCGACCCCGAGAAGCAGCGCGCCATCCGCGAATGGGAAGCCCCTACCACGGTGAAGGGTGTCAGAAGCTTTCTGGGCTTCGCCAACTACTACAGGATCTTCATCCCCGACTACGCTAAGATCACTCAGCCGCTAGACGCTCTGCTGAAGAAAGGAACTGCCTTTTGTTGGGGGCGGGCGGAGAACGAGGCGTTTCATGAACTGAAGCGACGATTTTGCGAGTCACCGGTGCTCAAGCAGTGGGACCCGAGCCTCCCGACCTTTTTGGAGACGGATTGCTCAGGCTACGCATTGGGAGGCGTCCTGTCGCAGGAAGGCCCAGATGGACGTCGACACTCATGCGCCTTCTTCTCGAAGCGACTTTCGCCAGCGGAGTACAACTATCCCATTCACGACAAGGAGATGCTTGCCATCATGAGATGTCTCGACAACTGGAACGCCGAACTTAGGAGCTGCGGCCCATTTACAATCCTTACCGATCACCGCAACCTGGGTATTTCGCGACACGCCAGAAGCTCACGGAACGGCAGGGCGGTGGGGCAGCCAATTTGCCCCATTTCGACTTCAAGCTCGAGTATCGCCGGGGAAGCGGGGCTGTCGTGCCTGATGCGTTGTCCCGCCGTGAACAAGACAAGCCACAGGGCATTGACGACGAGCGGGAACAAGGAAGAATGATACAGTTGATACCGGATAGTGCCATTCCATCATCGACAAGAGCATGTATCAACGCGATGAGTTCTGACTGTTCAGAGGCATCCACCCTGCCGAAGATGAAGGTCTTCGAGGTAGCGGACCTGCAGCAACTCTGGGACGAAACGGTGGCGAAGGACTCGATATTCCGGGCAGCCTATAAGGCAGTCCGCGATCGCGAGCGTGCCTTCCCGCCCTCGCTGGGCCTGAAGATCCAGATTTCAGAATGTGCGATCGACGTAGGCAAAAGGCTGACATTCAGAGACCGTATTTGGGTGCCGGGTGGATCCGGAGAGGAGGGTAACCAGGAGGAAGCTGAGAAAGACCAGTTGAGAACCCGCATTGTGCAGCAGTCGCATGACTCTGTTGCGACCGGTCATCCCGGCAGGGAAGGTACGCTGGCTATTGTGGCTCGGCGATTCTACTGGCCTGGGCAGTCCCAGCTGGTTCGCCGGTACGTAGCCAATTGCGACACCTGCGGCAGAGCACACATCTGGCGCCAGTCGAAAAGGGATTTCTCAAGCCTCTCCCGATTCCAGATCGACCCCGAAGCCATTTGTCCATGGACTTCATCACAGATCTGCCGCCTACTGGACCGAGCAAGGCAAGGTACCTGTGGGTGATTGTGGACAGACTGACAAAGGCTGTGACCCTCGAGGTGATGGAAAACATGGAAGCTGAGCCGTGTGCAAAACGTTTTCTCCAGTGCCATTACCGATTTCATGGAATGCCACGGTCCATCGTCAGCGACCGCGGGAGCAACTGGCTAAGTAGGTTCTGGAAGAGGTTCTGCCGTCTTGCAGGTGTCACGCAGAAATTGAGCACGGCCTATCATCCTCAGACGGACGGAGGGCCAGAGAGAATGAACCAGGAGATCGAGGCCTACCTGAGAGCCTACGTGTCGTACGTGCAGGACGACTGGGAGAACTGCTCCCTGCCGCGCAGCTGGCACTCAACAATCGTGAATCCGCAGCGACCAAGATCAGCCCCTTTTCGCTGAGCATGGTTACCACGTCGATCCCATCAGCGTCGAGGAATCGGAAGAGCCACCGAGGCATAGAGAGGAAAGCAGAGCTGATAGCCTACTCAGTCGCCTGCAGGAGGTCAATGAGTACATGCAAGCAGTAATGGCCTCCTCACAGCAACAACAAGAAGAGGCTGCCAACGCAAGGCGACATCCTGCGGAGCGATTTGAAGTTGGTGACAAGGTGTGGCTCTCGATGGCAAACTACAGATCGCCACGACCGTGCAAGAAGCTCGACTGGCTGCATCACAAGTACACAGTCACGAAGGTAATTAGTTCGCACGTCGTTGAGCTCGATGTTCGTGGTTCAATTTACCCGCGATTCCATGTTGACCTTTTGCGGAGGGCGCATCAAGATCCGGCTCCTGGCCAAAAGGTGGATGACGCACAGCCACCACCGGTACAAGATGAGACCGGCGCGGATCTGTGGGATGTCGACGAGATCCTCTGCGCGAGATGGAAGAAGCGCGGACGAGGAATTCAGGCAAGCACTAGTGCGATGGACGGGCTACGCAGAGCCGACTTGGGAGCCAGTTGAGTGGTTGCAAGGAACAATTGCGATGAAGGCATTCGAGGACAAGTACGGGCCAATCAAGACCAATGATGGCCCTAGGGAGAGGTACGAGACGCTGGCAGGAACGCAAGAACCCGCAGACGCCGACCTGGTCGGAGGAGAAGGGGGTAATGTCACGGGCTATGCCCGGCTGGTGGACCCGGTTGTACCGGGTCCGGTGGGTCGTGCTCCGGTGGCAACACCGGCCCGCTCCGCGGACCCGGAATCTGCGAGAACATTCCGTGAAGGGCAATATAAGCTCGCACTCGAGGCTACGCCTCGAGTTCAGCTTCCTTTCCTCCTTAGCTCTAGATAGACAACACATAGGCACCTGCTTGTTGAACAAACTCCGGGCCAGCCTCTTACAGTAGGCCGCTGCTGCAGTTCCAACTGCGTTTCATCCTCCTTGGAAGCCTTCCGCTTCTTGCACCGCGGCTTAGGCATATCGGGTTCCTCACCCTTTCGGGCCTTTCCCGCTCTATCTGGAGACTTCCCAGTAGCAGTCGTCGCCTTCTCTATATCCTTCGTGCTCCGTGTTCGACTACGTCTCGTTTCCCGAAGAAGCTGTGGCGAAGTTGCCAAAGGAGAGGACGGGGTCGAGGAATGGTCAGGAAGCTGATCAACTCCCTTCAGCAAATCCGAAGTGGCTCGGTCCGCTCGAGCGGCAGTATGCTCTGCGGCCTCACGGCCGGTCATGGATCGCCTTTTCGTGCTACCGTGCGATTTGAACCTCTTCAAGCCAGGCGAATGCAGTGCTTCCGGCAATTCCGGAGCAGTGTGGCTAACAGACAGACCGTCTGACAGACCGCAGACCGACCGACCGCCAATTCTCATTTGACCGACCGACCGGAGCAGTCAGTCGGTCTGGGTGGTCTGAGTCGGTCTGACTGGACTGGTGTTCCCGTGATGCCATTGGTCCGTTCCGCCTTAAGGTAGCACCTACCTAATGTCAACAAGTTACGCGTCTGCCCTGCCAATTTTCGCGTCTTCCCAATGGGAATGGTATAGGGGAGTCAGGCAACGCCGCGGGCGAGTCGAACAATGCGACTCAGCACAAGCCCCAGATGGCACAAATCGAAGAGGCCATGAAATCTTAATCCGAGGGCCTCCGTCAGACATCCAGTCGCTTACCCAGCACGCATATGGAGGTCCCTACCGTCGCCTTCCAAACAATTATCTTTGGTATCATGCGGCAACTTTTCAAAGAGATTGAAGAAAATTCGGAGAGAGCACGCGTATTTGCGCAAGAGTGCTCATCAACACTATCACCTCGGGATCTCCAGGCGATTGCACAGTTTCAGAGATAGCTTGGATCCCCAGTCACACTCGGGGGAGACCCTCCATACCCTGTGGCCGAGAACATGGAGATTTCTCGTCGGTATGTCCTCTACGAAGACTGCTGTTTTGATCGCGAGGGGACGGAGAACGTATTTGTAAGTTCTCTCAGAAGCAACTTGGATTGGGAACTAACCCGAGCAGCGACGGCTTTTTCAAGTTGTTGAGAAGACAGCTAAGGGAATGGACCTTACTAAACTAAAGAGATATGCGAGTGAAAACTTGAGAGATATGGACGAAGATGCCACGGCAAGAACAAGCAGGTAACAATGTAAACTAGTTTCTAACACTGGCCACTGCCCTCTTGCGCCGCAGCTACATTGCCGGACGCCGTCGTAGTAGAGAACACTACAAAATAGATCATCGACATTAAAGTTGGAGGTCGCCTGACTGTAACCTCTTTTTGCGGAATTCGCGAGGAATCCTGAACCACCAAGCATCCCGTGCCAGACAAAGTCACACTCTCTATTGTACTTCGTAAGTCGCTGCCCCTCGATCGGCTGGGGTGGACAGTCAGATAGGCGCATGAGGGCGTGTAGCTCGATTCAAGCTGCCTACTGAGATTGTGCGGTCTATAGTAAGTCACTATGTCAACACAGTATACCCGGATTTCTCTGCAGGCCGCAGCACCTACATTTGTTGGAAACTGGCATCCAGGCATACAATGAAGGTCAAGTGGTGGGTTGACTAGCTCACTCAACGCCAGAACTTTGTCATTGTCCGCCCCTGTAGTTTGGCCAGTTGGCAGTAATTGCAAAATAGTCATCGTTGCGTACGTCAAGCTGCTCATACGAGTTAGATCACCGACAGAGCTTCATTGCAACTGAATGCGTGTAAGCCTACATCAAGTGGCTAGGCATTCAATTGTACAGAGCCCAGATTTGTCTTCAGCCCGCAGTCCCGGTCTTTTCGCGAACACAAGTCTCCAACAACAACTGTTCGCCCGGCGCTGCTCTGAGAGATACGGCTGCCTGGTCTAGAGATAAGAGCTGTCACAGGGGCAAAAGTCCGCAATTCATTGACACCGTGCAAAGCCTCCATGGCGCCGCAGCCAGCAAACATTTCAGGTCAAGTAACATCCGGCCCGGGCGGCACGCATGGTGTGCCTACTGCCTGCCCTTTCACCAACATGATTAGTATACCCACCTCGGCCTGTGTCCTCCTTAAGATGCGTGTTGGCTCTACTATTTGCCTCAGGCTCTAGCCTTGTGATGAAAGGCAAGGCACTATAAAGTCCAAACCTGTCTCCGACTCAGGCTGCCTATTTCCATGCCATTCGCGTCAACTTTCGCCGATCTTGAATCTCTTGACTACGCCATCCCAGCCGTCTCTCTCGCTCTTGTTCACCAATGGCCGACGAAGCTAGCCCCCGTACTGAGGATGACTGATGCGTTTTTGCGTGTCCCTACGCACACTGGGGCGTTGGGCACGGCACCAAGCATCAAGGACACCGGCTGCCGCACGCGCAGCCATGTGAACAGGCAGCCGTGTGAACAGGCAGCCGTGTGAAACAGGCAGCCGTGTGAGCAGGCATCGGTATGTGGCTGCCTTGTAAACCGGCCGGATCACCTAGATAGTCCGACCTGGCTGCCTCCTACATAAGGATGAAGCAGTCATAGCTTAGTTGGAGAGACAACCATCCCACTTCATCTCATTCATATGCAAAATGCATCAATGACCGAGGCTTTGACTTGGCCAACTATGCGAAAGGACTCCTCGCCATTGCCCAGTGTTGCTAATAATATGACAATAAAGTAGTATACTGCAGTATATACAATACAATACGCGATTTCTCATATTGTACCAATACAATATGCTCGCCGTCATATTGTGACGATACAATATGGCGCCTTCCATACTGGCAATATATGGCTTGTATTGTTTGTATTGGTTGGTGGTCATTCGCCTTTCCGTTCCCCAATTCGCGCCAATATGATGACGCGTCAAAATACACGCGTAAATATAAGCATGTTCTATGTATTGTTTTTCGTCTGGCGGACCTCCAGGACGTAAAATCTTCCTATTGGCGCACGGAAACGCGTAAATGTATGTATAAATCCAGACCTACAGGGTAGCGGCTCGCCGTCCAAACACTGTTTTCCTCCTCAACCCCGCTTTCCCACCCCAGGACTTACAAGCAATCTCGATGCCTCAACAACGCCTGCCTTTTGTTCAAACATCGCCGCGACGGGATTCGTCAATATCAGACGAATACTCGGAGATTTCCAGCCCACGGTTGCATGATCCAGATGAGACCCAAACCACTGAATGCCAATCGTCGCAACCTCGCACGGCCTCCATAAACCCTTCGGCCAAGCCAAGAACATCATGGGTCTTTTCTCATATGCCAGACGAGGACATAGAGACGAAATACTACAATCAGCGGACCGGAAAAGAAGAATGGCGCTGCAAACACTGTGACAAAACGTATTGCTGTTCCGGTGGAACTGCGGCCCCAGCCAAGCACCTTACGGATCCTCCTCCTGACGGTCACGGCCTCCCAAAAGGCGCGCCACGAACAGCCAAAGTCACGAATATACGAACTATTCTCGAGATAGCTCGTGTTATGGCCAAAGAACATCCCCGAAAACGCCGTCGGCTCAACGATCAATCCGGAGACTCGATCGACCCAGACCAGCTCGAAGCTTTATACGTAAGGTTTATTACGTCCTGTTCTCTCCCATTTAGGCTTGTGGAATGCCCAGAATTCCGAGCATTCTTAGCCTACCTCAACGCCGATATCGATACTTGGCTTCCAGATACACACGAGACCATCAAGAAATGGATTATGCGGCAGTACGAAGGTCAGAAGGAGAAGGTCAAGCAGCGCATCCAGTCAGCAAAGTCAAAAATTCATATCAGCTGCGACCTATGGACTTCCCCCAACTCTTTGGCCATCTTAGGCGTAGTTGCTCATTACGTTGCAGAAGACAGTCAGTTGGAACACCATGTCTTGGCTTTGAAAGACATCGACAGTGAGCACGACGGATATCACCTGGCAAGGGCAATTTTGGAAGTGGTTGATGACTGGGGTTTGCTTCAACCTTGGATATTTTGTGATGGACAATGCAGGCAATAACGATACAATGATGAGATCTCTTTCCCTTGGTAAGTACGGCGCACTGTTTTTTCTGACTGGCCCTAACATCTACAGGCCTTCTACGTCGATATGACATTCGATACGATCCCAAATCTCACCGACTCCGCTGCCAAGGTCACATTATCATCAACCTTGCCGCCAAAGCTTTCCTCTTCGTTACCGATAATGAGAAGCTCAAAGACGACGAACGTGATGGGCATAATGTGACACTAAAAGAGATCGAGGCGTGGCGGAAAAAGGGTCCCCTTGGCAAGCTCCACAACTTCGTGGTTTTCGTCCAAAGTAGTGTTCAGCGTCGCCAAAAGTTTCTGGCCATCAGCCATAATCGCAAGCTTGCGCGAGATAATGACACGAGGTGGAGTTCGTGGTACACCATGCTACGAGCGGCCTTGCATCTTAGAGGCGCAGTCGAGGGATATTCAACAAATGGGTGGAAGGAGATTGTGCCGGAGACGAGCTCTCTCCCGAGGAGTGGGTCATCCTCGAGAAGATCAAGTCTTTCTTGGAGAAGCTTAAAATGACGACAAAGGCCCTTGAGTCATCGTTTGCAACTCTTGACAATGTTCTCTTGGCTATGGACTTCGTATTGGCGCAATTTGAAGCAGGAAAAGAGGCACATATCGACGATCCGATTATGGCACCAATGTATAACTCGGGCTGGGCGAAGATGGATAAGTACTATTGTCTTACTGACGAATCGCCTGCCTACGTCGCTGCGATTGTGCTTCACCCTTCGCATAAATGGCACTACATACACGAAAACTGGAAGAAGGAGTGGGCTGACTCGTCAAAGAAGCTGATGGAGACACTGTGGGATGATTATAAACCTGTGGAGCCGCCTTCTCTATCTGAGGTTCCGTTGACGACCACGAACGAGTTCTTGAATTGGAGAAACAAGCACCTACAACCAGCACTTATCACAGACGAGTACGAGCGATATTGTAAGTCTGAACGGGTTTATGGGTTCACAAGCGCCCTCGCATGGTGGCTGGAGGAAACACAGCAAAAGAACTACCCATACCTGAGCAAAATGGCGGTGGATATACTGTCAATTCCCGCAATGTCTGCTGAGCCCGAAAGACTCTTCTCTGGGGCAAAATAACCATCACAGACCGTCGAAATCGACTTGGGAGTGATGTAATTCAGGCATTGGAGTGCTTGAAGTCATGGTTTGGGATACAGGATTTTCAGGGTGACGATATTTCAGCAACGACGGTTGAATAATGAGGTCACGTGGGATATACGGGATATATTGTTTTACTGGCAATATATTGGGTCACTGGCAATACAATACAATATGGACCAATGCCATATTGCGCAATACAATACGCACCTCTTGACAGTACAATAATATTGCGAGGGGTCCATATTGCCAATATACGTATTGTTTATATTATTAGCAACACTGTCATTGCCCCTGAATATGACTGCAACTTGCCGGACCAGGGCGAAGCCAGTGAACTGACCAGAGTTCCTGCCTTACACAACAAACGGCGAGAAGACTTCGCATCCGGAGTGACACAAGACCAGCAGAGGTCAGAATCCGCGTTTGCAGTATCGCCATCTATCATTGAGCAACAACAGTCCGATTGCGGTCAATACTATGTATGTCTGGTGGCGGGCTGCTCAAAGGCATACATTAACGATGACGACTTGAGATCCCATTCAAAAGTTTGCATTCGATCGCATGGGACTCTCTGGAGCTTCCAAGGCCTGGGCGACGCTGAGCAACCAAGTCCGTTTCCTATTGTGGTGTGCGAACCAACCGCAGCATATGATAGCAGGGCGACAGATCGTGGCAAGACCAGTGGAGAGTCAGTCGTGGTTCGTCACTTTCCAAATTCACAGTCCTCCATGTCGCCTGTTGAGAGCTGCGACGACTCCCAGATGGACGACCTTGTCGTCGACCCGCTGGTAGTGGAGGGCTCCCGACATGACTGTCTCGGCAAAGAGAGGGAGAAGTCTTGATCTAGACTGGCTAGTCGACGCGGCACCAGGGTCGCCGGCGCGAAAAGGATGGCCTTGGTCGGCATCAAGTGGCACGAAAGTGCCCGACTGCAAGAAATGGGCAACATGGCCGTCACTAAAGCCATGCCTGTTGAGAAACTCTCGTAGCTGCTTGTTCACCTCGGCTACTCTCCTCGCGGCTATCTGGATCTCGGTCGAAGCCTCGATGCCCTGGAGCTCGTATACTCTGAGTCGCTGTTCGAGCTCTTGGACATACTCTCTCCGTCGGGCCCGCGACCTCCTTTGGCTGTCTCGAATTCGGACTAAGATGTTCTTCTACTAGAGCAGAGAAAGAGAGACGGAGTCTCGTGTTAGAAAAGGCTATTCCTGTCGATGGGATCGCCTAGGTTTATGTCACTGTCAGAGGGAGCAGACTGACGGTCTAATCCGCACACGTATAAACTCCGGTGAAAGAGGCAGGTCAGACACAAGGACTTGAGTCAGGTATCGATACAGTAGAGGAACATTGCCCTAATCGGGATACACGGGAATTGGCACTGATTCAGGGCCACCACGGGTCCCAGATTGGTATCTATTCGTATAAATACCCCCTCAATGTCGCACAGATAGATAGAAAACATGCATCATCGTTAGGACTCAATTGTGCCTGCCCTTATCCTTCCGCCCGCGCTCTCAGCTTGCTGAGAGTCACTTACTGCGGGGGCTGACATTTAGCTTGCAGGCTTGTCTATAGACTCTTCTTGGCCAGTGAAGGGGGAAAGCAAAATAAAAATAAAAATCAGGTGAATAGTCCCGTAAGTAGAGTATCGGCCCAATTCTGGGTGTCGGGAAAGAATGGGGGTTGGCAAAAGGAAAAACGAGGAAATGGACAAAACTTGTTAGATCTCTGGCAAGGGAAGTATTTGGGGAAAGACCAAGTAAGATAGCTACAGCAGCTTCACGCCTTCTTTGCCTGGCCGCGTGCTGGTCATGGCGTAGCCCTTGCAGTCTTCCCAGGGGCTTGGACAAAGGACAGTCGGGTTTGCATTTTACGGGTCACTCGGTAGCCGCGGACGCAGGTCTCACAGAGGCTACCTTCTTCTTCCGAAGTGGATGCCGACGTGGGCAGCCCTTCCCTTGTCACGAGGCTTCCTTCCCTGCGAGCTTCGCCACCCCCCAGCACTTCCCATGCCAGGACGAGGGAAGAGAAATCAACAGGCAGAATCCTGCGTCACGCTCACCCCTGACTCCCACTGCAGGGGAGCTAAGGGCCAGTCTGCATGCATGGTTCGGAAGAGGCGGTCCGCCCAGTCACCCTAGACTCTAGAGATTCGTCCCGGTGCCTATTTGGAAGTTGGCTGCTGGTGGATTTGGGATGTGATCGACGCGTAGATGCAGAAGCCTGAGGTGTCCTGGTCCGGGGTACACGAACCAGCCGATGCAAGGGATGGTTGAAGACTTAGGCTGACTGGTAGACGCCCCCCCTAAGGGGTGGCTCACAGGCATCAGCCAAGTAACAGCGGACCACAACCCCGAAACAGGAGGAAGGTGCATGAGCCAACCCGGCTGAAAGTTGGCAGGAAGTGACCAAGGTCGCATTGTGGAGGACTTGCGGGATAATTTGCTGGAGCTTGCATCAGGGGTTACAGACAAGCTCGACCCGGGAAACCCGTTCCACACTCGAGCGGAAAGCAGAGGAACATAGACACCAACCCACCTATTCTTCTTCTTCTATATCACTCTCCTTGTTCTTGCAGCTCTCCAAGGGCCAACGAGCGGCGGACGATCTAACGAAGGCCCTTTTGCCCGCCATGTCGACTGACTCTGCCTCGACGACTCGGGAAGATGCGAGTCCCTTTCACACTGAGTCGGTTGCCTGTGGACAAACTGGTCATATACGTGCCATCGATAGGATTCTACGTCCTGCCTCGCCAACCTCGGAGGTTTGGGGCACCGAAACTCAATACAACGGTGCAGGCCGTCGCGACGAACAGGCGCAAGGCGAGATTGCAGAGTCACCTACAGCAGAGGCACATCCGCTGCTCGCACCTAGCCATCTTCATGACTCTTCCTCTTGCAGCGACGGGAAGGAGAATCGTCCTCCTGGACTTGTATTTCAGGTCGCCGTATCCGACACTTGCCATCGAGTAGAGGCCAACGGTTCCATCGATAGCGGACAAGACGAACAAATTGAACTGGAGTTCGGCTTCCCTCTTCGCAAGACTGTTCAAATCACCTTGATGTTCTCCCAGTATTCTCCTCTAGGCTCGTCACGATGCACCAGACAGCGCGAGCGGAGGAACCATGATGAAATCCCTGGGAGGAAGGATGCATGGCTTCGATCGCCTCAGGAAAGATGGCAAGCTCCTAGGCAAAGACGCAAGAGGCAGCGTACTCACAAACTTCGGAGGAGCAAGCGACCGGCCGTGGAAGAGTGTTGAATTTGAATATCTGTACCAGCCTTTAGAGCGGCGGTGGTTTTTGGATGCCTCCTCTATGGAACATTGATTCCACAAGCTAGCGTCAACATCCTCGGCTGCTTTCATGCAGAGCTTGTCGAAGAACCGCCTTATGTCGACCGATTCATGCGATGTGTGCCGGTGGTTCAACACAGTGATCATGGGCTCACCACACACGTTTGTCGGTGCTGAAGGTCGTGCTGGCGCTACCTTCGAAATGCCATCGTTTAAATTTGATGTTCCCTTTGGCCGCCGACTGCCTCGCCGACTTCCCTTGGGCAACGCTCTTTCGAGCGCTTCCGCCTGTTCTCTTCGGGAGACCAGTACGAGAGCTACGTCATGATCTATCGTCAGATGCGAGAGCTTCGCCGGCGACGAACCAAATGTGCCTTGAGGAACGAAAGGTTCTTCCTTCCGCCTCTTTTCCCCGCGAATTCTGAACGCACCGTAACCACGTACGCACGGACCTCCCCTTCTTCCTCCTAGCACTCGCTCGCAGCCGTCCCCTTGCACGATGCCGCGAGAACACCCAGTCACGGTCTCACCCGAAGAGGTTCGGCGCACGTTGGGGGATCTTGAATCGCAGAGGTCCCGTCAACGCCGTTCACCGCTTGTCAGAGTTCCCCACGACGAGATCCTCCGTGTCTTGCGAGATATGGACCGCCAGCGCGCTCAGGACCGAGCCCGCCGCCGCGAGGCTCAATGCCAATATCCCGCACAAACGCAACCGCCATCCAACCCATCACTGAGAGGACTCAGAGAAGAGCAAGAACCTTCCACTCCTCCCCCCACGCGGCCAAGGCGCTCCCCCACGGGACATATACAGCCGCCATCCACCCCGTCGCCGAAACGACCTGGAGAAGAGCAAGCGCCTCCCACTCCACCCTCAACGCAGTCAAAACGCTCCCTCAAAAGACATATGCAGCCGCCGGCCGCTCCATCACCGAAACGACCCAGAGAAGAGGAAACACCTCCCACTCCACCCCCCACGCACCCAAGGCGCTCCTTCAGAAGTCACACGCAACCACCAGCCTCTCCATCACCGAGTCGACCTGGAGTGGAGCAAACGCTTCGCACCCCTCCACCCACGCGGCCTAGACGCTCCCCCGCAAGGCCCGGCCCTACGCGAGAAACCGTTCAACTCCAACGAGACACTGTCAATTCTACTCTACATCGCTATAACGCCCGTTTCCGCTCCAAGGACCAGGCGTCGTCAACAAGATCCTGGTGCAACGAAGTTCCGCTCGCCCTTCGGGTAGCAGCTCCCAAATCGTTCCACCAAGCGTTTACGGACGAGAGGACGTTGCCGATCTCCCACTGCGCCTTCTGCTATAGGAAGACACCGCCTTGCGAACTTACCACCATGCAGTGGAGGCGTCGTCTATCGCCATCCCTACTACAGGCGACCAGGACTCTCCAGGAGTGTGATGCGTGCCTTCCGTCACACGAGGGCGCCGGAGTGGACGTGTGCCGCGAGTGTCGCGTCAGCTTGGACAGTGGACGGCTGCCTAAAGCCTGCTCGGTCAACAACATGGCCATCGGTTGTGAGCATCGGTACCCCGAAGAGCTTGGTGACCTCTCTCCCGTCGAAGAGAGACTCATTGCCCTGCATGCGCCTTTCGGCTATATCACCAAATTCACGGTGGACAATAAGACTCGTTCGGGAATTAGTTACCTACCGCAAGCACGTGAAAGGGCATATCGTCGTCTTTCCGAACAAGGTGGACGATCTTGTTGCCACTGTTCTTCCCCATCCCTTGCTGCAGGCCATTGAGAACATCCACGTCTCTTGGAGCGGTTCGGGTAAGCCTGGCTCCGCAGATGTCAGACATCTACTTCAGGTGCGTAAATCTCGGGTGGCAGCTGCCCTGGCATGGCTGCAGAGGAACAACCCCCTTTACGAGGATATCGCGATCAACCAAGCAGAGATGGACGGCTGGCAGTATGCCGACGGCTCCACTGTTCCGACCGTCATCATGGACTGCATGCGAAGAGAGGAACCGTCGACCGTTGAGAAGACACAAACGGACCACATAGTCCCGGACACTGATCGAGGCTTGGAGGAAAGCAGCTTCAGAAGTATCGACGATCTTGTGAACTCGATCGATCCTCCTTTCGTCGCTGAGTGTTGCGATGAGGACTTTGCTCTGTCGACTGAGCAGACTCAACCCTCCCCTGGTGACCCGGCGACTCCTGTCCCCGACTCGGCTGCCGTCGGCCTGGAAGTTGACACCGTCTGTGAGACGTCTACGTCCGGCATGTTTCCTCTCGATGGTCCGGCTGCCTTCGCCGAGACCGATAAACTGTCGTTTCTGGCCGACATCGTCAACGCCAATCCGGACCGACATGGCAACTCTGTGCCGTGCGTTATGCAGGTCCGAACTACAGGAGACCAGCCGTTTGTCCGAGTAGAGCGTGGTGCGGATTTTGCAGACAACCTGCACGAAGATTTCTTCCCTCGAACATTTCCGAAGCTTTTCCCGTGGGGAAGGGGCGGCCCGAAATCGAAGGGCGACTCGAGTCATGGCCGACAAAGCGACGCTGCCGACCGTCGTCCGAATCACTCTCTTCAATACTGGACCAGATACGTATTGCAACGGCATGGAGGCCGATTCGCCACCCATCCTGTCTTTTGTTTCTTAGTATTCAACACCCTCCTTCGCTCCACCAACCGCCGCATCAGCATGGTCCGTGTCGCTAAAGATTCCTTCCTTCCACAGACTTGAGCAGGCCTATGCAAACTTGACCGAGGACCGACTGAAGAGGGCCGAAGTGGAGATGCGGGAGACGAGGACTACGTCGGACCCCGACATATCGGTCTTGCTTCGCGAGCTGTCGATCTTTGGCCATGCACAGCCGCTCTCGAACGAATCCCGTTTACTTATGCGGAGGAAGATACAAGCTCTAGACATCCGCGCCGGTATGCCTGCAATCTGGATTACCATCAGTCCCAACGACATTAATAACCCGGTAAAGATGAAGCTTGCCATTCATAGGCTCCACGATTATGAGTCTGCGAAGGAGCTTTTGGCCGATCTCCGTGAAAAGTACGACAGGATCGCCCTGAGCACCATGGATCCGGTTAGCTCGGCCATCTTCTTCCACCGAGAAATATCCCTATTCTTTGAAAAGTATGTGAATACAGGCCGGGAATCGATCTTCGGGAAGATCAGCCACTATCCCTCTGAGGCAAGGAGGGCGAACCCTATTATGCCTGGAGGCGTACGCCTACCGCGGTCATGTTCTACAAGACTTATGCCTGTATGACTACATGTCAATTATTCACTTGGTGCGTCGAAATGGTCGGAGTGAAGATGACTCTCACATTTTCTCGATGGCCAGGATTCAGACTGTGAAGGCTGGATGCAAAAGCTTCGACGGCCCGACCAGTACGCCGTCCCGATCTTCCAAGGATACATCAGCGACGACCACGAGGACGATCACCCAGTCTATATTAAGCGGTACGCTCTAACCCCCGGCACCGTTTTGGCTCCGTCTGACACTCTGTGTAGAAACCCTGTCCTACATTTGGCGTTATTCGTCCCTTAGGAAAACTTCATTTCTGAGAGCCTAGGTGATATAACCGACATATGGACGACGCATCGAGCGGGCCTTTGTCCCGCCTCCGTTTCTACGTCTCTAACATTTGTCTTTTGAGAAAGTCTGCCGAAGCCGCGCGTAAGGACGCGAAGCTCTGGGCCAGTCGGTCGGAGGGCGACGACACAATTGACGTTGAGTACCCGCTTGGCGATGGCCGATACGAAGAAGAGCCTCCAGCGATGGCTCATCGTCAGGCCTACAGAGCTCTACTCCAGATTTTGCGAAATGCCGTGCAGGACACGGACGCCACAAAAGACTCACCCGTCCTTGGAGGTTTAATACACGATCTGTGGGAAGAGAACCCGGCTGGAGAAGAGCAACCTTTTGTCCAACGTCAAGAGGATCTGTACCGGAATATGCCCCATGATCAAGGTGACGCCTTGTGTCAACTCCCCATATCTCGAGACGATGTCCAGGCAGCGGCCAAGGCCCAACAACTATTGCATCTTCGGATGCTAGACGACATTGAGGGTGGTTCCCAGGGGACCATGCTTTCCGCGGATGGCGCCGACATCGACGATACGCTAGCTCGCTACGGCGATACGGAGTCCCTGCTGGGCCCGGGCAGCGACCTCAATGAACGAGGCCCTCGGATGCTTGTCGACGTCAGTCCGGCAACTAGCTTCGCGGAGATGGGACACACCGCCGCGGCCAGCTTTACACTGAACTATCTACAGACCATGGCCCTTCAACTCGTTTGCCTGTTTCTGGACAAGTATACTGCCAATCCGGACTCAGCGGGTCAGCATCTTCAATACACCGGCGGGCCGGGTGGCACGGGAAAGTCGAGGATTATCGATGCCCTGAAGGACGTGTTCGCGGCGAGGAACCAGCCGCATCTTCTGCAGATAACCGGCACGTCGGGCAGTTCGGCGGCCCAGATTGGCGGCACGACCATCAACTCGGCCTGTGGGTTGATTCCCATCGCGATCCAAACAAACCGCCTCCCCTTCTCGGAGGCGAAGAAGTGGATCTGGAAACAGAAGCTGGTACTCGTGATTGACGAGGTCAGTATGCTGGGAGGAGCCACTCTGCACAACGTCAGTCATTACCTGCAGGCACTCCGTGACTGTCCGGACGAACCGTTTGGCGGGATGCCCGTCGTTCTACTGATGGGAGACTTCTACCAGTTCGCCCCCGTGCGGGAAACAAGCCTACTGATCATCAGACCGCCGGACCGAACAGAGACCCCCTTGCGACAAGCGACCATATCTCGCCACAGCGGCTGCAGATTGTGGCATCTGTTCAAAACCGTGGTGCTCCTCGAAGACCAAGTCCGCGCACGCAACGATCCCCAGCTCCGTGCACTCCTGGATCGAGTTCGTAACGGGCGCCAGACCCATGAAGATCTGATCTTGCTCAATGCCAACATTGTAGGACGCTCGCAAATCACCTTCCACGATGGTTTGCGCGCTATAACGCCGCTGAACCGCACCCGGTGGGCCCTCAACATGGAAGCTGTTGTGGGCTGGGCGCGCTTCAACAAGCGGCACATCCGTATCTTTGTCTCGACTCACACCTGGCGCAACGGCACGCTGTCTCCAAACCTCATAGCGCGAACCATCGGACAAGGCGACGACTCTGCCTGCAAAGTCCCCGGCGTCTTCTTCTACGCCCAGAGCATGCCCGTGGTTGTGAACAAGAACATCTACACTGGCCTGAAGGTGGTGAATGGGGCTGACTTTACTGCCGTGGACGTGATAATCGATCCCAATCACCCGGGATACTGCTTGGCAGATGACGTGACCATCCACTTCGGGCCACCGCTCGGCATTCTTCTGCAGTCCGAGGAGACGAAGACCTTGGCGATACCGTCCTCCCGGTGGGGACAGTACTTATCCGGCCCATGTCGCATACACTTGATTCGACTAACTCTCACTTCAAGTTCTTATCCGCAAGATGCACGCGACGTGGACTGCCCGCTGTACCAGCGTTCGTTCTCACTGATTACAAAGCCCAGGGTAAAACATTCGTCGAAGTACTGTTGGAGCTGCGTGGAAATCGTGTGACCAATGGTGAACCCTCCAAGTGCGATTTTACGAGCCTCTATGTGCAACTATCCAGGTGCACCTCGCTTCGGGGCATCAAGCTTTAATCCCGTGAGACACCATGACTTCATTGGCAATGGGCTCGATCAGGCCATTCTTGATGGAATGCAGAGACTCAAGAACTTGGCCGCGGAAACGAGACGGTTATACAAGGACCAAGGTTTCGAAAAGTAGTGCTAGTATACTAACCATCCTTATAGTTTGACCTTTCGCACGTCGTAACGCGGCAGGTAGACGTCCTACACTTCATAAGGTGACCGGACCGCACGCCAGTCGTCCGGAGCTCGCTCCCCTCCCTTCCCAGGACGTAAGCGCTTTTGCTCCTCACAATAATTTACCCACCATTCGTCGAACGCCTGGCGGCTGTAAAGCCACCTCGGCGGCCCGTCTCCTTCCCGAACAGGTCCAGGATATGGTCGCAGAACATCCACACTCCTTCGAGATGCTGCGGATAAAATGGCTTCCTGTCCTTACGCGCGACCACGACGGTGCCAACTTGTGACTGCCAGTCTGGAGGTGCAAACCCGGAGTTGGCATCAATATTGAGGTACGTAGCAATCTGGTTGTCGAGGTCTGCCTCGTTGACGGACTGAGTCCCCGTCCGATCCAGGACCAGCGGGACCTCGATGAGCCCTGGGACGGACGGCACCGACTGCGAAAACACGACATGATTCGCAGGGATTGTAGTGGCAGACCAAAGGGAAACTTGCGCTTCTCGGCCTCACATCGGACAATGACAGCTTCGACATGCCCCGACTTGCTGTGCGTTTCCCTCAAACCTGATGTACCCATCGGCGGGGAGGCATGCGTGGGCGGCGGGGTGGGTTTTGCTGCTGGCGCTTGCTGGGGCGATGGAACGGCGGGTGGATGAAGAAGCTCGTGCGCGGCGAGTTTTGGATACAGATGACCCGCTGTAGCTACTTCCTTTGCGATTGTGTTTAAATTGACGGTGGTGCGCTTCGTATGACTCTAAAATCGACTCCCTTCCATAGGTAAAAGGGTATCACGGCCGGCTTCAATTGCGACTTCAATTGCGCCATGGACGTTGCTTGCGCCCGCTTGCAGTTCGTAGTGGGGAATGTGCACACAAAAATGCGGTATCGGCGCTGCCCCGCGATCTGCGCCACATTTTGTTGTACGTTCAGCAAAATGTGTTGTACGGATAACTACCCCCCATTACAAACCTGTGAACCGGTGGAACCGGGCGATGGCAGTAGGACTACGGCACAACCACGACATCTCGTTCATCGCGACGCAGCGCAAGACCATGGCCCTAATCTACTACATGACCAACTATGCGACGAAGGTAGAGGACCCCGTGTGGAAGCGTGTGGCCGCCGCGGCCGAGTTCCTTCCCGCGCTAGAGCCGACGGGAGAGGGCAACGGAAGTGGCGCCGACCGCGACGCCGGCCGAGGGGCGGGGCCGAAGGGTGGCGACGGCGGCGGACCCCATAGGGGAACAAGACGAGAACGTTCCTGCTCAAGGCGGCGAACCGAGTATTTACGGAGCGGCCGCTGTCGTTTGGCACTAATTTGCGATGCAGGATTGCTCCATCAGGGACAAACTGCTGCTCTTTGATGATATAACTGTGCCGGAGACGCCGCAGCTTTAACGTGACCCGGCGGCTCCTGGCTCCCCCGACTGTTGCTATTTTGCGCTGCTCTTGACTTTAGGGCTGCCTTGATTCGCGCCAGTTTCGTTGTACTTGAACGCTCGGGTCAGTCTACTGAAGCGGTCTTCTTCGGATAAGACGCAAACGCATGTGCCTCGCATCAGTGCTATTACCGTCTCCTCAATGCTGACGTCATACATATAGGAAGAGAAGTGGCCAACCCTTGACGAAGGACTCATCAGGAGTTCTGACTGGATAGCCGCGAGGTTAGGTTAGTGGCCGGAGAAGGTCAAATGGGGACGGTGGCTGCGGTCGCCGCTGCGACAAGGAGTATCGCGGAGGGGACAGTTAGCGCGACGGACAAGGGCCGAAGCAGGTGTCACACCACGAAAGTCAAGCGGACGCGGCATCCAAGTCCGGCCTATCGAGGCCAAGCAGGCGCCGGCGTTCGAGGAGGCCTTGCGAAGGAACGAGCGAAAACACTCAAAGAGCGTTGCCCGTAGGAATACGGCGAGGTACTTAGCAGCGAAAACGGACGAGGTACATCGATGGCGCTACTTTAGAGGAGGGCAAGCGCCACGGTCAGCATCGATAAACGCTCGTGATGGGCCAGAGGCCGTGTTAGTTGGGCGAAACGAAGGCGCAGGCATAGGGAATCGTCTGCCGCGGCCAGAGGTGGTCTTGAGACGGCTAGGCCTAGGCAGTCCGGCGATGGCGCCCGGGTAACTCTGAAGGGTCTCATCGAGCGTACTGTTACGGCCAGGTGCACACGAGCCACGACAGCTATAAAGGTGTATTGGCACTATGAACGAAGACTCAAAGCTAAGGAGCAAAGAAAGACTAGACTGCACGATCGAGCTGGCCCTTTTACCTCAGCAGTGCTCAGGCCATTTCAAGAGGAGTCTAACCGTTTTAGGTCAAAGTCACGTTACTTGGACTACTCCTCCAGTAAAAGGAGGAGCGCATGTGACTTACCGATTAGGTATAGTCCGCTCCGGTGGCGTAGTCACGACCAATGGCCTGAGCTCTGCTGAGGTAATGGCCCTATGTGCATATGCACGAGGTCGCACGTGGGCACGTGATGCTGCTTGTGCACGTGACACTGGTGAGGCTCTGCGCTGGCGCGCAGGGTCGTGACACGTACAACCGGCGCTGGGGAAACGCGCGAGGAGACCGAGAAAACCCCAACCCGTTCAGCCCAGAGAGGCTACGAACGCGGCCGGACAAGTGCCTCGCTCGGGTGAAGACGGGTTGCACGTCGGTAAGGAGCCCTTCGTTCGGCCAGTCCAACCTAGAGAGACGGAAAACAGAACAGCGAATCTGCAGTCTTCCGGACGTTCGCCACCGCGACCATTATGCGAGGTCGCAGCGGAGGAACAAGATCGGCCGAGACGAGACAAGGCGGCAGCGAGACCGTCGCAGCCCGTAGAACAGAGAAAGAGAATGGGCCAGCCCGACCGAGACCGGCCCCCGGCGAAACGTACTCGAGGCGGCCTTTGGAGGCAGAGGAGAAGGGAGTTGCAGGAGGAGGATTTGGCCAGCGTCCTACGTTACCTTGAAGAGGAATTCGCCGTAAAGGAAAGGCTGTCCAATGCAAAACCGGTGCACGCCCGTACCGCACGAGAGGAAGGTGTCGACGGTGCGAGGTTTCTATCGGGCCTTCCACGACGTAGACAAGCTGCCGATACGGATGTGCATGCTATGCCACCGGAAGCGCACGGCAAGAGAGCTGAGGGAGATGGCATGGGACCAGTGGATGTCGAGTCCCACCATTAGGGGGCGGTCGCGGATCGCCGTTTGCGTGCCGGAGTTGCTTCCCCGAGGGCGAGTCCGTCCCGCTCTGCGAGGAGTGTTCTCGACCTGTTGCACTGTTACACTGGCACATCAATATCTACAAGCCTCATCAACCTTTCTTTTGCAAGGCTTATTCACCATTCCCTCAGCCGAGGCATATTCGGCCGTATACTCAGCCAAGACTCATTTTGTCTTCCAGTCAACCTACTAGGGGGGCCTCAAAGTCGGCCAATCCCCGTGACAGCTCCACAGTCACGGGGGGGCGGTTGACCTAGAAAAAGCTTGTTGACCTGGAAAAAAACAGGGTACTTCAATTAGTGTGCACGCATCATACAATAAATAGTAGACATGTTTAAGATCATATCTACCATAGTTACAATTCGACCCCGCATATACCCCCCTATGGCAATAATTCAGAACCCATTTCACGATGGCGTCATAACACTACATTTTTATCGCCACGTCACTATCTCAATAGTCATCGAGGGAAGGCCAATTCTTTGACTATGGCTTCTTCAAAAGCTAAAGAGTCTGCTGTCCAAAAATGGATCGATTCTGCCACCGGCTTACCCAACTTTTCGCGCCATACAACCGCAAACCTCGAGACGCGAACTATTGCAGGAGCAGAGCTCTACTACGAGGGCTTCTACGGCTCAATTGTGGCCGCGGCGAAGGCGCTTGGCGTACCCTACAAGCGCCTCTATTATCGAGTCAATGGGCATCACTCAACGGCCGAGAATGGGGGCAACCGTACCCTGCTTGATCCCTCGGATGAAGAGGAAGTATTTTGCTGGGCACATCGCCGCATCACACAGGGGCACCACATCCAGGGTCGTGCGCTCCAACAACACGCCAACGCCATTCTCAAGGCAAAGGGCGTGGGAGCTACAGCATCGCGAGCCTGGGCCAAGCGCTTTATACAGCGGCATAGAGAACTCTTCCACCGTCGAAGAGCAGCAGCGCGAGACATCAAACGGAAGGCTATGCAAGATCGCATCCACGTTGAGGCTTTTTTTCGCGGCTGGTCTCAAACGATCGAGAAAGACGAGATTCTCCTAAGAACACCTGGAATTTCGACGAGACGGGCTTCATGGTGGGATATCTACATAAAGGCACATTTATTTGGACCTTCCGCGAGATTGATACCCCTATTTTATCTGACGCTCACGAAACAGTGTCGGTCACAGCGATTGAGGCTATTTCTGCAGCTGGGAGTTGCATTCCTTCGTTTGTGATACTCCCTGGGGTCCAAATTCCTGCCCGTTGGGTTAGCAACAGCCTTGACGACGATACCATCATTTCAACCAGCCAAAAGGGGTATATTAACGATGTCATCGCGATTGAATGGATCAGACACTTCGAGAAACACACGAGACCAGTTGATCCACTTCAGAAGCGGCTTCTACTTATGGATAGCTGTGATAATCACTATACAGAAGAGATGGTTCACTTCTGCTTCGATCACAACATTAAGGTCTTCCCAATGCCTCCCCATCTTACACATCAGCTTCAACCTCTTGATGTCGGCGTTTTTAGGTCATACAAACACTGGCATCAACAAGTTCTACATCGTGAGATTGCTGACGGGGCATATTACTTTAACAAGTCCGATTTTCTATATCATCTTCAAGAGGTCCGCACTCGCACCTTCAAAAAGCACACAATTCTCTCATCTTGGCAGAAATGTGGCCTCTTCCCATTCAATCCCGAGATCGTGCTCTCTCAGCTTCAAGACACGCTCTCGTCGCTCACAGAAGAAGTGGCTATTAAGGACCTGCCGGGCTCGATCGAAAGCGAGCCTCAGGGCGGGCCTCAGGCAGCAAGACCGTCAACACCATCGCCACACACGCCGCCCTCGATTCAACGATTCAACTGGAACAATGTTTCAACGCCGAGACTCAACCTCTCTACGATTCAGAGGTATCACGCCTACGTACAGCTTCGTCTAGCCACATCAGTTGACTTTGACTCCTCCGTCACATACGTCTATGAGAAGGCGCGGAAAGCCGACAAAACCCTCGCTCTCAACGGCATCACCGCAACGGCCGAGATGACGAAGATAAAAGAGAAACAAGCCAAGCGCTCCAGTCTCCAGCAACAGACAACTATTGTAGCGAGATACGGCCCATTAAGCGTCGGTGACGCTAGAATTCAAGTCGCCCGAGACGAATACAATAGACAAGCGGCAAGAAGAGGAGGCACAGAGAGTCAGGAATAAGGAGGTTCGCGACGAAGCTGGCTATATACGCCGCTGGCTTCGCAAGGTACGCTTCAACGTCAGGATTAGCATCACAGAGGCGAGGATTCGAGACATCAGAGGTCTCTGGGCCAAGGGCGACAAGCGCGCACACCTCAATTGCAATGAGTGGATGTGCGCAAGCTACAGGATTCTCCGCGAGCTACACAACCGCGGCGTAGGGCAAAGCAAGGCGATCATGTGGCCGGAGTACTATGATCGCGAGATTGTAAAGGAAGCAGCCGAATTAGTGGTGATGGAGGCAAATAAGCGTGCTATTTGCCGTCAGACGCTTTCCTTGGAAGCTGACGGCATCGAGATGCGATGAAGAGGAATCATAAGACGCGCTCGAGGCTGGGAAGGAAGAAGAAATCGAATAGAGCTCAATTCGATGCCAAAACACCAAAACACCCCAAAGGCAGTATGGTGATGCATTTGCATTGCTATGACTAGCTTGCAATAAAGCGAACATGTGTTGCACTTATCGCGGGAAGAGAGGTACTTTTAAGTTCTAGCAAAATGACGGGGCTCTTATGTACTTCTTTTTTCAGGTCAACGAGCTTTTCTACTCGTGCCACGCCCCACTTTTCTGGATTCCGATTCACCTTCACCAGCCAAGCTGGTGCTGACGGGCCACTTAACCAGACTGGCCACCTAGCCACTTTTCACACCTTCTACTTTCCAGCCCTTCGTATGGCCCTACAACCACCAGTTCCGCTATATACAAGCATTTCGCCCAGTTTACCAGTCATTCGCATAGATCTGGCTTTTTTTGCGGCCGCCAAATACCATCTTTTGAGTGCGTTATCGTACCGAATCCGGGTGGCGTCGACTTTGCGCTGGGCCTTCTGAAACTCTGCCTCCGCCTTCCGTGCGGCCATTTGACGGCCCTGGGCTACCGTAAGCACCCCTCCTGATTGTAGTGGTATATTTTTCATGGCCCTGCGGAGTCGTCTAGTTTTCTCAGCCTGTTGTGTGCGGCTGAGGTCCTTCTTCGTTTGAAGGAGCTCAGTACTAGTGGAAATCGCTCCACGGATGAATTGGCCTACGGACACAAGGAAGTCCTCCTCGAGAAGTATAGAACCATCGTTGCATTCCTCGGCAATAGTAAACTGGTCCTCCAATTGCGTTGCCGCCTTGTGCATTTGCCGGAGGGTGACTGGCGTGCCGAACGGTGAAGACAGGAGGGCCGGATCCAATTCAGGGGTAGGTGTACGAGCTTTGCGTGCTTTCATGACGGCCAGGACCACCTCTTGGTTGAATGGCACTATTCCAGTCTTCCGAAACGCAGAAATGATGGTCAATTGACGAAAGGCTTGCTTCCGGACGTCCTGAATGAAGTCCAAGAACTCCAATTTGGTGATATCTGTGCAGCCGTCACGAACCACTAGGTCTACCGCCTTTGCGTGATAATGCTTGAGCGGCTGAAAGACTACCATATCCAGTGGTTGAAGAAGGTGTGTTAAATGAGGAGGTAAAGAGAAGGGTATAATACCGCGGCGCCCACAGTACTCGATAAACGGGTATGTATGGTGTGAACCGAATCCATCGAGTAGAAGTAGCCGCTTGTTGCCTTTGGTCTTGTTTTTCGTGTGCTCGTCGAAATGATAGATCCACTCCAAGCAGATCTCGTCGTTACTATACCCAGTTGGTGACATCGCAATGCGTGTGTCTGGGTAGTGCTTCATGACTTCGTACCATCGAGCTTGATGTTGGATACCACAGAGCACCAAGAAGGCTGGTAAGACTCGCCCACCGGCCGAGATGCACTCAATGGCCGTAGCTGACTCCTCTTACCAGGAGTGCCGAAGTAATGGGCTTTCTTGCGCTTTGTGACGACCAATTGGTCTTTTCCAACCCCGATACGAAACCCTGTTTCGTCCATGTTCCAGATGTCGTCTTCCACAATGCCTTCGGATTGCATTACAGCGTGGAGTTTCTTGTACCACTCAATGACTGTAGGGATATCCTCGGCGGCTTGGCGGTTCGATTCCAGCTGCTTTTGGCTCATTAGTAGATATTTATGACGCTTGACGAAGCGGTCGATCCAATGTATGCCCACGGTGGGCGGGTTGCTCTGGCTAGCCTTGCCTGACCGCTCCTTGAGAATGCGGTTTGCAGCATCCACAATGAACTCTCTGCGTACGGCTAAATTCACAGCGCCAAGGCGATCGATGTAGCGGCATAGTGCATCTTCTTCTGGCTTGCTCAATTTCGTATTTGTTGGTTGGCGGTCAGTCAAGCTGGTTCGGCCGTCCAGGCGGCTTCGGAGTCGGCCACGCGGCACTTCGAATTGACGAGCAACCGTGGTCACCTTTGCAGTGGGATTTTGATCAAGATACTTCTTGGCCTTTTGCACACGAGCCTCCAGAAGCCTGGCCTCTTCGCGACGCATTTTGGTGGTGGTGTTCTGGCTGAAATGTAGAAGGTGTGAAAAAGTGGCTAGGTGGCCAGTCTGGTTAAGTGGCCCGTCAGCACCAGCTTTTATTATTATTATTTTGTATTGCGCCCGGAGGGTTCCCCCATAGAGCCACTACGCTAAGCTACGTACCTACTGTACATGGTTCCATCGCACCTGAAGCCCCACGTGTTGGATCCACCTGTGCACTAGGCACCGATCGCGCACGTATAACTAATCGACCGCGCTAGTCACGTGCGAGTAAGAGGTGAGACACAGGGAGGAAGGTCTTTGCACACAGTTTGTATGGGACACGTTTCCCTAGTTACACAAGATATAACCAATTGAACCAGTTCGAATAACCTCACTGCAGTGAAGAGCCTGTCCACACTGATCAGTGTCGCCCGGCAAAGGTGACACAGAACAGCAAGACGGAAGAGAGCTAACCTATCGTCACGCTCTGCAAAGCGAGCTCCTGACGGTAGGATAGTTGCTACAACGCGCGGATTGCTACGAAGACTCTGCATCAGAGCCCACTCTAGTTATCCAACCGTGCCTAAGCTTTGCTGTCATCAGCGACCCTTAGGCGTGCCCTATCGCACATTGATAACCTCATTGACACCCTGTGCCCTGTTTCTCAGCACACAGCCTGTCAATATGTCTGACAATTCATCTGCCGCACTAGCCCCGGCAACAGCCCAGGATACCCCGGCCAACGTGTCTCTCGAAGACAGGCAACTCGTTGAACGGAACCTGACGATCGTGGAGCTCCCTTCACTCCCGATCAGGCATTTCGACGCGGATTTCTCAACGAACCTATCACCCAGAGCTCCTCCTTGTCCACCGCAACAGCTTCTTCTTAGGCTGTGTGGCAACATACACGGTGGATAAACGTAACCACGGAATTGCCCTGCTTGGGGATCTGTATAACGACTTCACGGGATGGAGCTATGATGACTTCGAACTAATCAACCCACGCCTTAGATCAAGACTCCGGACGCTTCTCAGAATTAGGGGGATCTATATGGGCAAGGCCAACTCTAGCATCTCTCGAGCTTTATGTGGCCTTCTAACAAGTAACGAACTTCCTGAATGGGATGAGAACGAGTTGCTTGGTCAAGAGGTTGCTGAAAACACCGTGGCATATAAGGTGAAACAGAAGCTGCTCCAAGGAACTGTTAAAGCGGCTATATCGTCACCGGCACCGGTAGTAATCCAGCAGCCAACTATTACCCGACCGGCGGAACCGGAATCCTCAGATCATTGAGACCCATCAACCCGCTCAGCAAGAGCCTCAGCATCAATGGCGCGAATCCCTCGGTATCAGCAGACGCTCCCGTACGGACTACCAACTTCCGAGATGCATACACGAGCATTCCACCTGTTCGATTCGAGAACGAGGAAGTTGAGGCCGATCTCACGATTAGATTCATTAAGATATGGGACAAGAAACTAGCCTATACCGGCGAACCATACGATATCTTCGATGACAAGATCCGAAATTCATGAGCGTGTGCCGTCAAGCAAACATTCCTCCGTCTAAATTCCATGGTGTTTTCCTTCGATTCTGGCCAAGGAAGCTCAGTCCTTCTTTCTACACGAAATCAGCACTGATTTAACCTTCGCTGAGATGTATCAGAAGATGAAAGAGCACTTTGACACCGAAATCAACCAGAAGATGTATCATACCCACTGGAGCACCCTCACCTTCAGCCGACTTCGGGCTGAGATGCCCGGTAAGTCATCTGACGAGGTCCTCCAGGCCCTTCTTACGAAATTGCGGCTCTGTAGGAGAGCACTCGGGGATAAGTCTGGCGGCGAAGGTGGCCTGATCGATGCAACGCTCAGGGCGTGCCGTGGTGTGCCTGAATTCCGACTCGCGATATACTCTCCCGCACCTACATTTGAGGGATTGGCATCACAGCTTCGATCATCGCTATCTGCCATGCAAGATGAACGATCTGAACAACCCAGTGGCCAATATCCCCAAGACCTGGATAGAGGACATGATCAGCACTTCGTGGATCGCAAATTTCAGCGAAATTCCGGCGGAACAAGAGGTCAATCACAAAGGCGTCAGCCAAATTGGAAGAAGAAATGCTACGTTTGCGGCAAGGAAGGTTGTTTCTCAACGAGACATCCTGAAAACGAGAGAAAAGCAGCCAAAGAGAAGTATCTACGAGAGAGGCTTCCACGGTCAATCTCGTTCGTATGCTATGTTCTTGGCTGACTATGAAGGGGAATCACAGGATCAGGATGACTCGAGAACCGAGGAATCCGATGATTCTGACTCCTCTGACCCTTATGAATCGTTCTACGCTGCTGCGACCTTCTGTCCAACGAAGCTTTCCATCATCGGATCTCCAGTAGGCATCAAGTTATTCAACAGTGACGAACCCACACAATTCATACTAGATCGTTACTCTCAAGACTCGTTCCAAGGAATCATGCCGGACACAGGTGCGGCATGCATATCGACGGGAGGAATCGAACAACTGCGTGCTCTCCAACGAGAGATGCCCCCAGTCCAATTCCGTGATGATCGCAAGCCCGAACCAGTTAGATTTGGTGCAGGAAGATTGGAAACACCACTTGGCGTGATCACCTTGAACACACCAGTGGGAGAGGTTGATTTTCATATAGTCAACGTGCCAACGCCATTCCTCCTATGCCTAGCTGATATGGATCGGCTCGGCGTATATTTAAATAACGTCACGAACGAGCTCGTTGGCAATGGTGTGAGCGTTCCAGTGATTCGAAGATGGGGTCACGCGTGGTTCTTCTTGCGGAAACAAGAGGCATCAGTGGCATATCTCACGGAGGCTGAATTGCGGCGCCTCCACACGCGTTTTGGTCATCCATCCGTGTATCGGCTGCACAAGCTGCTGAATTCGGCTGGCCATGATGTGGAAATCGAAGCTCTGGAAATGATCAAGAAGTTCTGCCACTACTGTCAGATGAAATCCGACCCGCCACGAAGGTTCAAGTTCAGCTTGAAGGATGATTGTGACTTCAATTACGAAGTCATCGTTGATGTCATGACATTGGGTGGCAGACCAGTCCTCCATGTTGTTGATCGCCACTGCCTATCAGGCAGGGAGATTCCTATCCAACATGACGGCCAAGGAAACGTGGCTCGCGTTGAAACAATGTTGGATGGATACATACCTTGGACCACCCGATGTGATCACTCATGACGCAGGCACGAATTTCGCTGCTGCCGAGTTCCAAGCAGAAGCGAAATTGATGGGAATAACGTGTCATCAGGTGCCTGTGGAAGCACATTGGGCTGTTGGGAAGGTTGAGAAGTATCATGTGCCCGTCCGAAGAGCATATGATATATTAAAGGCAGAGCTGAAGGATACCGTGAGCCCTGATCAAGTCCTTCAAATGGCTTTCAAGGCTGTCAACGACACAGCCGGTCCGGATGGCCTCGTTCCAACCCTCCTCGTCTTCGGTGCTCTGCCTCGAATGACGATGGATTCGCCGCCTACACCTTCCGCAATGGCAAGAGCTAAGGCGGTGTGGCGAACGATGTCAGAGCTGAGGAAGATCAACGCCCAGAGGAAGGTTCAGACCGCGTTAAATACGCGTAATGGGCCTGATACAGCGTTGCGCCTGCCCTATCCCTGGCGCTAGGAAGCGAAGTTCGCGTATTTCGCGAGAAGCACGGATGGCAAGGCCCATATAAAGTGCTCGAGGTGACGGATACGGAAATCGCAGTTGACCTGGACAACGGACCAGCGAAATTTCGCAGTACATGCGTCCAACCGTACTATCGTCACCCGGAATCGCTCCTTCCTCAGTTGCAACCCGACCCTAGCCCTAGCCGCACAGACCCATCAACACAACAATCACTCCTTCCTCAACACAATCCGATCAACAACATCCTCTTCAAAACCCTCTTCCCTTCCACCCACAACTCAACAACCTCTTCCTCTTCCTACCACAGAAGACCAACCCAAACCTTTCGAATACCCTGAGCCAAAGAGGCCGCGCAGGCGTGGCCGACCTAGGAAGGATGCTGCACAAAATGGCACATCAGAATCCACTATTGTTTGCTCACCCGTTCAATTTATCGTTCATCATGAAGCTAATGCGTTTCTTGTTCGAAAAGAAATGGAACATCTCGGCCTAGCCAAGCGGCTACGAGCTGAAGGAAAGATCACAAGCACCGGTTTCCCATTTGAAGCTTCCGACACACTCGAGCTCACGAACCTCCTCGCCGCTGGGGTCATTGTACCCGAAGAATTCGATGCGAATAAACATGGTGGATATCGTGTCTTCAAATCACGAATGGTCAGAGAGGTTAAGGAAGAAATACTGCAACGCCATACGAGAAATCACGCCTCGTTGTGCAAGGATACAATGATGATGGGAAACGTGGGATCCTCACACAAGCCCCTACCATCAGCCGGCCCGCACAACGCGTGGCCTTGGCCTTAGCACCGTTTCTCTGCACACGGGATATGTTCATCATGATCAGAGACATCACGATGGCATACACACAATCCCAGACCAAGCTGGCCCGTGTCATCCTTGCAGCCCTTCCTCAAGAACTCAAAAGAAGATATCCAGAGGAACAATCCTGCGAATCGTGAAGCCGCTATATGGCATCGCAGAGGCAGGAGCCCACTGGTTCAACACATATCACGACCATCACTGCCGCAAGCTTAATATGGAAACCTCTTCGTTTGACCCGTGCCTTCTGATCACGGCAAACAACATCGCCGACAAGGACCTGTTTGGCATCGCGGCCTTGCAAACGGATGACACATTCATTGTTGGCACAGATGCATTTCTCAAGATCGAGGAGAAAGAACTCTGCTTTAAGGCCAAGCCAAAGAGATTCTCCAAGAAGGTTCCATCTGCGACTTTAACGGCAGCCGCCTGACCATACAAAATGGCTGTGTCATCGTCAGGCAGAAGGGCCAAGCCCAAAACCTCGAGGAGATCAATCTTCAGGCATCAAGTAGGCATCAGGATTATGCTGCTCAACGCGCCGGGGGCATATATCGCTTCGATTTGCCAACCCGAAGCAACATACGATTGTTCCGTTGCGGCACAAGCCCAAGAGCCCGTTAATACCGACTTCAAGGCTTTGAACAAGCGGATTGAATGGCAGATCAACAATCCCGACCGTGGCCTATGTTACATACCCATCGATCTCGAGAGCGCGAAGATCTTTGTGTTCACCGATGGATCATTCGCCAACAATAAGGATTTAAGCTCTCAAATCGGCTTTGTGATTATCATCGCCAATGAGACCGCGCAATCAACCGATTCATTTTCCATCCGCGGAAACATTCTTCATTGGAGCTCAACTAAATGCAAGCGCGTTACTCGAAGCGTTCTTGCATCAGAGATCTATGGATTGACATCGGGCTTCGATCTCGCATTTGTGATCAAGCAAACGGTCAATACGATCGCACAACGCCTTGATCTGAAGCAAATCCCGCTCGTCATTTGCACAGATTCATATAGCCTCTATGAGTGCCTCGTCAAACTTGGCACCACAACAGAGAAGCGACTCATGATAGATATCATGGCGCTGAGGCAGGCATATGAATCAAGGGATATTGCGGAAATCCGTTGGGTCAACGGCGCAGATAACCCTGCCGATGCTATGACGAAGGCATCACCAAACAGCGCCCTCACGCAGTTTATTAGCGACAATCAGCTAAACGTGAGGGTGGAAGGATTCGTTCATCGCAATAACACAACAATTCTCGACGAGATTTAATCGGTTTTTCGTTCCTTCTTCTGCTTTACCGTCGTTCTTTATTCCATTCACATTAACGAGGAGATCCTCGTGTCCATATTCCAACGTGGGACCGATGGAATCAGCTAGCGCATCCGGCGCTCGAAATGCGGCCCATGATGGCGTGTGGCAGAACACACCCAGTGTGGGGGAGGGAGAGCTACAGTCAGAGCACACTATCCAACATAGTGATGCATCGTGGTAGGAGTTTGTTGGTGTTCTTGTTCGTGTTTTTCCTATCTCATCTTAATTCGCTGTGTTTGGTGTGTTTTGGTGGATTGATTAGTGCGCGATCATCGATTTAGAAAGAGGTTCCAGTGTTGGATCCACCTGTGCACTAGGCACCGATCGCGCACGTATAACTAATCGACCGCGCTAGTCACGTGCGAGTAAGAGGTGAGACACAGGGAGGAAGGTCTTTGCACACAGTTTGTATGGGACACGTTTCCCTAGTTACACAAGATATAACCAATTGAACCAGTTCGAATAACCTCACTGCAGTGAAGAGCCTGTCCACACCACGCTTCTTTTCATCTGTTTCCAGCCTCGTTCGCTGTGACATGACAGGCCTACTTGAAGGTCAGTTTCTCCAAGTGTTCAGCGTCCTACCTTCAGCGACTGAAGCGCGGTCTGCCAAGTTGAAGGCTGTTGTGTTAGTATGATTATCCCTTGATCAGTACATGGTCCTCGTCGGTCCATACTGAAGCGTTTCGTTGCCAATGCGAACTGTATTGTCGCCCGTACAGCCCCATATCGGGCTGCCACTTGTCGTCGTCTGACTCTGCCTTGCCTCCTAGGAAGAAAGACAGGTTTCCCATCTTTCCGCGAGCATATCGAAGCATGATTTCTCGTTGTACCGTCCATCTTCTGCATCGAAAGAGGAAATGTTCCACCGTTTCCGCCGACTGTCCGCAGGTGCACTCATCCGATTCCTCTGCCCCGATTTTGCAGAGGTAGCCATTCAGTCGTGATTTGCCAGTTCGAAGTTGTATCAACACTTCAGATTCCTTTCTAGTTAGCTCGTCGTACATCTTGCGGGTGTGCTTGCCCGGCAATGCTTTATCGATGCGCTTTGAGTGCTTTCCAACCCTTTCTGGGATCTGACGAACGCGAGTGTGTTCGTTGAGCAGCAGTCGTAACGTCGTTGCTCTTGCCTGAAACGTTGCTGGTTCAGCGATGCATTCATCTCGCGTCGCTCTTTTCGCCTGCATTTTGGCCAGTGGCCCAAGGGTGAACTCCTCATTCTTTGCAGGCACCCAACGAAGTCTGACTCTGCAGCCTCTTTTCGCAAGATACTCAACAGATCCGTATATCGCCCGTATCGTGCACTGACCAGACTGCTGCCGCGGTCGCCCGATGACTTGCAGGACAGAGCGGTTGCTTGTCACAACTGTGAGCTGTCGGTCATGAAGACTAGAGGTACACACCTCAGGGCCATGGCGATTGCCTCGAGTCCTGCTGTGTAGGCATTCTGCTCATCACTGGAGCCAAGGGTGACGGAGTAGCTGGCCAGCACCTCGTCTGCGCTGTCACGGGACGCATCCCGAACGACGCCTCCCAACCCGACCTTGCCTTTCCTTTGCGAGCTGGACGTCGCGATAGTGATGTCCTCCGGGTCATCCGACTTCAGCACCTCCGCTCGGTCTGCCTCATACGTTGCCTGCACTCGTTCGTCCCACGGCGCCAGTGCGAACTCGTGGATGACTTCCAGGCGTTTGGTATCTAGTCTTCCCATCGCCGAGGCGAGCTTCTGCATTGGCGACGCATACCTCCTGTTCAGCTTGAGCCTCAACGATGTCAGAGGATGCGTCTTCGGGAGCGTCCGCATCCTTATCCAGAATTTCGCTGCCGCTTGAGCATGCCGTTCTCGGAACGATTGCACGCCGGCCTCGGCCTCGGCCACTGCCGTTGCCACTGTGCGAAAGCCTCCCGTGACAGCCTGGGCTCCGATTCGCTGGGCCCTGCCAATCCACGCCGCTTCTTTCACCCGCACGCGTGCGACCACACGTTTGAGGCATAGTCCATGGCTGGCGCCACCGTCGCTACGAACAGTTGCCTCGCCATCCGTGGCGAGGCCATCTTCAGTCGTTTCAAGCACATGGCCGCGGCCAGCCCTTGGCGGCTGCTCTGGCGATGTGCTCTTTGAAGCGAAGCGCCTTGTCCATGATGACTCCCAACAGCTTCACGTTGCTCTTCGGCTTGACATCGTTTCCTTTGATGATGAGAGGCAGGTCGCTGTCGCGCTCCGCGATGCGTGTGAAGTGGATGACGGATGTCTTCTCTGCTTCAAATGTGGCGCCGCTGCGCTTCTCCCAATCAAGCGCCTCATCGATAATCGATTGAATACCATCTCTGTTTGACTCTGCCGTTGGCCCCGTGACCCAGGCAGAGTAATCGTCCACGAAGGCGATGGAGCCGCCATTGTTACTGATCCGTCTTTGCACCAGGTCTGCGTTGAAGAAAAGAAAAGCCACTGGCGACAGAGGGGATCCCTGGGGTAGGCCGGCCTGCAGCAGGGTTTGTTGCTCGGATGTGTGCCCGTTGACAACCACCGACGCGGTCCGTCCCGAGCAGAATGCGTCTATCCACTTGACCAGACGACTCGGGATGCCTCGGGCTTTCATCCTTTCGAGCATTCGCTCTTTGCACACTCCGTTGTATGCGCCTTTGACGTCAAAGCTGATGAGGCTGAGCACTCTGCCCGTTCTCCAGGCCTTGTAGATCCGCTCCTGTAGAAGCACAAGTGCTTGATCTGCGGACCTGCGCTTCCGTGCACCAAAGTGGTTCGCGGGCAAAAGCCCTTGAGCCTCTGCTGCATAGCTGATACGTTCCGCAACGACTGCTTCCAGGATTTTGCCAAGCGTTGACAGGAGAGAAATCGGTCGCCACGCCTTGGCCAAGGTGTAATCCCCTTTATCTGGTTTCCTCAGGGGAATGATCTTAGCCGTTCGCCATTGATGAGGCACGACGCCTCTCGGAGCGATGAGCTGAAGAGCGTCCACACCCGGTGCTTGACCACGTGCCAGAGCTTCTTCCACACGATCGCAGGAAGGCCATCCTCACCAGGCGCTTTCCAGGGCTTCGCCGCCATCACCTTCTCCTCAATCTCTTGCAAGGTGAGGTCTGGCATGGCTATTTCTTGTCTCTGCGGACGTTCACCCTCCGGCTCGATCCTCGTTGGCAGAGGCGGAAAGAAGGTGCTCAGGAGTTCCTCGGCTTGCTCGCCCTTGCTTTCAGTGATCGAGCCGTCGGCTCTCTTCAGCGGGGGCACCTTGTCATCCGTCATCTCCGTACCAGGCTTCAGATACTTGGCAGCCCTCCATATGTTGCTCCCTTCGATGACGAAGTCATCCCAATGGGCCTTCTTTTGTCTCCGCAAATTGTCGTGGTACTCCTTCGCAGCCTCCTTGGCGCGCTGCTCCAGATCCGGCCGCGATTGACCGGCTCTTCGCTGCGCCCTTGCTTGATTGCGCCAATACGTGTACGTCCGACGGAGTTGCGTCAGGTCCTTTGTCCACCATCGCTTCGCGTATGGCGGCGGCTGGGCTCGAGGGGTCAGATCTCGAAGCGCCTTGGTGACCACCCGCATGAGCTGATCCGCCTGCGTCTGCACCCCCACAGTCCACGGAAGAGGCCGAAGCTCGTCCTCGACCCTGGTTGCGATGGCGATCCACGGCGCGTTCTTGAGCATCAGGCGCTGCGGAAAGGTACGTTCCGGCACTCGAATGTCGAAGGTCGTCTGGATCGCTCTATGGTCTGATCCGTGCTCTGTTGGATGAATCACGCAGGATGTCAACTCGTCCGCCAGTTCCGCCGATGCCAACACCAAGTCGATGGTGCTCTCCTCGTCCGACCTCTGCCACGTTTTCGTCCCTCTCGGGAGAAGGCTGCTAAGACCAAAGTCGTCCATCAGGTCAATGATGGGTTCGCCCTCCCCTTGTCTGCTCGCTGACACTTCATCTCCGCCCCAGAGGAGGTCGTGGCGGTTGAAGTCCCCCGCCAAAACCACATCGGTGCGTCTCCCTGTCCCATTGCGGAAGTGATCGATCACGTCGCGCAATAGTTCCATCGCGTTCGTCAGCGCCTCGTCGTTCTTTCCTTGCACATACACTGACACCACCATCACCTCCCTTCCCTCAAGTCGGAGTACCGCTGCTGTGAGATCGGCCGACGGCACAGGCACTTGCTCCGCCTCAAGGTCACTTCGGATCCAGAGCATGCTGCGGATCGGCCATAGGGCGTCACAAACACACGTCGGAATCATCTTTGTCCAGTTATGGTGTCCCATAGGACTCGTCACCACCTTTCCGTCGATATTGCGCGCATGTGGCTCAGATATAGCCAGTGCGGCAAAATCCTTCAGGTCTTCGTCGTTCATCAGACTCTGCTGCACCACATCACTCTTGTGTGCATTCAGCTGTAGGATGCGGAGGGACTCAAGCATCGCTGCTCGGGTTCCTCATCCTGCACTTCCAGCTAAACGACTCATGCGGTCCGCCGCACGGGACGCATTTTGGCTCAATCGCTGTGCACTCGGTGGTGATGCCCAGCGTTTGCGCACTTGCCGCATGTCCGCTGCTTCTAGCATGAATATGCTTTGTGACCGATCTCCTGGCAATTGAAGCATTGGATCGGTCCCGTTCTTGGCTCGAACTTATAAGTGGTGGCCGACTCTCCCGCTAGGTCAAAGTAGTCACCGTCCAGAAGCCTTTCTGCATCGCTTTTCTTGGTGACATATACTACCATGGATCCGTAGGCTTTACCAGACTCTCGTTTGCTCAGCCAGGAAATCTTGCCAATGGTCACTCTGTTTTCGGCACTCAAGGCTTCGATCGCTCCGGGTAGGATATTGCCCTCCGTGTCGAGGATTGCTGTCCGGTTGGCGTTGTCGACCCGGGCCGGATACAGCTGGTCTCTCATGATTCGCGCTCCTCCACGGCTGTCTTCTGCGCCGCCTCTTTGACCAGCTGAAGCTCGGCTTCATCTCTGCAGACGATCTTGATTCGGTCGGCATTCCGGGATTCTCTCACAACTGCTGCGCACCTCCAGGTCTCATGTCCGTTCTTCGCTCTCATCTCAACCTCGATGGCCTGTCGTATCTGCCCGATTTGCGCTTTGTTCCTGTTCGGCTCACTTACACGAGACGTGTCAATGGTACAATGGACAGAATCGTTGGCTGTCTGCTGTTTGGTTGGACCAGGTATGCTGCGTGTACTGGAGGGCGGGCTGTTTGGCAGGGCGCGCGCGACGTCCGCAAACGTTGCTCGAGGGCCGCTTGGCAAAGCCACCTCGCCCGATACATCCAGCTTTTGCATCAGCTGATCTAGTTGCTCTTTCATTCCGACCAATCTCTCTTAAGATCCCGGTGCTCCTGTTTCATTTGCTTGTCGTGTTCTTCGCTCTTACGTCGAAACTCTTCCTTGGATTCCTGGACCTGGGCTTCCAAGCCTCGGATCAGATCTTCCTGTCCCTGGATGGTGGTGCTTTGCTTGTACACCGTGGCGCTCAGCTTCCTGATCGTGTCGCTTTGCTCGGATACTCGATGTTTCAGCTCCACCATCTCGCTTCCCATCTTCGCCAGCATCTCTAGAACCCTTTGCATCATCGATTTGGCGGTCTCCACATTGCTGCGTGACTTCACCTCGTCGCCTCTTTCGCTTTCGTTGCCCACCGATATGACTCGCGTCGTTCGGGTCGAGACACGCTTGGGAGCTCTCGCGGTCGCACTTTCCAACGATCGTAACGTATCCTGCACTCGTGCGCTGGGCGTCCTCACTCGCGTCGGACGCGTCAATGGCGACGGGCTAGTTGGATCCAGCCCCGCCCCCACGTCGGCCGGAGGCGCCACTTCAGGCTCTGCCATGATGGCAATCAAGAGCCACACCTACCCCAGAGTAAAGAAATATGAAGAACTACAGTAGAACGTCGGGGAGCCTCGATTTCAGCACTCGCCCCACGTGCTTATGGAGCTGGTCAGTTGTTGAAGGTTAGTGCTATAATCGATCCTAAGTGGATTCTCACTTCCGCTGCTTAGCCCGAAGGGCCAGACGCTGCCTGCGTCTCATCCCCAGCGTTCCGCGCCCGACAGTTCCGGCTGTACGATTCGTGTGGTCCACCACAGGGCACGCACTTTGGCACTGTCTCCTTGCATTCTCTGTGGTGATGTTCTGCTTTCGCGCATCTGCCACATCTTTGCGGCTTCTTGCATGAAAACGCCTTGTGTCCCATCTCTTGACAGTTGAAGCACTGAATCGGTCCTACGCGGCGTTCAAAAACATTGGTGCAGGCGGACTCTCCCGCAACATCGAACCACACGCCGTCCAGAAGTCTTTGCGCGTCACTCTCTTTAGTGACATAGATCACCATTGACCCGTACGCTTTGGCTTTCTCTCTGCCAGGTGATCTTGGCAATCGTGACGTAATTCTCGGCTCCGAGCGCCTCAGCTGCGCCAGGCAGAACGTTGCCTTCGGCGTCCAGCACTGCGGTACGCTTGGTGTTGTCGACTTTGACAGGGTAAAGCTGATCTCTCAGTACCCTGGCTCCCGAAGTTACCGTCTTCTGCGCTGCTTCCTTGACCTGCTTCAACTCGGTTTGGTCTCTGCATAAAATTTTGATCCGGTCGGGGTTTCGAGCGTCTGTCACGACCGCTGCGCATTTCCAAGTCTCCTGCCTCTGACTCTTTCTCATGTCGCTCTCTATGGCCTTTCGGATGTTGCCGATCCGAAAACCTCGGCTTCTAATTGGCCCAAGATTTCCTTCTTTCGTCTTAGCCCCTCCTTGCAAGCTTCCTTCTTTTATTGGTTGTTTGGTTGTGTTGCTTTAGCACGTTGGCCGAGGTCCGAACCGCGACCTCTCCCGCATCCCTACTTAATACGAGCACGATGCTGTCGAGCGTCCGGCATCACCATGGCTGCACATATATGCCCCTGGAGCTTAAAGAGTCGACGTCCAGCCATCCCGAGGCCTCGCGAACAGTCTTGTCGCTCAGCTCACCCAGTCTCGCTTGTGCGGCGGTCATCTCCTCTGGAACTCTATTGCCCACCAAATCTCTATCCCGCACTTTAGAGACGAGCATGATGCCATCCAACGTCGGGCAGCGGGACAGCTGCACGTACAGGCTGTACGGGTCGCACTGCGAGGATACGGCGCGTCCATCGATGTTTGACGTCCGCGTCCCCCGCAGCTCCAGAGCTACACGCTCGAGCGTCCTGCCCTGCACTTTATAGTCTGTGCACGCGAAGGCCGCCGTACAGGGCAGACCCTTTCGGCTGACGTCGTTCTGCTGCCACGGCCTCTTTCGCTGGCATTGTATCTTGACGGTCATGGGCGTCAACAAGATCGTTCCTGGCGGCATCCCGACGGAGTGAATGTCTTTCGTTGTCTCGGACTCCAGCATTATCCCGCCGGCGGCCCGAAATGGACCGTCATGTCTGCCGAGATGCGATGCCCGGGTACGACTTGTCGAGGATAACCTCCAGCGCCGTGTAGCTGGCACCGTTCACCAGCTTTAGCCCCTGATGGGTGTTGTGGTTCACGACGACCGGCATCCCCGGCACGAACATGAAGACGGCCGGCACCGGTATTGCGCTATCGTCGCCCTGGTTCAGCATCATGATGGCCTCCTCCTCCGTCGGCAAGCCCTCCTTCCATTTATGGCCGGATATGAAGATGCGCAGCGTCGACCGGTGCTGGATCTGGAACGCCAAGCTGGCCTCCATGTTGAGGTTCCACCGGTTCCTATTCAGCGGCGTCACCACAGTGATGCCTGATGCCCACGGGATCCGCCTACCTTCCTGGTAGCATCTTGAGTTGAGGAGGTCCAGATCCGTGCGGTCCTGCGCGCCCAGTCGGATTCGCTTTAACAGCCTCTGCAGCTCTGGGTCGCCAGCGGCGCGCACTTGCTCGTCGAGCATGACGACGGTCGTGAACCTCTTCCACAGCGCGTGCGCCTTGTCGTGCTGGTGCCGTTGCTCGGCCTTGAAAGAGTTGTCCATGTCCCACGAGACGGCCGTGCTGGGGAGGAGGATCGACCGCTCTTGGACCGGGCGGAACTGGTGGAAGTCTCCGCAGAAGAGGACAATGGGGATCCCTCCAAAATCCTGGTGCGACCCGCGCAGCCGGCAGAGCTGCTCGTTGACCGCGTGGAGCGTCCGCGCACCGAGCATGCTAACCTCGTCGACGACAAGCACGTCCTTCTCCTGCCAGTCCATCCGGGATTGCCCGTGGACGAACCGCTCCGCCTGGTTCGGCATTCGCAACCCGTCGAGATCCCTGGCCATATTTGCGACTGCCGCGAGATCTTTGGAGAACCCGCAGGCGGAGTGGATCGTGATGCCATTGATCCGTGCTGCTGCCGTCCCTGACGTCGCCGTTATTATCACGCGATTCGATTGATCCTTGGACGCGAAGAGTTCGACGAGCGCCTCGATGACTCGCGACTTGCCCGTTCCGCCCTCTCCGCCGACGAATTGGCATAGCTGACACCCGTTGCCTTTCTCCCCGCGCCGTATGAGGTCAAGCTGACGGCATATGATTAGGAAGGCAATCGCCTGCTTCTTGTTCAGCGTGAACCTCGCTACCAGGGCCTTACCCGCCTCGATAAAGGAGGTTGAGGCGCCGAGCCGGATCTCCATTCCCGCGCTGGCCTCTACCGTTTCCTCGAGGTCCGCCGCCGTCATCAGGATATCGTCATCCCCGAAACCCGTGAGCACGCTGCGCACCGCCGCCCGACGATCAGTCACCTCTGCCGGGGGCACGCTTTGTATTCCCGGATCATCTTCTCCTCTCCTGGACGCACAGGTTTGCTGCGACTTTATGGCCCTAACCTGACTCTGCGGCGGTATGGTGGCTCCGGAGGATGCCCGCCCCGGGATGTTGATTCGTCTCGGGCCCCGTTCGGATAGTATTGCGGCCTGGAACTCGGAAGACGACGAAAACGCCAGTTGCTGGAAGCGGCTGAGCTCCTGCATCATCGCTATGAGCTCTGGCGAGCCGGCCGTGATTTGGTTCGCCCCGATCGAGCTTCTGACAACGTCGATTAGACGCGTCGTGTTTCCGGTACTGTCGGCCTGGTATACCGATCTGGCTCGACACCCGCCTCCGCGGTGCCATCCTCGTCTAGATAGACTGCCGTGGAGTCACCGTCACCGGATGAGGCTGCCCACTGCTTGGCGTCCCGCTTTGCATCTTCGGCCGACCGTCGCAGCAACTGCACGTTATCGACGTAACATGATATCCTCGGGACCAGAGCTGCTCGTTCCCTCCCCATATGCGGTTGATGTCGCCGCTTTCCCTAAGAAGAGCTCCCAAGGCACGAACAGCGCAAGATGCTGCACAGCCGCTCTTCGACGTGGAAATTAGCCTCCTCGACCCGGCGCCCTGGTCCGTCAACGACAAACGCACCTTCGGTAGCATGATCCTTCGTCGTCTTCGTCGAAATCCTTGCTCAAATACCCGTCGAGGCAGACCATGGCCTGCTTGCCCGGTCGCCTGAGCACCTGCACCCAACTGCTTCCTGGAGCCCAGCCGCTCTCAAGCGGGACCTCGCCCCAGGCGGCGGGCCTCGTCCCCGTCGTTGCGCTTCAGCCTGACTAGCGAAATGTAATCGTAGAGACATAGCCCTCGAAGGACATCTCCCCGGTGACGATATGCCTCGACGCGGCAAATCCTCTGGCCTGCTTCCTCGACGAGTATTGACTCGTCCACGGAACCATCTGCAGTGGCTGCGCCGCTTTCTCGTCGAAGGTGCGGCCATTGTCGGAAGACGTGCCAGTAGAGCACCGAAACGTTCAGGAACGCCCAGGTACTGTTATTCGTCAGTTCAGTCGGGTATCCCAGAAGATCCGCAATAACCTCGACCTGCGATAACGGCCTCTCCGTAAACACGCGATTCGCCACCTTCATTAAGAATTTTCGTGTCTTATTTTGCCTGCCATCGTCCCCGGCACCTTCGCCTCCACGAACCTCCGCGCCGTCGGCCATTTCGTCGCCTGCTCTGGGAGGCAAGAGGTCCGCGGCCGCGACGACGCGCTTCCACACGGGGTCCTCTACCTTGGTCACATAGTTAGTGACGTAAAGACGAGGGCCATGGTCTTGCGCTGTGTGGCGATGAAGGATATGTCATGGTTGTGGCGAAGCCCCACGGCAATCGCCTTGTTCCACCGATTCACCATGCTGTGCGACCTCCGAATCCGCAGCACGCCGTCTCCCGTGAAGGCCGTCTCGTCGACCAGTCCCCATGGCGCCTTGAAGCGGCATAAATCACCCTGCGCCCCTTTTCCCAGCGAGTACTTGACACAGGTCGGGCTATGGGTATGGATTTGCGTCGCGCCGGCACAGAAGTTCGCTTCTTCGTCGAACGAGGCTGAGAATTGCCGTTCATCGCCTAGCAATTGCGATATATCTAACGTCACCGATCGCTCTGCCTGGATTGCGCAGAAACCTTCCTGGTCGAGATCCTGTCCCATTCGTCAGCATTCCTCTCGCTCGGGTTTAACTGAACGGGGGACATAGGCCAACACGCGGCCCCCTGCACCATACCTCGGAAAAGACGCTGTCGACGTATCTGACGATGCGTTCTCGGTATGCCGCTTGATCCTCGCCGTGGATATCGACAAGCATCGAGCTTAGATGCGCGTTTCCCTGCAGCCAGAGCAGTCCGTGAACATGAAGCGCCCCTCGCTCGTTGGTCTCCACGGCGCCGTAATAGTGGCTGATGCGCCCGAATACCGACTCCTCGCCCACTCTGACGTAATTTTCGAGGAACAACGTCATTTCCCGGTGGAAGAATTCGGCCGAACTCAACGGGTCCGAGATGGCCAGCCGCGCACGTTTGAATGCCATGTCGAGGCTTCTCAGAAATGCCTCGGCCGCTTCAGGATCACGTGTGCGGTACGCCGCCAGTCTCAGCTTCACCGGGTTCGTGATGTCGTTCGGGTTGAGCGTGAACCATATTGCAGGCACGCCACGACACAAGATGAGTGACTGGATCTTGCGTCGCATGCTCAGACGGAGTTCCTCGACATGGGCTGCCGGTAGCCGTATAGCGAAAGGCATCTTAGGAGCTCCTTCACGCCATCATCGGTGGTCTTGCCCAGGCTCTCCAACTCCAGCCTGGCCGCCGCCAACCTATCTGCGGTCAGCGACTGTACGATGCGCTCTACCTCGGGGAAGTTCTTCCGCGTCACGCTGAGCATGCTGACACGACGATTCCTCGACCGCACGTCCATGTTGAAAACGAGAAACGAGAAGATGGCATGCGTCGCGAATCGGCCACCATGGCGCCGCAGCACGATGCCGGCCCACGTCCGAAGGCTCATGTTCCGAGACGACAGGAGATCTCGCGCGGCCGTCTCGTCTCCGACTGCCGTAGCGCGCGAATTGACCGTCCTCCGACCCTAGGATGACTTCCTCCGCCAGCCGTGGTCCTCCACATCCGAACGGCAATAGGGTGGGAAAGGTCTTCGCGAAGAACGAGGCGTCCAGCGAGTCGGCGAATTCATCTCCACGACTGACGTGAATGTACGGCTCACGGACATCCATACCCTCGACCCGCCCCGCCGACCTTATCCATGCTCTGGCCCCGCCGGTCGTCCTCGGCCCCGTCGCCGCCCACGGCATTGCAAGCAAAGCGGACCTTCTCCGCATCCGACACGCCCGGCGGTCCGTCCAACGCAAACATGCCGGAAGAGGTTATCTCGTTGATCATTTTGGCCCCGTCTTCGGGCTCGGCATCATTAGCCCCGTCCGCTCCGCCCCCCTCAAATTCTCGACTCGGCTTGTCCGATACGTCTTGTCCCTGGCGGAGCCGAGCAAGGACTTCCTCGATCTCTGCCGGACCATCGTCGTCCATGGCCCGCTCTGCGGGCGGCACAACCTATGCCGTTCGCGTCTTCTCCCACGCAGACGGTTCGTTCCGCTCCATGCGTCCGTACACCATCGACGGCACGCCGTGCGACGGGGTTCCCCAACTATCCATTTCCGCCTTGTCGATCTCAATGTCGGCGTAATGCGGATTGTTCTTCTTCAACCAGACAAGCGCTCTCTCGACGACTTGACGCCTCACCGACAAGAGACCCGACAATTCGCTCGGTGCTGGCTTCTCCGCGCCCTGCCACGAGACATGGATCTCGTCCATTGTTTGCAAGAGCGGGTGCGGGAGCACCTTTCTCGCCAGCTCCTGCACGTTGTTTGGGAACACCGTGATGTGGCCCTTGACGTGTCTCGGATACCTCACGGCCTGCCGCTGCCCGCCCGGAATGCTATACCTCGTCACAAAGCCATAACACGAGTTCAGCGAGATGAGCTTTCTTCGACCGGCGTCAGGCCCTTGAGCTCGTCGGGAACATGTGCTCACAGCCGAGGCGACTGTGAAGGTGGACCGCCGGCGACAGGCTCCCGCGCCCCAAACATCGAGCGCACTCCACACAAACCGAGACGGCCTCGCCCTCGGGAAAGCAACTTCGACACCCAAATGGCGACCGGCCGCCTTTTGGAACGCTGCTTGACCTCCATTGGTCCCATGTGCTCTCCCTCAACTCCTTCCTTGTGCACTTGCGGTAGCACAGCATGCAGGTCATTATCGGCAAGGTGCTCACATCGTGGAACGCCCGATAGAACTTTCCCACCGTCGATACCTTCCTCTCATGCGGTACTGGTGTGCACCAAGTTTGCTCGTTGGACAGCCTCTCCTTCACGGCGAATTCCTCTTCAAGGTACCGCAAGGCACTGGCCAAATCCTCCGCCTGCAATTCCTTCCTCCTCTGCCCCGGATGGCCGCCCCGTATGCGTTTCGTCAGAGACCCGTCACGGCCGGGGTGGCGCCTCCTCTTTCTCTGCTCCACGGGCCGCGAAGGTCTCGCCGCCTCGTCTCGTCTCGGCCGACCCTGTTCTCCACCTGTGGTCTGGCGTGATGGCCGCGCTGACAACAGTCCGAATGACTGCCCATCTCCTGCTGCCTCGCCCCTCTCTTTGGGCTGGATTGGCCGAACCGGGTACTCCCTGATATTCCCAGACGGACGCCTGACAGCGGTTGCTGGCCGACCTTCTCTTCCCGGGCTACCTTGGTCTCCCTCCGGCCCTTCCGCATTCTCCATTTCTTTAGGTCTGATTGGCCTTGGCGAATGCTGACTCCCGTTTTCCAGCCGAAATCTCATCATCATTGTTGATCCTCCATCCTGGCGCTTTCTCCCCACACCAAGTGTCCGCTCAATAGGACCGTTCGGCCTCACCAGTACGTCCCCGCTAGATTGCCTAGGCCCAACGGTCTCAGGTCCACTTACGGCCACGACAGACGCTCTCCCACTGTCTAGGTCGTCGTCTCGCCCGACCAAGGCCTTCGGGGGACTTGGTGCTTGCATACCAACGGTGGCCGCTGCGCTCCTCCCATCACCCCCAATCCTCCTCCTCTTGGGCAAAATGTGCCGGTACGAGATCGAGTCGTTACCTCGCACTGCAATACACCGCCGACGGGTGGCTCCAGACTCTCCACACGGCTTCGTACCCAGCCCCGGCATCGCAGCGTCCGTGTCCATACTCACGGGCTCGTCACGCACGTTTATCGGTGCTAAACGTCGTGCTGGCCGCACCTTCGAAATGCCATCGTTCAGATCTGATGTTCCCTTCGCCGCCGACCGCCTCGCCGACTGCCCCTGGGCGACGCTCCTTTGAGTGCTTCCGCTTGTTCTCCCCGGGAGACCTCCTCGGCCGGCGCCTGCTTGGCCTGGATAGGCTGAAACCTGGATACCACGTTCGCCTGTCTTTCATATTCCGGCACCCGCTTCAACCCTTCATCCATTGCACTCAATCTCGCCTCCGCGGTACCCCCCGTTGCAGCAACGGCCGCTGCTGCCGTCACTATCTCGCCTTCTCCCCACCGATTGAACCTTGCGCCTAGGATTCTCCCCATGATGATGCTGTCTTAACGCCGAAGATCTGCAAACGGACGATGGATCGCAAAGCTTTCGCCCGGAAGATTCTCCCAGGTTGTCTCGCTTTCTGGTAATGGTGCGCTCCGCCGTATCTGGCATTCTTCCTACCAGCGGTTTCCCAAAGCCCTATTGTCTTTATATCACCGAGGCAACACGGTAATGCTTGTCTGAGAGGGCCCTCCCCTTTTCGGACGGCCTCGACCAGCCCATGCGCAGGAACTGACACCGCAACCCTATCCTGAGCGACCTTCAACCGCTCTGCCCCCCCGCTTCCTCCGATTCCATCGTCGCAAGTGCGCGTTTGAACAAACGTCGTATTAGACTTTCTTTTTCTCCACTGTCCATGCTGCAGCAGGGAAAGGGACAAAACACTGATCAACCCCACGTAGATGCAGTGATACACCATGTCTTCCTCTTCACCTCTGCCCCACCACACCTTCGAAGGCCGCTCGACAGCCAGAGAGACGCTGGCGGTGAAATGTCCATGATGTTCTTCGTCCAGCCGGATTGCCCCTCCAGATTCGCCCACCAAGACGAGCATCGCATCAGAGGCCTCAACGCCGAGACCATGGCCCGCGTCTTCCTGCCTCCTCCGTCGTGGTTGCTCACTGCGGAATATGCGCCCTCCGATCGGATACCGACGACTCCGCGACATCCATCTTCTTCAGCCTCAATCTCTCAATTTACAATCAGCCAGTTGTCGCCTCCGAATGGACCGAAGAGTGGTTTTTCATGAATGGCCGCGTCCATCCCTACGCCCTTGCGTGGGAGGTCGAGCAACGAGACGGTCTTGAGTCTGGCGCCGGAGGCATCCTTCTCTACACTATGCCCGCCCTTATCATCCGCGACCAAGGCTACCAGCCGTAAGGACTACCAATTCCTCCGCGCACACCTCGAGCACCAAATTTAGCTGAAATGGGCCTCAAGCGTTCTTCCTAGGCTCTTTGCCTCCATGGACAGCTTCCCCGTATCCCCATCGTTTCCTTCACCGGCCTCATCGTTGGCCCCGGCCACTCCCTGCTACGACAGGACCTTCTGCCAGGTCTGGACGCCACCCAGCTGAGGTGCTGCGGCTTCCTCCAGCTTTCGACCTATATCACTCCCGGGATCCCGGACAAGATCCCTCTCAGGGGCTTCCACCCGTTTCAGGTCTTCGTCATCTTCCCCATCCGCGCCAACCCGTGGGCCATCCTTTGCAAGAAGATGGCCGAGAGGCGGGACTCTCAATTTCAGACCAATATCTCCTTCACCTGCACGGGCAAGGTCGCTGGCCTCCTCGATCACCGCGTCATGGTCCACCAGCCGAGCTCCGACAGAGACTACGTCTTCATCGTCGTCCCGGATTCTTGGACTTTTCTCGACAAGGCCGCCACCACCGCAGCCGCGTCGGCCTTAGCCCTCACATCGCCACCGAAGCGGCAACCGTCCTCCGCTTCGGCGGCCTTCCAGGATGCCCGCGCTGCCTCTTTCTCTGTCGCTACACCTGGCGCCCTCCGCCGAGTCCTCCGCCTTCGGCTTCGACTTCGGCTTCGGCCGATCCCGTTACACCGCTGCAGAAGCGTCCTTGTCCCGAGCCCGCCGACACGCCAACGAAGAAACCGCGCCTGTTGCAGTTGACCTCAAAACCTTCCTCATCGGCCGCCACTGGAAGCTCTGCCACTCAATCGTTCTCGCTTTCCGCTGCCTCTTCTTCCTTCGAGCCGGAGACGATGAGACAGAGTCCTGCCTCGGGAACCGTCTTGGGACCCGCCATTGATTCGATCGTTGCCTACACGTCAGACTCATCGGCCCGGCCGCTCAGAAACCGCCACCCAGGCAAAAGGACAACGGAAACAGAGTAACTGCTTGATATAATAGTCTACCGATATAAGTTATAACATTCATAGAAAAGTGATTTAGTTCCATGCTTTATCTTGCTTCTTAGCAAATATCTACACCGAGCTGCAATCTTACAACACTCCGTCCACAACTTCGGATCTCGTCATCATTCCCTTCCAGACCTTCCCTCTCTAGTGATCTTCTCTCGGCACGCATGCCTTTTTGTGAACCTTCCAGTCCGCCTTTTGGTGTTCTTTCCCGCAGTATGCCACTTCCATGACATCTGCCGCAGCGACTCACGCCCGCGGTCGTCCCGCATACTTTGCACAACGTGACCTCCGTGCAACCAGTGCGTCCTAAGAACCCGTCGCGTGTTTCGTGCTCTTGCCGCATTTCCCCCATCATCAGTTGCATTTCCTGTCTCATTTCCACCTCGCACTGCCCGCTTCCGCATAAAGATGTGACCCAAACTATAATGCGAGCTTCGTCCGCGTGCAGCAAAGATATTGGACTCTGTAGGATATCTGTCGCAAACCGCCCGCAGCATTCGCAGAAAGCCCCCGACGCGCTGCGACATGCTGATTCATGCTCCTTCATGAGAGGCATCATGGCCTGTGCAAATTGTTCCTTGTATTCAGCATCCTCTCCGGCGCGGTTTGCGCCGGTGATGAGGCCGGGCAATGCCGTGGCTGCGTATGAATTGCTTGGCACCGATTTGGCACATGAATTCGAATCGAACCGTGGACGTTGCCACAACTGACTTGGCCGTGATTTAGATGCTATGGGTGATAATGCGTAGGTAGGTACGTATGATGAGAAGGACGGGGAAAAGCCCGTGGCTCCGGATCGGATTCTACTTGTCCGATCTATTGTATCGGCTCTTCCACCCATCCCTTCTCACCTTCGCCTTGCTTTTCTTGACACGTTGTGCTGCATGACACGTTGGCGCGCGCTCCCAAGGCCTCTACGTTTCGCCCCCAACCGGCCGTCGCGCAATGCAAGCTACTGCGGGAAGGAATTGCCGGTTACCTAGTGCCGCAACCACCACAAAAACCTTCAAATAGATGACTCCCTCTCCAACGTCATCTCATCCAACGTCATTTGCCTTGAGGAACGAAAGGACTTCATTAGCGCGCGGGGAAAAAAGGCCCCAGACTGCTTCACCCCCACATCCTCCGCCTCTGATTGGCTGATTTATTTCCTCTTTCGGAATAAAAGATCCCGTGTGATTGGTCGCCGACCCTTCCGTCCCTCCCTCATCATTGGTCGCTGCCGCCTTCTCTTGCCCCTCTCATGCCTTGCCCTGTTTCCCCGTTTATACTCCTGTTTACCCTTGCCAATGCCAATGCCAATGCCAACCTTTTTCCTTTCGTCCGCCGGTTTTCTTATTGTGTCTAAAACTTGCGTCTTTTGTCTTTGCCCTTTCGTTCATGCCTTTCTAGCGGGTTCTTCCTTCAAGTCAAAAGTCGCCCCTCGTTGATCGCTGCTGCCCAGTGCCCTTGTCTTCTTGCCCGCCGGCGCGCTCCTCCGTCTTCTCCCCCTCGTCACCTCACCCTGACAACTCTCCTTGACTCTTCAGCGTCGCCATCCGACCGACGCAAAGCTTCCTCGACAGTCCTCTCGCTTAGCACCTCCAGCCTGGCCTGCGCGGCGGTCATCTCTTCGGGGACTTGGTTGCCCACCAAGTCTCTCTCCCGCACCTTGGACACGAGCGTGATGCCGTCTAGCGTTCGACAGCGCGATAGCTGCACATATAAGCTGTACGGGTCGCATTGCGAGGGCACGGCCCTTCCATCGACTTTCGTCGTCCGTGTCCCCGCAGCTCCAGGGCCACGCGCTCTGGCGTTCTGCCCTGCACCTTGTAGTCCGTGCAGGCGAAGGCTGCTGCGCACGGCAATCCCTTCCGGCTGACGTCGTTCTGCTGCCACGGCCGCTTTCGTTGGCAGTGTATCCTGACGCTCATCGGCGTTAACAAGATCGTGCCCGGCGGCATCCCGACGAAGTGGAGGTCCTTTGTCGTCGCCGATTCCAGTAATATCCCGCCGGCGGCCCGAAGTGGATCGTCATGTCGGACGAGATTCGATGCCCTGGGGACGCCTTGTCGACAATGACCTCCACCGCCGAGTAGCCGGCGCCGTTCACCAGCTTCAGCCCCTGATGGGTGTTGTGGTTCACGACGACCGGCATCCCGGCCACGAACATGAAGACGGCCGGCACGGGGATCGCGCTATCGTCGCCTTGATTGAGTACCATGATCGCTTCTTCCTCGGTCGGCAGGCCCTCCTTCCACTTGTGCTCGGAGATGAAGATGCGCATCGTCGACCGCTGCTGGACCCGGAACGCCAAGCTTGCCTCCATGTTTAGGTTCCACCGATTCCTGTTCAGCGGCGTCACCACGGTGATGCCAGTCTCCCAAGGATCCGCCTGCCCTCGCGGTAGCACCTTGAGTTGAGGAGGTCCAGATCCGTGCGGTCCTGCACACCCTGCCGGATCCGCTTCAGCAGCCCTGCAATTCCGGATCACCGGCGGCGCGCATTTGCTCGTTCAACATGACGACCGTCGTGAATCTCTTCCACAGCGCGTGCGCTTTGTCGTGCTGGTGCCGCTGCTCGGCCTTGAACGAGTTGTCTACGTCCCACGAGATGGCCGCGCTCGGCAGGACGATCGACCTCTCTTGACCGGCCGGAACTGCTGAAAGTCTCCGCAGAAGAGGACGATGGGGATCCCCGAAATCTTTCTGCGATCCGCGAAGCCGACAGAGTCGCTCGTTTATGGCGTGCAGCGTCCGCGCTCCGAGCATGCTCACCTCGTCGATGACAAGCACGTCCTTCTCCTGCCAGTCCATCCGAGACTGGCCGTGGATGAACCGCTCCGCCCGTTTTGCCAGCCGCACCCCGTCAAGGTCCTTGGCTGTGTTCGCGCCCGCCCCTTGGTCTTTAGTGAACCCGCAGGCGGAGTGGATCGTGATGCCGTTGATCTGCGCCGCGGCAGTCCCTGACGTCGCCGTGATCAGCAGACGATTCGAAAGGCTCTTCCCACTGAACAGCTCGACGAGTGCCCCAATGATCCGCGACTTGCCGGTGCCCCCCTCGCCGCCGACGAACTGGCAGAGCTGGCCGGCATCGCCCTATTCGTTTGTCGCATCAAATCGAGCTGGCGGCATATTATTAGGAAAGCGATCGACTGCCTCTTGTTCAGCGTTAGCCGTGTTGACAACTCCTTGCCCGCCGCGAAGAAGGAGGTCGATGGGCCAAGCTGGACGCGCATTCCCGCTTCTGCGTCGCTAGCCGTCTCGTCGGAGTCGGCTGTCGTCATTTCGACGTCGTCCTCCCGAAGCCGGTCATCACCCTCCGCAACGCAGCTCGGCGATCGCTTTCCCGGACTGCGACTGTGGTTTGTACGCCTTGGATCATTCTCTCCCTTTCCTCGACGCACTTATCTGCTGCGACTTGATAGCCTTGACCTGATCCTGCGGCGGTAGTGCGGCCCCGGAAAATACCCGCCCTGGCATGCTTATGCACCTCAACCCTTGTTCGGGAATCGCGATGGCCTCGAGCTCGGCCGTTGAGCAGAGCGCCGATTGCTGGAATCGACAGAGCTGCCGCATCATTGCCATGAGCTCCGGCGACTTGGCCGTCACCTGATTCGTGCCCACTGCGCCTCGGACGACGTCGATCAGGCGCGTTGCGTCTCCGATGTTGTTGGACCGATACGTCGCTGCAAATTCTGCGCCCGCCTCGCCTGTCTCGCCCTCCTCGACGTGGGCGACCGTGGAATCGCCATCGCCGGATGAGGCCGCCCATTGCTTGGCGTCGCGCTTTGCGTCTTCGGCTGATCGTCGAAGCAGCTGCACGTTGTCGACGAGACATGATATTCTCGGGGCCAGCGCCTCTCGCGCCCGCTCCCAGATGCTATTGATCTCACCTGTTTCTTCGCACAGAAAGGACTCCACGGCACAAATAGCGCAAGATGCTGCACGGCTGCCCTTTAAGGGGAAGGGGGGGGAGGTTAGCCACTCTGATGATGCCTGCCGGCAGGGCGGTTGCTATACACACCTCCGGTGGCACGACTCCTCGTCGTCGTTGTGGCCGAAGTCCTTGCTCAGGTAGCCATCGAGGCAGACGGTAGCATGCTTGCCCGGCCGCCTGAGCACCTGGACCCAGCGTCTCCTGGCGCCCATCCATCCTCGAAGGGCACCTCCCCAGGCCGCACAGCTCTCATCCTTACTGGTGCGTTTTAGTCTAACGAGCGATATGTAGTCGTATAAGCATAGCCCTCGCAGGAGCTCTCCCGGTGCTGGTACGCCTCAACGTGGGAGATCCTCAGGCCTGCTTCTTCGACAACGACCGACTCATCCAGAGTATCATCTATGGCCGCCGCGCCACTTGCTCGTCGGAGATACGGCCACCGTCGAAAGACTTCCCAGTACAGCAGAGATGTGTTCAGGTACGCCCAGGCGCTGCTGTTGGTGAACTCGGCCGGATATCCAAGAAGATGAGCGACGACCTCGACCTGAGATAGCGGACGCTCCGTGAACACACGATTCGCCACCCTCATCAAGAACTGTCGCGTCCTGTTCCCTTGGCGGCGTCATCGCCAACAGCACCTCCACCGTCGTCCTGTCCTCCGTTGGCCGTGCCGTCACCCGTTGAGGCGGCCAGGAGATCGGCCGCGGCCGCCACACGCTTCCACACCGGGTCCTCCACCTTCGTCGCGTAGTTCGTGACATAATACATAAGGGCCATGGTCTTGCGCTGCGTCGCAATGAAGGAAATGTCGTGGTTGTGCCGGAGCCCAACAGCGATAGCCTTGTTCCATCGATTGACCATGCTGTGAGTCCTCCGGATCTGCAACACCCCGTCTGCCGTGATGGCGGTCTTGTCGACCAACCTCCATGGAGACTTAAACCGGCATGGATTCCTTCCGCGCTCCTTTGCCCAAGGAATACTTGACACAGGTCGGGCTATGCGTGTGAACCTGTGTAGCGCCGGCACAGAAGTTGGCCTCCTCGTCAAATGCGGCCGAAAACTGCTCGGTGTTGTCCAGCAGGGAGGAAATATCGGACGTCACAGATCGCTCCGCTTGCACGGCGCAGAACCCTTCCTGATCCAGATCCTATCTTGCACGTCAGCCTGGCCCCGTTTGTCCATCGGACGAGCAATTCAGGTTCTCAGTGACACGTCTTAGCTATTCTTACCTCGGAGAAGACACTATCGACGTATCGTATGATTCGCTCGCGATACGCCGCCTGATCCTCCCCGTGGATGTCGGCAAGCATCGAGCTGAGATGCGCGTTTCCGTGCAACCAGAGCAAGCCGTGAACATGAAGCGCCCTCGTTCGTTGGTCTCCACAGCGCCATAGTACTTGCCGATGCGCCCGAATACCGACTCTTCTCCGACCTTCACGTAATGATCGAAGAACAGCTTCATCTCCCGGTGGAAGAATACGGCGGCGCTCATCGGATCGGACATGGCCAGCCTTGTCCGCTTGTACGCACTCCCAAGGCCTTCTAGGAACTCCTCGGCCGCGCCGGGATCGCGTGTCCGATATGCCGCCAGTCGCAGCTTCACCGGGTTCGTAATGTCGTTTGGGTTGATGGTGAACCAGATGGCCGGAACGCCGTAGCCAACGATGAGCGACTGGATTTTCCGCCGCATATTGAGCCGAACCTCTCGACATGGGTTGCCGGTGGCCGTACAGCGAGAGGCTCCTGAGAAGCTCCTTCACGCCCTCATCGGTCGTCTTGCCCGAGCTCTCCAACTCGACCTCGCCGCCGCTAACCTTTGCGCGGTCATCGAGCGGGCAACGCGCTCGACCTTGCCGAAGTCCTTCCTCGCCACACTCAGCATGCTGACGCGGCGGTTCCTCGACCGCACCCCCATGTTGAAGACGAGAAATGCAAATATGTGGTGCAACGCAAACCGGCCACCATGGCGCCGGAGCACGATGTCGGCCCAAATCCGGAGGTTCAAGCTTCGGGAGGATACGATGTCTCCCGCTGCCGCCCCTGCCTCAGCAGCTCTACCGGTGCCTCGCAAGTTGGTAAGGGCCTTCCCGCCTCGGCTATGGCCTCTTCGGCCAGCCTTGGTCCCCAACGCCAAATGGGAACAGGGTCGGGAACGTTCTGGCGAAGAAGGACGTCTCAAAGGAGTCGGCAAACTCATCCCCGCGAGACTCGAATGTATGGCTCACTGCCATCGTCGCCACGCCCTCGACCCCACCGAGGATCCGACCCACGTTCTCGGCCCGCGCGGCCGTCGTCGGCACCTGCGCCAACAGCGTCACAGGCAAACCGCAGCTCGACATCCGCCACGTCTGGCGGTCCGTCCAGCCCAAACATGCCGGAAGACGTCACCTCGTTGATTGGTCGAACGTTCTGATCGGGGCTAGCACCAACTCCATCACGACCCGCGCCTTCTTCGTTGGGCCCGTGCCCTTCAGCCTCGCCTCCCGTTTCCTGCCTTTGGTTGAGCAGAGCGAAGAGTTCCTCGATCTCCACCGACCCCTCGTCGTCCATGGCGCGCTCCGTGGGCGGCACAACGTGCGCCGTCCGCGTTTTCTCCCATGCGGACGGCTCGTTCCGCTCCATGCGATCATACACCAAGGCCGGCACCCCGTCTATCGGGTCTCCCAACTCTCCATCTCCGCCACGTCGATCTCGATCTCGGCGTAGTGGGGTTGCTCCTCTTCAGCCAAACAAGAGCCCTCTCGACGACCCGCCGCCTCACCGACAAGAGACTCGACAGGTCGCTCGGTGCCGGCTTCTCCACGCCCTGCCACGAAACGTGGATCTCGTCCAGTGCTTGCAAAGGGGTGCGGAGCACCTTGGTCGCCAGCTCCTGCACGTTGTTGGGAAACACTGTGATGTGGCCCTTGACGTGCCTCGGATACCTCACGGCCTGCCTCTGCCCGCCCGGAATGCTATATCTCGTGACAAACCCATAGCAGGAGTTGAGCGAGACGAGCTTCTCTTCGACCAGCGTGAGTCCCTTGAGCTCGTCAGGAACATGTGCTCACAGCCAAGGCGAGTGTGAAGATGGACCGCCGGCGACAGACTCCCGCGCGCCAGGCATCGGGCACTCCACACACACCGACACGGGCTCGCCTTCGGAAAGCAGCTCCGGCATGAAAATGGTGAGCGGCCGCCCTCTGGCACGCAGCTTGACAGCCATTGATCCCATCTGATCTCCTCAGCTCTTTTCTCGTACGCTTGCGGTAGCACATCATGCAGGTCCGTATCGGCAACGTGCTCGCATCGTGGAACGCCTGATAAAAATCCGCACCGTCGACACCTTCCTGTCGTGCGGTATTGGCGTACACCACGTCTGATCGTTAGACAGCCTCTCCTTCATGGCGAAGTCTTCCTCCAAAAAACGCAGCACACTCGCCAGGTCTTCGGCCCGCAGCTCCCGACTCCTCTGCCTTCCGATTCCACTCCGAATCTGTTTTCTCGGGCGCTCGTCCGGACCAGGAAGACGTTTTCTTCTCCCGCCTCGGGGCCGCCTCCGGGGCCGCCTCCGATCCATGATTTCTTCTCTCCGTGGCTGATTCGCTTCTTCGCAAGCCGTCGGATGCGGCAGCTTTGGCGACGACTGCCCGACTACGTTCGCATCCCTGACACGCCATCCGGCCCTTTGCACTGGACAGGCACCGGGCCGTGCTGGCGAACGTTTTCCACGCCGAACCTTGACCTCAGTCCTTGCCCTTTCCAGCACTCTCCTCGTTCTTGCTGCCGATCAAACTGCACGGGCTCCCAGCCGCCACCCGCGATGAGCCGCCCACCTCCCTTTGCTGCAGCCTCCGCCCGCTCAGCGAAGCGTCCGCTGGCTCTGCCGCGGCGTCGCCCACCCCACAGGAGACGGCCCCGGATGCTGCGCCGTACCTGCTGCGTTGGAGACACCCTGCGGCCTGGTACTCCTTTACCCGCCAACTCCGTCCCCGACGGCGCTTGGGCAAACCAGACGCAATCGCTGCTGCTAATTGCCCGTTTTCTTGTTGTCGAATACCGGTTCCCTAGGCTGGATGGATCGAAGCTTCGGTACCTCCTTCGAATGAACACTCGGGACATCGCCCGCCGCCGCCGTAACACGTTGCTCCTCATCTTCAGGATCTCCTCCTGAGGCAGAAAGTGCCGATGAGGAGCGGACGATCAGAGTCCGCTACCCCATATCTCCACGTTCCCTAGGCAACAGGGGCCTCGGAAGCTGACCCGGTGACTGATGTTGCGCGGAACTTCCGCTGCTAACCATATTATGGAACTTCCGTGCTCTGTTTGACCGCAAACCGCCTCGCGGCGGTCTTCTCGGCAACGACCTCGCAATTGCTTCTGCGTGCTGTCTCCATGCGGTGTCTTCAACCACAGGTTTCTAGGCTGAATCGGCCGGAACGTTGATGCCGCATTCGCCCGTGATTCGTATCTTCGTAACCGTCCCAGGCTCTCCCCGTGCTCTGCGGCCCTCTCAGAAGCTGCCACCACATCTACACCGGCTCCTGTCGCACCATCTCCGAGCCCCGAACCCGACCCGCTCACGTTCTCACCTCTTCTCCATCCCCGACTGACAACGAACAGGCTTCAGGGTGAGCAACCGCCTCGCTTAACTTCACTGCAGGACTGTCCGCCATGCTGCTGCCTCCTCGACGTCGACTGCCGTAAATTGGCAACAGGCTATAAAGCTTTGGCTCCGAGCACCTCCACTGGACAGTCTCGCTTGTTGACGACGCTACTTCTCCCGAATGGAAGCTCCCTAGCCATCACTTCCTCATGGCCGTGGCGTTTCTTCCTTATAGCTTCCTATAAAATGCTTCCTATGGTACCGAGGCGATGCAATACTACCCCTCTATATTCCCCCGTTACCATGCCTATCTATGTGCGTCCACCGTCCCGGCCTCGCCTGGTCTCCACGTGCGACCTGCTACCCCGGCTTTGCCAAAAGCGACCCTTCCATCGCCGTGCTCTCTTGCGCACTCCAGCGAATCCTGGCCACTGCCGACCTCCGGCACATGGAGATGGCCGCGACAACCGCCTGCCGCACACTTCAAACCATACTCTTCAGCCCTTCCAACACCATCCTACCAACCTTGCGCATCAGTTCACCATCAATACCCGCCAATCCGCCTCGTCGAGCAACAGCCACAAGGCTGCCGGCGATAACATGTCCATGACGTCCTCATGCAGCCGGACTACCCTTCTAGATTTGCTCCTCGCCAGCACCAATGTCGCATCAACGGCCTTAATGCTAAAGCGATAGCCAGGATCCCCTGCCTGTCCTCTTGTAGTCGCTAGCCACCGGAGTCTCGACTTGCAAACCCTCTTGGAAAGTTCTCGTGACCAACTCGCATCCTCCTCCTCAGGTCGACCCATATATCCGACTTCACCGTGTCCCAATAGTAGACTCGACACGGTCGGCACCCGCCTCGCTCAGCCGCACGCAATGCCCATCCAACTACCGACGACCGTAAAAAGGGAGTCCTGCAATACTACCATAACCTCTTTCTTTCCTTCACTCATTCGTTATTGCCCCTTTGCTATCTACTCCATGCAACGATGACACCGAAGGGGACTACTGGACTTTCTTTCTCCGCAGTCTTACCCACACTAACCTTACCGTTCGCCGACCTCCAACTTCTCGCAACATAGCCATCACCCCTACTCAACTTCCAACCCCCGGCTCCCTACTTCACTCACGACCACAGAACCAGATGGTCGAGACTGCTCGAGAACCTCGCCAGCTCATTCCCGCATACCCCCGCTTCTGATCTATCACCTAGGTAGCATTCACTGACTCTCAAGTCTCCCCGACCCGAGCCACGAGCCCTCTTTCGAGCAGCAAGAAAACCTGCTTTATAGGATGCCTACCTCTACTCTGCCTAACCCTTCCTTTACACTTCCACGGTGACCACATCTGCCATGTTCTCACGATGTCGGCCTCCCAGCTCAACGTCGATACCTCGTCCTCCCCGCGGCAACCTCTTGACAGCCAGAAAATGCTGGCGCCGACATGTCCATGATGGCCTTTGTCCAGCCCGGCTGCCCGTCTAGGTTCGCCTACCAGAATGAGCATCGTGTCAAAGGGCTCAACGCAGAAACCCTAGCGAGGGTCTTCCTTCCAACGCCCTCATGGCTGTCGACTCCAGAGTATGCAGCAATCCGGTCAGATCCTGACAATCCATCGACCTGCATCTTCTTGAGCCTTAATATTTCCATATACAACCAACAGATAATCCCCTCGGAATGGACCGAGCAGTGGTTCTTTATGGTCGGCCGTGTTCATCCCTTTGCCCTGACGTGGGAAATCGAGCGACGTGATAGCTTCGAGTCGGAGGATGACAACATTACAGAATACACCATCCCGGCTCTCATCGTCCGCGACCACAGCTACCAGCCGTAGGTGTATGCTCCAGACCTCCGTCACCACTACCATCTCTGACGATGGCCACAGAGTCATCCCTCGCACCCTCGGCTCGGCGGATGCCTTCCCAGCGATACAACCCATTGTCTCCTTCACGGGACCTGTCATCGGTTCCGGCCGCGACCTTCTGCATGGAAACTCGGCTGCGGCCCTTGACGACACCCAGCTGAGCTGTTGCGGCTTTGTCCAGCTCTCGACCTTTATCTGTCCTGGGATTCCGGGCAAACACCCTTCAAGGGCTTTCATCCCTTTCAACTTTTCGTCATCTTCCCATTCACGCCAATCCTTGACCTCCTATGCAAGAAGATGACCGAGAGGCGCGATAGCCAGTTCCAGCCGAACGCTCTCCTCACCTGCACGGGCAAATCGCCGGCTTACTCGATCACCAGATCATGACACATGCCCCGGCCTTCGAGCAAGACTATATCTTCATCGTCGTCCCCGATACATGGACTTTCCTTGACAGGGCCATGTCCAACCAGGCTTCTGCGACACAGCTACTGCCGACGACACCCAAGGGCTCAGTCGGCAACCCTCGGACTATAGCGATGCGTTGGCCAGGTTTACCTCTACCAAAAACGCAAGGCCGCCCCAAGCGGCGCTCTCCCACGCCGCCTGCATCTAGGTCAGTCGATCCTTATGATGACATCAAAGCGGTCATTGCCCGATCCCGACCAAACCCCAACCATGAGACCGCGACTTTCTCCAGAAATTTCCACCATAGTCGAGGCCTGTGATAGTCGAGGCCCCGCCAAATCCGACACTTCCTCCCTTCTGTCCCACGAAGACCCGGAGACTCAGAGACGGACACCGAGCCAGTCAATCACCCAGCCACATCCGCCTCTGGCCCTATCAGACCTCCGGCGTCAATCTCTTCCCGACCGCACCGCGCCCGACATCCGCCCAAGAATATTCTGTAAAGCAACGAACGAAACAACACAACATGACAAGGAACATGTTTCATCATCCTCAAACTCAAGTGCGACAGGCCCTAATGGGATATTTCCTTCTCCTCTTGCTCTCCTTTTCACAAAGACAATCCAGTCAAAACTTCTCCAATATACTCCTTATTCTGTTTATATCCACCACTTATAGCACCTGTAAATCCTCAGAGCCTTCCACTCGCCCACACATGCATTACCCACCCACAACTCTCTTCACCCCTGCCGCCTCTCCACGCCCTTTGCGCCTTTGCAAAGCAAAATCTCCTTGCAGCGGCCTAGGCTGCCTCTCTGACGCTCTGTCTCGATTTCACTCACGATAATGCTCTACGTCTCTCGCCGGATCTCCATCTCATATCTCTTATCTCACTCTTCTTCCTGTCTTCCTCTCACTTCCCCTGTCTCCTATCTCCTGTCGCCAACTCTCTCCTCTCCCCGACTTTCTCCTGTCGCCATCGCCAACTTTCGTTCCGAAAGGCCTCTTTGCGCGAGCCGCGGCTGGCGAGCCTTCCCCTCGTACCCTGCGAGCCCTCTCCCCCCCCTCCCCCCCCACCAAAGTTTTTTCCCCCCGTCTTTCCCGCCTCCTGATTCGCTGGCGTTCCCGCTCTGGATTCGTCGGTGTTCCTGCTTTTAATTCGTCATAATTAAGTAAAAATTATAGAAAGGCATAGTACGTGCCTCTCTGCCAGTCGCCTCCTCCTCTTTGCCCTCTCCCTTGCTGCCCTCTTCCCTTTCCTTTCCCGTCCGTTTGGTTGTCTCTTGAAGGGCCCTCCTTATACTTATATGGATGCAAAACGCGGGCTGCCCACGTGGCCTGGTAGCCCTAACTATCGTTAAGCCGGTGGCGTCGCCGCAATAGCTGCTTGCTTTTGCCTACGGAACACGAGACCCGCCGAAAGCTCCCAGTGGAGTCAGAGTCTCTGCCCCAACAAGACAGAGAAACAAGCTATGATAGCCAAAGGTCGACTGATTCAAGCGATCCAAGTCCTGAAGGAGTCACCGGGACACGATCGTAGTTCAACCGCTGCCACCACGCCGGCGACCTTCCTCAGAAGGCAATAGCATGCAACCGGACAAGCAGCCGTCAGGTGACCAACCAATTCCTGAAGAACCACGCGGCAAAACGCGCACCCGCCGCAGTCAACAGGAGATTTACGGTGACCAGCCAACTCGCAAGAGTGACCGGACACCAAAGCCAAAACGGAAGCACGATGATTACGTCAACAGCGTTTTCACGACCCTGCTTCCAGCGGATCAACATCCAGAGGGAAACCTCGAAATATTTCATAGTGTCTTCCTTGCCGCAGTCTCTAAGACGGCACGAGATCATCGATTTCACCGCGATGACCTTGTACGACTCCCTAAACGCTACCAGGATCTAGAAAACCACCCGATGGGCCCAGACTTCAAAGAGGCCATAAGGAAGGAATTGCATGATCTCCTCCGACGAGGCACTTGGAGACTGGTCAAACGTGAAAAAGCACAGGGACCGCCTCTTCCACTGAAGTGGGTGTTCACCTATAAGTTTGATCAGGATGGCTATCTCCAAAGGTGCAAAGCTCGGATCTGCGTCCGTGGCGACCTGCAGGACGAGGACGACGGACGGGAGACATATGCAGCCACACTTGCAGCAAAAACCTTCAGAATCGTGATGGCAATCGCAGCCCGATTCGATCTTGACGTTAGACAATTCGACGTTAGTAACGCCTTCCTATACAGCGACATAAAGAAGGACCATCCCGTCTACGTCCGGCTCCCGCAAGGCTTCGTAGAACTTGGTTTCTTGAAATCTGGAGAAGGCTCAACCATGATCGCGGAACTTGACAAGGCTTTGTATGGTCTTCGAGAGTCTCCACTGCTTTGGTACAATGAGATCTCCCAGGCGCTCAAGGAGGCAGGGATTGACCGTACGGATGATCTCGCGAATAGAGGGTGCAAGTGATGAATTGATTAAGTTGCTTTTTTCTTCTGTTATTCCTCCTCTCTAACAAAAAGTGACTTCTTATAGTTCTGTCACTTGTCTGTGGTGGCGATGTCGCCACCCAGGCCGCCTAGATGACGTTGTCATCTAGAAGGTTCGATACCACCGCTTACCAACGACATTATTCATCCTTCTCAGTCACCTTTGCTAGAGTCAGCCCGACTAGGTAACCCTCGGACTTAGATCGTTAACCCGTTTTCACGACAGATGAAGAACCTTGCGTATTCACCAACGGCAAAATCCTGGCTCTTGTCTATGTCGACGACATCTTGATTCTCAACCCACGGCAAGAGAAGAAGGCTGTAAACGACCTTGTACAACATCTCCAATCCAAATACGATTTGCGCGAGGAAGAGTTCAAGTGGTATCTTGGCATCAGAGCTGTAAGGGATCGACCAAACAGGAAGGTCTACCTCTGCCAAGACGCGTACATCGAGAAAATTGCGCGAAAGTTCAAGCTCAGCGACTTGAAACTCCGAGTACCATCAATCCCCATCGCGACGATCCCGCTCGTCAAGTACAACGGGCAGGCTACCAAGGAAGAGATAAAGGCGTATCAGGAACGAGTTGGATCCTTGATGTACATCGCGGTCATGACCAGACCCGATATAGCACGAGCAGCAGCCCAGCTCGCGAGGTTCCTGACAAACCCATCGCCTGAACACCTTGAAGCCGCAAACCAATGCATCCGTTACCTCTATTCAACGAGATTCTTGGCGATCGTGTACGATGGAGCGTACGAGGGAGAGGTACTTGTGATCGCAAGCGACGCGTCATTTGGAGATGATGTCGAGACCCGTCGTTCATCGCAGAGATATGTGATGATGTTGTTCAACGGACCGGTCATATGGAAAGCTGGGCTCCAGGACACAGTCACGACTTCGACCACCGAAGCAGAAATTCTCAGCCTAGAGAGAACAACCAAGGAGAGCTACGCCCTGGACCGACTATTACGGGATATCTCTCTTGATCTCGGGCCTCTGAAGATTTACTGCGACAACCTTCAGTCGATCCGACTGGTGGTTGAGGAGAACCAGAGAATCACGACCAAGTTGCGGCACGTTGACATACAGAACATGTGGCTAAAACAGGAATTCAAGAAGGGTAGGTTCCTAGTGGAATACTTGAAGACTGATCAGATGCCAGCAGACGGATTGACAAAAGCGCTATCGAGAGCGAAATTCGAGCACTTCCGATCGATGCTAAATCTGACAGATATCAAGAGGGAAGCAAATTTGGAAGTGGGATGTCGATGACCTTCTAGGTCAGGCTGGTTGTGATAGTTCTAGCAGCGTTGACTTGATCACTCAACGCTGGGGGGTGTGTCGCATATCAAGCCTGCCTAGGATGATTACTCATGAAGTGGCGATATTACTACGCAACGCCGCTGTTGCCTTCTAGGCAACAGCTAATGCGTAGGCAGGCAACAAGCCTTTCATTTGTGTATAAAGAGCTGCATAATTCCCTGCAGCTCGTTCACTCACTTCTTGTTCTTTAGATAATTCTCATCAATTGCCTGATGCCATGTCTGACCCGTGTGGAGCCAAATGTCTGACAAACAGTCATGAGTCTTGTCCTCCGCTGAGTAAAGTCGGACGAGGCTCAAACCTGACCTTGTCCCAGTCGTCTATGCACTTGCAGATGATCCGCTCAACTGAAACACCCGCCGCGTTCTGCAATCGGAAGATCGGACATGACTACCGCCCCCTCAATATTCATGTTTATCATCCCAACTCACCCGTTAACATGCAGACTAGCCATCCTAACTCAAATCCCGCCTTTATCTTGACCCACTGTCGGCCGTTCTAGATTCGCAAGTCATGAACGCCGACTCGCGGCCGTGGTGAGTCAACCAGAACTCGCACTGTACGGACGGATCCTCGCCCGCCACTCTGTCATCCCCGATCGACCGGCCCATGCTAAACATGACGCTCTGGCCCTGGAGCTGATCGAGCTCCTCCCACGAGTCCCACTTGGGCAACACATCATGTCGACTCGCACCAGCTTCCCGATTACCTGAGCCGGCAAAAGTGCTCGACAGAGTAGTTAGCATTAAATGACTACTGTGCCCGCCCCCACTTTAAAGTGGTAGTACTTGAAAAGCGGTGGATTGTTAAGCGGTCCCTATTACAGTACCAAGCCATCGGTTTACTTTAAACATACCACCGTTTTAAGTGACGCTAATATTTCATCTCCTCAACCTCGCTGAGGCCTGACTAAGTGCAATGCATCTAGGCAGGACTAACTTCGGCCGCATTAGATTGAATGACGCTAGATTTTTTTCTGGGAGTTCTAGCAGGACCAGTTTGGTCAGATTTTATACAGGAACTTTCCCCGTCATTGTACCGGCTTTCGACCTATGAATTCCACGTCGTCCCCCGCAACATATCGCCTAGATCTTCAATGAACTCTGCGGCCGCTTGCTCATTGATTCGGCCCCTTGCTATTCGTATCGTCACATTTCCCTCAATACATTTATGTTTCTCGGTATATTAAAGACTCAAAACCACGTATAACCGGAGTTCAGAGCCCGATCGACTCAACACCCGATTCTCGACAGTCGGGAATAAGCCCATGACTGTCCCCTGAACGCCCAAGACAACATCAAAGCGTCATCCTACCATGAAGGGCCTCTGGCTGCCGACATTATGGGCTCTCCTTGTGCTGGTCCTGGGCTTTGGCCAAAGCCTGCCCTCGGCTGAGGTCATTCACAGCATGGGCAAACGTGGCGTGGCAGTAAGCAAACCGGCACCTGATCCCGAACAACCAACGACCGTCTGGCGTGGTGAAAGTTTCGGACTCCTCAGGAGGTTGAAGCCGCTGGCGGCATGTTCTCTCGAGGCCTTGAAAACAGCGAAGAGGTGAAACCCTTACGAAGGAAGAAATTGAGAGTGGCAGCAGCTTGTATGAGCATGCCAAGGGCAACAGAATAGCAAACTCGCAATATGTGTCGACGGCTTCAGATCCGGCCCTGGGGTTGCGGTTCGGTCGCGGTGGGGATCAAAACGGCGAGTCAAACGGATACCTCTATCGCATACACGCCGATACAAAAGCCATCGACGTGGATGCGTCCCTTGGGCGGTACAGCCCCTACAAAGGCCAAACAGAGCATGCATTCATAGGGGGCATCCCATTCGACCAAATCGAAGGCTGGTACGAATTGAAGGGGATCAAAGACACAGACGTACTCGAAACGATTAAGCGAGGAGAGTCTCCGGGGCGTGTAGAATTCATTAAGAGCCCCAAGTTTAACGAAGAAAAGTATCGCAATCAGAAAGGAAGCGGAGCACAGCCTCAGATCGCCGGGTTTCCTGAGACCTCTGACGCATGGAAGGAAAAGCCGTGGAACCAATACAAGGACCAGAAAGTGTTAGATAATCTGGGCAATTTCTATTGGAACAAGGTATGTGGAGGCACAAGCTGCAACAAAGACTTCCAGCCTCTGTTTCTCAGCCGCTGCCCCAACCAGATGCAGGCAAAGATGGGTCGTCGGGTCCAAATGAGAATGGGGAACCGCTGTGCAAGCGCAGCAATGGATGCAGAAATGGTGCAGAACCGGCCAACAAGAACCAAGAGGCCAACAAGAACAACGGCGAAAAGACAACGGGACCCCCGGCCGACAACAAACCCCCAGCCAACAACAAACCGCAGCCGCAGCCCGATATAAACCAACAGGGGAATACCGGAAAGCCCGGTCCCGAGCCAGATTCCGAACCGGTCAAGAACCGTCCGCAAAAGCTCTGAAGACTTTTGGTTTTATTCCTGGCTTTACGTTCGGCCTTCTTACGGCAATTGTTACTTGTGAAGCACATGAAAAAATGGTAAGTTTCTAACCGTGACTAATGACAAATTTAACATCGGCGGTATGCTAATCGGCCTTGAGCGGAACCAGCAAGAGCAGGTGCATCCAGTGGCGCCGCCGCAGGACCTTACCCTTTGGGAGAGAATCAAAAATCCCTGAAACTCTACTCGATCGGGCCGACTTTCATAAAGCTATTTAGCGAGGAAAACTGGGTGGCTTTTAAGAAGTCTGGTGCCGACTTGCTAAAAGAGCTAGGGGGAATTCCAGAGGCGGTGAAAAGCGCTATACACGACCTCACAAATGCGGAAAATCTCGAGGCTTTCGAGAAGTCTGCTCGAGACCTCGGAAAAGGGTTGCGAAGTTCCGGGGCGGTGGTAAGCGGTGTACATGACGTCGCAAACCCGGAATATGACGCTTTGCGAGGTCTCTGGCGACCTCGCAAAGCGGTAGGTGAAATTCCGGCTTTGGAAGGGGTTTGACGACCTCAAAAGCCCCAACCGACATCGCAGCAGCATTTCAGAAGCTGCCTGGACAGCTGGCGAAAGCTGCTGCAGATTTCATGACTGAGTACAATAAGTTTGTAAGTTACCCATGACCGACGAGTCTGACTGCCAGTGACACTGTCGTGAAAACGGGTTAACGATCTAGGTCCGGAGGTTACCTAGTCGGGCTGACTCTAGCAAAGGTGACTGAGAAGGATGAATAATATTGTTGTTAAGCGGTGGTATCGAACCTTCTAGATGACAACGTCATCTAGGCGGCCTGGTGGCGACATCGCCACCACAAGGCAGCCACAGGTGACAGAACTATAAGAAGTCACTTTTTGTTAGGGAGGAAGAAGAATCTAAGGACAAGAAACATAATCTATTCATCACTTGCACCCTCTCTTCGCGAGAGTTATGAGCCCGGGAGGGGGTGGCAAACTACCCCCTGCAACTTCCGGTGACTGCGCGTTGCGGGGTAATACCCGTAGATAGCCGTGTACCCCTCTCTCTCTTGGATTTCCCTGGGTAATGGGCGCGGTGCTTGGTGTTCGACTCCGCGTCGTGGGCTTAGGTCCAGGAATCCCGGCGGAGCCGCGATCCCTGAGGGGGTGTGTCGGAAAACGCGGTTGTCAGTCATATGTGTTAATTGCAGCGCACCTGTCGGAGCGCGCGTTCCACTTTTGCCTGCGTGGCGCAATGGTCTTCGCGACAGACACTGCTGATAAACCTGTCAAATCTAGTTACCAGTAAGTTCTCACCATTACTAAACGAGTCTAATTGCCGACGGCATGCTGATACGGCTGGCAACTCTAGCCTGGTTCCAACCAGAGAAAAATTGCCGACTCTATTTTCCTAAGTTTGCCGCCAGCCATTCCACTGACTCAGTTCGCGAAGCTTTCAGTAGCTGGGGAAGAGTTGGGTCCAGTGTTATACGGCGAATTCGCCAAAAGTTACGGCAAGTGTGGATCCACGCTCGGAAATATGAACAGTTCATCCATATGATTCGGCGGGCCCACAAGCATGGACCCGTTATAGCGCCCGGCCTCGACGTCGATTTGGCCCGAAAACCGACGGGCTTCCACGCACTAGATAACGTCGTGTCGCATCGAGCGGACCCTGTTTGGAAGGAGGATACTTGGTTCCTGTGTATGCAGATATCGGGGTCCTCCTGACAGCTATTTAAGCTGGGATAGGCCTGCGAGGCGGATCGGTCGTCGGCGTGTCTCCTGGTGACGAAGCTGAAATGGCCCATAGCTGAACAGCCGGGCGGCCCATGCCACGGGGGAGGCGGTGTGATCAATGGTCATGAATGGGGTTGTCTGATAAGGCGAGGGGGCACCAGGGTGAAGCAAGTAAGATGGACGAGAGGCAAGCGAGCAAGCAAGCAGGTCAAGGTATGCGTCAGTCGTCGCTTACTAGGAAACCAGGCTTTTAATCATACGCCATACGCCATACGGACCTCTATGGTTTATGGCGTATGGTTTATTCCCGTATGGTCAACTAAATCATATATGACCATACGGAAAATGACGTCATAGGCCACTATGTTCGCGTCGGGTGCCGATGATGCTGTTGTGTGTGATGTCCTCGAACAGTTCAATCTCCTCTACTGGCAGCCCTGCCGTTATCCCGCTGCGAATCCAGCTCTTCAAGCACTCCCCTTTTCAATTGTCGATGCTCCAAGAAGCATGCGATCCCATGAGATTGTACGCCGCGCCCCAGAGAAAGTGCGCTCAGGGTCAGCAGACATGGCAGGTATGGAGAGAATGTCTATTGCCATCTTTGATAATCGAGGAAAGCGCTCCTTCTGCTCAGCACGGAGCCACCAGGCGAGGGGAGAGCCATCGATTGGGATGGGCGGCTGAGAGGTGTAGGAGTCGTATTCGTCGGCGTCCTCTTCTGTGCCCACAACATCAAGCTCCTGTGCCAGCCGGTCATACTCATCGAGCTCCAATTCGGGAACGATAGAGGGAGTAGTAAGAACGGCGGGTAGGTTCTTGTATTCGTCTTCCCATGCTTTCTTCACCCTGCGAAAATGTTCTTATGCCACGCCTTTGGCCAATTCTTTTGTACGTGGGCTTTGCCTCTGGATGGATGAAGAATAAGGGCTGCACCATATGCCGGGCTCTCATCGGACAGCTGATAGTACTTGTCGAAAACGTACCAGCTCGTTAGCACCGGGCCAGCAGCTGTTGATTCGTCCTGTATTTGTTGAAGGCAATTGATATACGGGCCCAACCACTTTACTACACGGGCGCTCCTTACACGGGCGGCGGTTTTTAATTGGGCCAAAAATTCTGCCGCCTGGTCCTTGCACGTGGCAGGGTCTGTAGCCCCACCACCTGGCAGAAGGGGGGTGACATCCCAGCTGCCAGTTCTGTAGTGACAACTAACTCTCCCACAACCAACTTTCCGTCTGAGCAATCATTCGGTTAAGCACCAACCGGCATGACATTGCACGAAGACCCAACTGCTGCCAACAGCGGCGACGGCTGTAGTAGATCCCTTCCGGGCTTGCCTCCATGCAAGCGCCGTAGACTTGCATCACGGGCTCGGGCTCAGCCTCCTTTCAATCCTGAACCGTATTACGGCCTTAACGACGATGATGCGTTATACAATCTCTTCGCGACATGGCCAGAAAGCTACTTCACTAGCCTGCCAAGACCACACGGCTCGTGGCGTCGACGAGCCCTGGTGGAAACTACGTCAGTCACAAATATTCTTGGATGATAGCTTCCGAGGAGGTGGGGCTCGGCGGTTGTTCACCACAGGAATTCCTGATGCAGACAAACTCGAGAGACAGCGTCTACGCTGCCTCTTGAGGGTGGAGGAAGTCGATGCCCGCAAGCAGGTTGTGGCCCGCTTCCAGCCTGCCTTGACCTTGGCCTGGGAGCTGGCGGAGACAGATTCCTTATTGGCTCGCGAGTTGGCCAAGTGTCGAGAAGCGTCCGGCCCACGGCAAGCTATTTGGGAACGTGGAGACGATTGCCACGGCCGTATTGCGTCGCCCACTCCACTAGTATCATCGTTGAGCCAAGATGGACAGGAGTACGAAGAGTGGAACGGCTTCTCCGACGCCGAGTGTGGGGATTATAGCGACGTTGAACCTATTCCCAATCCACAAATCCCCGGTACTGCAGCTCCATCGATCGAGGCCCTTCACGCCGAGGTGAACGCATTCGCAAAACGAACGGGTTTGGCGTTGTCAGGCGAAATGGAACTGGGAGTCGAGCCAGAAAGACGCGATACGTATTGGAGTGCGATCGGTACGGTCAGCCACGCCCGTCTGAGGGGACTGGGCTTCGCCAGAGGCGGTCACGCAAGTCCGGCTGCAAGTGGAAGGTGATCGCGGAAGGCTTGGCAGAGAACAGCTATATGTGGACGCTACGAGCATTTCCCGACCCTGAGCACGGCCAACATAACCACGAACGGAGTATTAGCCTCCGCGCACCCAGTTCACCGAAGACTTACCAACCCTGTCAAGGCAACAATCGAAACAACAAGCCGGCGAGTTGGCATCCGGGCACGTGATGTAGGGGGACTTGTTCGGGACAGCCACCAGGAACCGTCTATATGAGAAGGGACATATATAACGCCAGGGCGCTTCTGCGCCGCGAGAATCTTGGCGGAATGAGCCCCACAGCCGCGTTAATCAAGCTTTTCGACGAGAGGGGCATCCCCTATATCGCCAAGTGGTCAGAGACCGAACCTGACCGCCTTGTTGGGTTGGTATGGACCTTTCCATACTGTATCCGTATGTGGAAACGCTTCCCGGAGGTGATAAGCTTCGACAACACTTACAACACAAATCGCTTCAAGCTCCCGCTCTTCCAGGCGACGGGTCAAACTTGCCTCAAGTCGGTCTACAACGCTGCCTTCGGCTTGATCGATAACGAAAGGCGTGAAGGCTTCCAATTCCTCGCTGAAGGGATTAGGCAGTTGTTTGAGAGGCATGGAATTCAACTACCCAACGTTGTGATCACGGACTTCGACCAACAGATGAAGGCGGCACTGGAAGATCAGTTTCCAGACGCTCAACAACAGCTTTGTATCTTCCATATCAACTCGAACGTACTACTTAACGCCAAGCGCAAGTGGAAGCACGCCAAGGAAGACAGCGACGGTGGCTCTAATAAGGGATTTCCCGGTGATCTGCCGGATCGGGTGATTCGCCGGGTTTTTTCTCCCTTGCATTCCAGTAAAGAACTGAGAATAACTCCACGAATACTATTTGAATTGTTCTAAAATCTCATAAGAGCAATTAATAATGCTCAAAGATTCCACTCAATATTTTTTTGAAGTCATCCAGTCATCGAGGTCGTCTTCTGTTACTCTCCGATCGCGCAAGTCCCCGAAATGCACCCACTACCTTCCGATCACTATCAACAGCTAAAGAGGGCCTTTGAGGACAGGATATGTGGTTCGAAGTTATCATTGCCTTGTTATTTGCGTTATTATATAGTGGGCTTGGTACCTGCAATGCTATGGTCCGCTCTGGTGTGAACGGAAGAGTGACAATTTCTGCGGCGTGAGCATCCTGACTCCTCACGCAACCCTCAGAAGCCACCCGTCGCTCATTCTGCATTTTCTGGGGCTTTTCCATAGTCAAAGTCTTCAGCTCTTGTTAATAGTGCCAATTTATCTCCATATTTTGCTTCAAGGCCTCCGTCATCCGTCGTTTTCTCCCAATTTCCGCCTCTCATTGCTTCCTCTTCTGTAGAGCGAAAGCTTTTGCTCCGCCGCCTTCTTCTGTTGCTGAAACCTTCAGGTCTCCTTCTTCAGAGCCTCTTCTTTTTTTGGGGTCCTTAAGCTGTATTTATTTAGCGAGTTTGAGCCACTTTTGCAGAGCTAAACACCTCGTCTGCATTACAATCTGTACAGCAGAAGAGATCATCTTTTGGAGCCTTACCGCCCTGCCTGCGCTGGTGCTTGTGACTACCTGTTCTCTTCTAACTTAAGCTCTCATATAAATCACTTAAAACTCACATTGAGGGCTTTCGAGGGTGCTGCTCAGCCTTCGGCTGTTGCGGCCAGCTGTGAAAGGCCTCTAGTGAGTTGATACAACTAACTAGTCCCTATGCTGTTTACTATCAAGATAGAGAAGAAAGAAAGAAAGAAAGAAAATCTACTACATGAGAGCACAATAGCATTTTATAGCTTCGAGCCAATGGAAGGTTCTAGAAGCTAAGCGGCGCAGCCGCCGTTAAAGCGGCTTGCCCGTTACATTACCTCCTCCTTCCAACGTTTCCTCTTCCGGGGATCGTGGAAATCTGTGGCAAGATGACTTGAGAAGGTGACACTCCTTTTATGCTTCTTCCATTGCTTCCATGCATCCGTGTGTCGAATAGTGGTAAGGGGTTCCACGTAGGCTGCGAGTAATCATGCCATTTACGAGCACCTTCTTATGCGTACCTTCCATTCTTTCATCCAGAATTCTTTCGACAAGGTACATCTTTTCGCCGTCCACCAGCACCGGTGGGGCACTCTCTTGATCGAGTTTCTGCGAAGGCAATCGGTCTCCGGGGACTGGCCGGAGTAGGTCGACGTGAAAGACTGGATGGATGCGCCCAGGCACATCCAACCTGTAGGCATGTGGGCTAACTTCCGCGAGCACTTGATATTTGGCATGTAGCCAATCGAGCTTCTTGCAGGGTCGCGATGTTTTGACATTTCTCAAGTTGAGGTATACCCAATCCCCAGGCTCGTATCTCGGTGCGGCTGTCCTGTGCTTGTTGGCTTGCGCTTGCTGTATTTCCTGGGCCATAGCTATCGCTGCTTGCGCAAACTCCGTGGCGTCCTGTAGTCTCTGAATAAAATCCTCCGCTGTCGCTTCCCCCTGCGTCGTGTCTTCCGTTCTTCGATGCTCAACTAACTGGATTGGCTCGTTGTGGTAGCCGTGCATGAAGAAGAACGGGCTCAGTCCGGTGGAGGTTGCTTCCTCTCGTTAATAGTCGCCATCGCGATTGGAAGCAAGTCTAACCAGTTCTCCTGCAGATAATTCGTCCATATCCGAAGAATCCTCTCTACCTCTTGGTTCATTCGTTCTGTTGCACCGTCGGTTTGTGGATGGTACGCCGTCGACAACCGCTGCTCGATCCCTAGCATCTGACAGAAACTTTTCCACATACCACTGACAAACTGGGGACCCTGATCACTGGTGATAACCGTTGGGATGCCATGGACAGGGTAGTGTCGTTCGAAGAGTCTTCTTGCAACCGCTTCTGTGGAAATATCGTTCAATCCTTCGAGTTCGACGCCTTTGGTGAGTCGGTCCGTGACCACCATGCAGTTCGTCGCGCCATCTTTCCCCGACGGCGGGAGGTCAGTAATAAAGTCAATGGTAATTTCGCTCCATATGCGTTGCGGAATAGGGTCGCAGTTGCGCACAAACCGACGTACATCGCTAGCGGCACCCGGCCAGAAGAAGCGTCTCGACAGAGTCGAGTACGTGAGGTCCCTTCCAGGATGTCCGGTGATATGAGAGTCGTGAGTTTCCTGGATGATCTTTGTACGTAGCGGCTCCGAACCGGGTATCCAGACGCGTTCTCTAAAGCACAGCAGGCCTCTATTGTCTAATGAGCATTCTGAAATGCTGACAACCTTCTCCTTCTGTAACTCTGTTGGCAAACTCTTCGCTCCATCTGCTACCAGCTTCGTGAGTTCTTGATAAAGCTTGTCTTCTTGCCGTGCGGCGTGCCACAGCTGCTGTAACTCCTCATCTTCAAATATCCTGATCTCTTTTCCGAAGTTGATTTCCTGGGCACCCTCGGTGTTGGTAGACAATGTCGATATTGGGACTCTTCTAAGGTGATCGTTTTGGAATAGCCTCATAATGCGTCCCTTTAGTCGTTCATCGGAGTAGTTGGCCGGCATATCCTGGTCTCGTCGAGAGAGTGCGTCAGGCAATCCGCCCTTGCGGCCCGGCCTCCATTCGAGCTCGAATTGGAACCTGGACAGGAACTCCGACCACCGCACTTGTCTCTCTGTCAACCTCCTTTCCGAGTAGAAGTACCTCAGGTTCTTGTGGTCCGTTAGGATCTTGAAGTGCTCTACTGCCCGTAGCTCTGGTTCCCACTGCTCCAAACATCTGAGAATGGCGAGTAGCTCCTTGTCATGGATAGCGTAGTTCGCTTCGGCTGCCGAATGTTTCTTCGAGAAGTATGCGACAGGTCGTACCAGTCCATCCTTATCATCTCTCTGCAAGAGCACGCCTCCCGACGCGAATCCTGAAGCGTCTGCTTCCACGATAGTCTCCTTTCTGGATGGAAGTGTGCAAGGATTGGGGCCGTGATCAACAGGTCCTTGAGCTTCTCGAAGGCTTCTTCGCACAATTCATCCCAACGGAATGGCACGTCCTTCTTCGTTAGCCGCGTTAGCGCTCCGCTATCACCGAGAACTCTGGCATAAACATCCTGTAGAAGTTCGCGAATCCAATAAAACTCCTCACGGACTTAACATTCGTCGGGGTTGCCCATTCCTTCACAGCCTCAACCTTCTCAGGGTCGACTCGGATCCCACACTCCGCCTCGATGATAAACCCAAGGTATTTCACAGCCTTGACTTCGAATTCACTCTTGTTGATATCCAGTTGCAGCCCGGCGTCCATCAGTCGTTGGAGGACCTTGCCGACCTTGTCGCGGTGGTCTTGCAGGCTTCCAGAGGAGAAGATCAGGACATCGTCGATATATGCTGACACAAAATCGTCTAGGTAATCCTGGAGCGCGCTGTTAATGTACCGCTGAAAGGCTGCTGGTGCGCCTGTCAGGCCGAATGGAACTACCAGCCATTCGAAGGATCCATAGCGCGTTCTGAAAGTTGTCTTTTCCTCGTCGCCGGGGGCGACCCTGATCTTATGGAACGCTGCTATAACATCTACCTTGGTGAACCACCTTGCCTTGGCTATCGTTCGCAAGGTCTCGCTCAGTAAGGGCAAGGGATAGCGGTCCCTCTTCGTTATATGGTTCAAACCTCTGTAATCCACGCAGAAGCGGATGCCTCCGCCGGGCTTCTTCACCATAAGGACTGGTGCCGCGGCTGGCGAGCTGCTGACTCTAATAAATCCCTTGTCGAGTAGTTCTGTGAGAGTCTTCCGTAGTACCAATAGCTCCTCGCGGGACATGCTGTAAAGCGGTCCCCAGGGTAGGGCTTCTCTCGGCCATGCTCGTCTTTCAGCACTTCGATCTTCAGGTCCACACCTGGCCGATGAGGGGGCAGCTGGTCGGCCAGTTGCTGAGAGAAAGCTCGAGACCACTTGTGGTACTGTGGTGGCAGCTTCTCCATTACGTCAGTCTTCGGTTTCGGTCTTAGGGCCTTGTCAATATCCGCCATCGTGACCGAGTGAACTCCAATGCCGCCTTTGCGTTTGTCACGGCGTGCTTCTGCTAAAAGGTTGCGGCCATGACATTAGAGACATCTAGCTGGGGAGGCTGGTAACGTCGTCGGTCTCGTACTTGAACTCCATTGGACCCGATCTCGAGATATCCTTCCTTCGCATGGATGTGAACATCCTGGTCTTCCATCCATCGTTTACCCAGGATCATATCCCAGTTCAGATCGTCGATGACGTACATGAAAACACGATGCTGCTGATGTCCATCGAGGTCGATCGACACATACGTGATCTTGTCGATTTTGACCTCCTTGCCGTCTCCGGCTGCGTTCTCCAAGATACGCGGCTGAACGCGTATATGTGGCAACTGGAGAGAGTGAAATGTGCGCTTGCTAACCGCGCCGTAGCAGAGGCAGCCATAGTCGACAAGAGATGGCACGAAGTCTGTGCCGTTCACCCTGACGTCTGCTATGAACGGTTCTCCGTCCATTTTTGCTTTTCCGCTCACATCCCATTCTCTCACAGCCGCCGCGTGTCCCTAGTCTGAATCTTCCTCGCTATGAGAAGAAGTATCGTCTTCGGCGACCTCGGCTTTAGTGACCGCTGGTCGTGACGGGGTCACGGCATTGACCTGAGTGCGTCGGGTCGTGTTTGCGGGTCGGATAGGCGCAGCCAATGGACAGCGCTCGATTCTGCAGTTGTCTCTTCCACAACGGAGGCAACGCCCTTCACGGTAACGGGCGTCCATCTCGGCCTGGTCGACCCACTTGGCACGCTTGCCCAACAGCGCTTGGTCTTCTGGTCGCTTGGATTGGTAACCATATGTGTTCTTATCACTGCGGGTGCGCGCAGCGTTCACTTTCGCGGATACTTGTAGAGTTGGTTCCCATTCCATCATATCCTCTCGTCTAACTTCGGTTTTCTGGCCAGACTGTTTCTGGGCAGCCTGGCCTCCATGATTCTGGTGGTTGTCATAGTTGTCCGAACTCTTTGTGTTGCCTCGAGGCCTTTCCACTGACCCAATAATTCCATCTGGCTGCTCAGCGAATCGCACCTCCTCGCCAGCCCAACATAGCTGCTGATGGCAGAGGGTCAGAGCCTATGAGGCCTGCTTTCATTTTATCGTTTAGTGCCTCCTGGAGGTAGGAAATCTTGCTGTCATCTGGCCAATACTCGGCGTTGGCATTGGCGATCTCCTCTCAAAGCGGGGTAAAGGACGTGAACGGTTCATTCTCTCCTTGCTTAATCGAATGCAGGTTGCGTGTAGCTCTCTGCTTGCGATCCCTCTCCCGTACAGCAATTCGAGGCGGTTGAGTAGTTCAGCAACATTGAACGTTTTCTTCTCGGTTTGCATCTCCACAAATGTGGTCACGTTGTCTTTAGCCTTGCCTTCTAGGCTCATGAAGATGTACATAAAGTGGCCTTCTGCATCTCCAAGGGCTTCTTTGTCGACTCGTAGCTTTCCTTCGGTTTCTAGTTTCCAGCTTCGCCACTGGGCCTTGTCGCCGCCGAATTTCGGTATGTCTCGTAATTTGGGGCGCTTGGTTGGGTGAGGGTTGTGAGTGGCGACCACACGGGTGTCCTCAATGGGGACAGCCGGGGTGACAGATGGCGTTGGCTCTAGGAGTTCAGACGAACGGGCTTGCTGGTGTTGTTGGAGTTCCAGGGCAATAAAACGTTCTTCAAACTGGGTGTTTCTCCGGGAACTCTCTTCTCTCAGACTTCGTATCTCGGCAACCAGGGCGCTGAGGACGTCCGGCTGCATGTTGTTGTTATCTTCGGCCATCGCGACTTCGCTGAACGCTAATAGTTCGACGGGACTCAGTTTGGTGTCTTCAGTGTCTTCAGTGTCTTCAGTGTCTTCGGTGTCTTCAGTGTCTTCGGTGTCTTCAGTGTCTTCAATGTCTTCAGTGATCTTGATAGTATGTGAAAGGCCTCTAGTGAGTTGATACAACTAACTAGTCCCTATGCTGTTTACTATCAAGATAGAGAAGAAAGAAAGAAAGAAAGAAAATCTACTACATGAGAGCACAATAGCATTTTATAGCTTCGAGCCAATGGAAGGTTCTAGAAGCTAGGCGGCGCAGCCGCCGTTAAAGCGGCTTGCCCGTTACAGGCATCGCCTAACCGCGCCCTCGAACGCCTCGTCGATACGAATAGCCTTACGATTAGGATAGAAGGATCAGTCGAACGCCCTCCCCGCTAGCTGCCGCTCGAACCGTCACTCTTTTCGCACCCTTGCGGTCGCACCCTTGCGGTTGCTGCTACGCTCCCGCACCTGCTGCTACTGCTGCGATTGCAGCGATAAAAGAAGATTTGCCAGTGTGGGAATGTAGCTGTCGGTGAAATGTTATGTCAATACACATCGGAATAAGGGGGTCACACAGCTAGGTTCAAGATGCATGTTCTCTCTCTAAAGGGGCAGTCTGAAGGGGCTATTTATACAAGAGGTCTTAGGGCCTTCTGGGGACCTCCTGAGTAAGGAGCTTTACTGGCTGTGTCCACGCATAAAGGGGTAGCCTTCCTTACTCAGGAAGTCTTCATGCGTTCCTGCTACATAGGCCAGGGATCCCTTCTCCAGGTCCCTCCCCAACGTGGCAGCCCTGGTCCGCCGACAGTAGCATATAGCTATAGTAGGATTGTAAGGGAGGTGCGCACACACGCACACGTGACCCTTAGCGTCACGTGTATGGACCTCGGGGATCCGTGTATAAAGGGCACGTAGTGTGCCCCCTCATTCCCTTTCCTCCCTTCCTAGCTAGACATCTTGAATACAACCCATTGCGTTACTGCAGTACAGACCTCCCGACAGTATGTGTGGGAATTGTAGTAATCCATTGTACCCATCTAGATAGGTCACGTGCGCTCTCACGTGTGCAGTTGAGGATAGCGGAGGACACATAGCTAGCTCCGTGCCCTTTGCCCCCTCTTCCCCCTTTCTAGAACAGACATCAACGATTACACATACCATTGCGATTTGCACGCAGGCCTGTGTAGAGACCTACCGACACTGATCAGTGGTCGACTTGGTCGATCACAGACAGCTAGGAAGAAGAGACAAATCGCTAACCTTCAAGATCGGCTGCAAGGCATCGGTTGAGGAAGGTTATTTGTGCTAAGTGGCTATCTCAGGCTGCCAGGCATCTGGGAGAACCTACCAAGCTATTAATCGGCTGCAAGGCATCGATTAGTAGTGCGACCACATCGCCTAGCGACTTCTATTATCGGCTGCAAGGCATCGATCAACAGTTGTTACTAGACCCGACAAAGACGTATTTCGACAGCCAGATACGACTCCATCGTCTCATTCACTTGATCAACGATGACCCGACCGACCGAGCTACGACTCCGAACGAGAGCGCTCAGCTCGAACAATTGAGCGAACGGATGCAAGGACTAGCTATCCAGACATCCGTATTCGATAAAGTTGATGTTACCCTTTGGGGACAAGACATCAAACCTGACGAGGAAGATGAGATCGCAGTTACGACGTACGCCGCTAGGTTCATGTCCAATGCCCAATTCGAACGCCTAGAAGGAGACGACATCCTTGACCACTTCCAACAACACTTCGAAGGCTGGAACCAAGACATATGGAACCGGGTACATATGGACTACAAGAGAGCCCTTAGATTACTTCTAAGGAGACGTGGCATCTATACAGGACGGAAAAATGGCCCTTTTGCACCCCAATTCATCATGTTGCAAACTGTGGAGGACCGACCTGCATGGCCAGAACGAGAGTACATGGAGATGGATTTTGACATTGGGACGACCGCTTATAAGTTACGAGCAACAGGATCAAATGCCCTAACTTCTCCCCGAGAACCCCAATCGCCACCGGTAGCAACACCGTTACAGTCTTAACGAACAACAGCCCATTAAGACCTTAACGAAGCCACCTGCCCAGGAACCCATCACTGAGGCACTACCGATAACAACATCACCTCCACGACTTCCGATCTGACCCAAGATGCACCTAACTTGAACTCTCGTACAGCCCATCCGACAACCCACCACTTCAAGCACCCGAACTCGTCCAATCCGCCCAAACCCCACCTAAACCTCCGTCCGAGCATATGCATCTCGACGCATATACAAAACTTCCCCGGATGATACCCGAATGCCACTGTTGACGCAGATACCCAATATATGTTCATGAAGCTCTGGGATAAGGACCAGAACTACACAGGAGAGCCGTACGACCTCCTCGATGAGAAACTCCGAATCTTCATGAGTATCTGCTACAACATCCAAGTGAAACCGTCACAATTTCACGCACTCTTTCCCCGGATCCTTGATGGAAGAGCACAAACGTTCTACATTGACAAGATCGAATGGACTACCACGTTTAGGAAGGCATACGACAGCATCAAACAACACTTTGACACGGAAGTTAACCATGTCCATTACTATACAGATTGGACCACAACCACTTTCAACTCGATTCGTGCCCAAGATGCTTCCAAATCCCTCCACGAAGTCCTTCAACTACTCTTCGATAAGCTACAACTCTGTCAGAGAGCCTTGGCCCTGACTACGCAGGAAACATTCCACTGCGTACTACGCTTATCATCGCATGCCGTGGTGTACCCGAACTTGAACACGCCCTCTTCAAACCTGCAGCAAAGATCGAGACCCTCTTTGCAGATCTACGATCTTCCGTTGAGACCCACCTTGCCCGACAGACAAACCCTCAGTATTTGCAAAGCCCTGACGGATCATTTGGACCAACGAATCCGAACAATCAGTACTACCTCGATCGCCGATACCATAACAACCGCGTACGAGGAAGATACGGATACTCAGGACAACGACCCAATCGCGGATATGGACAAGGCTACAACCGTGGAAGCTACAGGCCCTCAAGCCATAGCAACTACACCCTAGCCACACCAATCGCAATTGGACCAAAAGTGCTTTGTTTGTGGACAAGAAGGTTGCTGGTCAACCAAACACTCTGCAGAAGAACGACAAGAGGCCAAGGACCAATATGTCGCACATTGTCAATTCACAGGCATACAACCTCCAAACTTCATAGCCTATCTTATAGACTACGAAGGTCATGAGCTTGATGAACTCACTACCGACGACATATGGGAAGAACCTGACAATGGCACCAACAATCACCCTAGACAATGGAGAAGTCTACCGGACGGATCAAACCATTGTTCCCGCCTAGCAATTCGTCATTGAAGATCAATATTCAGTGGACAATTTCCCAGGCATCATGATTGACACAGGTGCAGCAAAAGTCTCTACAGCCGGTCACTCTCAGTACATTGCTCTACAACGAGAAGACCCTCTGTAGCCCTAGACAGCTCAACCTCCGGCCAGGCTACCATCACATTTGGACACGGCGAAGCCACTCACTCGATTGGTTCCATCGCCCTCAAAACACCAGTCGGAAGGATCACGTTCCACATCCTTCAGACCCCTACCCAGGAAGAAGAAGAACCCCCCAGACCGGCATGAAACCCCCGCACCCCACAAGAGAGGACGCCCGCCCGGATCAAAGAACAAGCCCCAGCCCGCAGCACACGGAGCCTCGAGGACCGGCCGGCACACAAGAGCAAATAACAATATGTGCCTGTAGTCCCTAGAGGAGCCATATGCCCACAAAGAAGAAAAGCTCGAGGAAGCACAATTTCGAGCCAAGCCAAAGACCTCGATGACCACAAGTACAACGGTTGACTCCAACGCATTTGATTAGCACCAGCGCTACGTTCAAGCATCAGCGCTACGTTCAAGGTATACACAATCAAACAGTTCCTGTCACCGACAAGTCTTCCAAATCTTCTTCGACTGTTCACCTCTTTGACCCCAATACACTCTTTTCCCCTCTTTTCATTATGGCCCCACTTTTTGGGCCTGTTGACATTTTGCCACCACTGCAGCTGGTCTCTCCCTCTCTTTCCCTGCTCGTTACAGCGATTGCAACCACAAAAGAAAAGTTGCCAGTGTGGGAATTGTAGTAATCCATTGTACCCATCTAGATAGGTCACGTGCGCTCTCACGTGTGCAGTTGAGGATAGCGGAGGACACATAGCTAGCTCCGTGCCCTTTGCCCCCTCTTCCCCCTTTCTAGAACAGACATCAACGATTACACATACCATTGCGATTTGCACGCAGGCCTGTGTAGAGACCTACCGACAGTATGTGTATTTCACCCGGAGGATTTCTCCTATAGGGCCTAGACGTAAAAGCTACTGACATTTCAATACATTAATGCGTAACACCTTAAGCCCCACGAGGACTAGTTATATGCACAACAGTAGTAGTAGTAGTAGTAGTATTGATTACCGTCTGGGACATCCCTATAAGGGCAAAAGACGTGCTAGGCTAGAGAAGACTAGATACATAGAATATCCCGAGTACCTGGACTAAGGACCGTGTGTAGCACCTAACCACTCCATCTAGCAATTCTGAGGCTCTGAGGCCGGTCGGAAATCCGGGCCCTTCCCCGTCAGCGGGTTCCAGGCACGGCAGTGAAGCCGTAATAGTAGTCAGTCTTTGGCCGAGGCCGGGTGACTGAGAAAGCCCACGAAGTCATGGGCCGGCCGCAAGCCCCTCGAGGAGGGCCTACGGGGCAGAAAGAAAAGAAAAGAAAAGGAGCAGAGAGTGTAGCAATGTTAGTCGGGGTTCGCCCCGATGGCGATTGTCTTCTCCCGCAGGAGCGTTCGATCCGGGCCACTTCGTGGTCATGACAGTCGGCGAAGTCCCCGTGCCTACTCCTCGTAGCAAGCAGGTGGTGGAGGTGTTGTCGATTGGTGTGCAGCTCCGGGGGCACCGGGTGAGGCCTTGAGCTCTAGGCTCTTGTAGCTCCTCAGGGCCCCGCGGCCCACCAGTCCAGAGGAAGTCGTGGCCGCTGGGCGGCAGCAGGCCGCAAGGCAGCAAGGTCGGGGCCGCGAGACGGCAGAAGGAGTCAGGCCGCAAGGCGGCAGAAGGCGAGGCCAGCCGGTAAAGGCGGCAGAGGGTGCGAGGCAGCGCGAGGCGTGCCAGGAAGGGCGAGAAGAAGTCGGGCCGCGAGGCGGCAGAAAAGGTCGGGGCCGCGATGCGGCAGAAGTCGAGGCCAGCCAGTAAAGGCGGCAGAAGGCGAGGCAGCGTGAGGCATGCCGTTATTCGAGACCAGCTTCCCAAGAGGAGACGAACTCTCCAAAGTCTGCCTTTTGGTGCTTGCTAGAGCCCCGTTAGGGCTAGAGAGGCAGAAGCATGGTCGGGTGACCTGAAAATAATTATCCACTAACAGGCTGCTAACAGCCCGCAGAAGAGAAGAATTTTTACAGGGGAGAGTTGTATATGCACAACAGGTTACGCTATGTGCACATCAAAAAGTGGAGTAGTGTGGCTTGGTGGCGCAGGAGCGCCGATACCGCACAGGTGACCGGCCCCTTCCAGGGCCCGCCAATGCCTTGAGGAACGGAACTGGAGTTGGGCCGGGGTTGCAGGGGAGAAGGCATGTCTGAGGTTACCACTAAATTGGCCGCCTACGTTACTCCTAAGGCGGCCCGCCGAGGGCCCAGCCAAGGGGTAATAAATTTATCTAAGCATGTATAGCACACACTCTCTACCTTACTCAACCCTTCATGAGCCTTGAAGCTGATATATCATCAGAGTAATCTCTCACGCTGCTTCTGCGTATCGCTGCCTTGAATCGTATGCCCGTCTCGTTTCTAAAGCCAGTTCCTTGAGTCTCTGCATTCCATCAATTATAGCCTGATCCAGCCTGTTGCCGATGAAATCCTGGGGTCGTATGGGACTGAGAAGTTTGATACCTTGAAGCGTTGTACACCTAGATAGTTGTACATAAAGACTGGTAAAATCGCATTTGGAAGGCTCACCGTTTATTACGCGATTTCCTCGCAGCTCCAAGAGTACTTCCAGGAATGTTTTCCCTTGGGCCTTGTAGTCAGTAAGGACAAATGCCGGTGCAACGGGTAATCCGCGTCGCGTACATCTCGCCGACAAGAACCTGAAATGGGAATTGGTCGGGTCGAGGGTCTGTGACATGGGCCGGATGAGTACTGTTCCCGGTGGGAGGGCGGGGATAGCCAAGTCGTCTGTCTCTTTTGACTGAAGTAGTATACCTAACGGTGGTCCGAAGTGGACAGTGACGTCGTCTGCAAGGTGGTAGCCTGGGTATCTAGGGTCGGGGATGACGTCCGCAGCGGCAAACTCTGCTCCATTCACCACCTTTAGACCAATATAGATGTTCTTGTTCACAACGACAGGCATGCCTTGCGCGTAGAAAAGGGCTCCGGGAACTTTGCAGCTAGAGTCGTCTCCTTGTTAGATGGTCCGGGCGATCAGCTCTCGAGACAGCGTGCCACTTCGCCAGGTGTGGGCCGAGATGAAGACGGATATATGTCCAGCGCTCCTAATAGTGCGCTAAACGGTCTGCACTATTAGTGCACACTGCAGTTTGCACTGCTTAGTCAGCACACTGCCAGTGCAGTGTAACCGTTTGGCAACGCACTGCTGGTCCAGTGAGGCCTCCCCCTCCACACTGCTGGTTCAGTGAGGCTTCCCCCCGCCACACTGCTGGTTCAGTGCGGCTCCCGTCAAACTGCCCCATAGTTCAGTGCGAGCGTCGCGCACTATCAGTGTCACCATCAGTGTGACGAGTGTGACTTGTCTAAACTTGGACGTTTGACCATTAACGTAATTCCTGGCCTACTTACAACGAGTCAATCGCTGATTAAACGGCGGGATGCGTTCTTGCTCAATTTTACAAACCATCTAGCTCTTACGAGATATCAAAGTGTTGCCAGGGCAGAACGAGCCTCTGCGTAGCTTTCATCTCATGTCTTTAGGGTAGCATCTGGTCACACTTCCCATACTCTCTGCTAGGCAGAACTTGACGTTGAAGCCTTTTCTCAGTTCACCTTGCCCCCCGCCGACAAACACGAAACAGACGCGACAGGGTAAAAGCAGATCAGATGTGCAATATTTATTGCGCTCTCCAATCGCCAGACCGCTTCACGATCACTGAATTTTACCGCTCGACTAGTCTTGATGAAGCAAGCCACCGGCTTCCAATCATCCAACCTTGAGGGATGTGATTGGACGTCAAGCTCATTCTGGGACGCCCGATTTTGGCCTTAATCTGACCAACTTGACCAACAGGTGAGGCAACCCATCAGGGGTTGCGCAAAGAGCCTTGAGGAACGAAAGTTTGAGGTTGGAGTTAACATGGTGGAAAAGAGTGCAAGTTCAAGATGAGGCAGGAAATGCAAGTGATGATGCAGGTAATGAAGCTGGGATGCGTGAGGAAATTTTGGGACGTACCGGCAGTAGTTGCTGCACGGAGGTTAGGTTGTGTAAAATATGCGGAACAAAGGTGGGAGTGAAGAGCCATGCTAGAATGTTATGCAGTAGCACACAAAGGCATGCGTGCCGAGGGAAGGACGACAGACGCGAAGAGTCTGGAAGCAAAGCGGGACGGCACCAGAAGTTGTGGATGGAGTGTTGCTACATAGGTAGTAGCTGGGTTCACATTTCCGCTGACGAGTAGGCTTGGGATATTGGACTGTTCTATCCGCTGAGAATATTGCACAAAACTTTATGCGATGTAGTTATTCCACTACCCCAAGTTCCATCTTGGTTGGATATATTGCGAGAAACTAATAGGTGATGTAGTTATTCCATTTCCACAAGCTTCTTGCTTGGATGCCGACCTCGATGTGGTCGGGCGGGTGCTTCTGATGGGCATGCGACAATCGAATCAAGTGCAGGCCCTGAAGCGTTCCCGGAGGCAGGACGCTGGTTGGTTGTTTCCGTCTCGGAAGAAGAGGAGGCAGCTGAAATGGAGAATGGTTGAGTGGCAGACCTTCCATCGTCGGCCGACGAGGAAGGGTTCAGGGCACGCCGCAGCACGCGGGGCCTCTTGGTCGGCGTGTCGGCAGACTCAGGATAGGGACGCTTCTGCGGCGGGGTAATCTGGCCGGCTGAAGCCGAAGTTGAAGCCGAAGGGGGAGGAGTCCGCGGGAGGGCGCCAGGCCCTGCGACGGAGTAAGAGGATCAACGACATATGGGTGCGGGCACGAGGGCTGCTGCCCCGGAGAATCTCGTGCCTCGTCGATAACGTGCAATTGCTTCGGCGGTCGGCCGAAGACGCCAGGCGCGATGCCAAGCAATGGACAGCATCATCCGGCGGCGGAGATCACACGGGCGCACATGTCGAGGAGGTCGACGAGGCGGGAGGGGGTCAGGCGGACGAAGAGACCGCATCAGTGTACCAATCCAGGGACGTCGGAAACGCTACGCGTCTCATCGACGTCATTAGAAGTGCAGCCGACGCGAACCAGATCACGGCGGGATCGCCGGAACTTACAGCAATGATGCAGCAACTCGGCCGCGTCCAGCAATCAGCGCTATGCTCAACGGCCGAGCTCCAGGCCACCGCAATGCTCGAACGTGGGGAGAGGCGGATAAACATGCCAGGGCGAGTGATTTCCGGGGCCGCAGTACCGCCACAGGATCAGGTTAAGGCTATAAAGTCCCAGCAGACATGTGCCTCCAAAGAGAGGGTGAAATTGATCCAGGGCATACAAAACATAGCCGCGGCCCATGGAACCGATCGTGTGCAGCGGCGCGAAGCATGCTCACCGGTTTCGGGGACGGGGACATCCAAATGGCGGGGGGCCGGGGGCGGACTTGGAAGAGACGGTAGGCGACGCAGAACCCAGTGTGGAAGTTCGCCTCGGCCCATTAACTACTTTCCTTGAGACTGGCAAAGATCTGGTGGCACGGTTGACATTGAACCGGAAGTAAGCGATTGCTTTCCTGATACTGTGCCGCCAGCTCGACCTGATTCATCGTGCCGTGACCTAAAGGCGCGCTCAAGCAAGGCCAGCTGTAAGTTGATGCGGCAAATTGAAGCTGGCCGAGATGCATCAATACATACAGTAGAGGCACATTCTTAGAGTCGTACGGAGCGTCCTTTCGTCAATTAAAAGGCGATGGCAATGACGGTAGCTATAAGAGGCCTTCCTTATGTAATTCCTCCCTTAAACACTCCTCTTCCTCCATCTCCTCGTCCATCATATCAAAATCGGCTAGGGGGTCATCTTCATCCTCTGTATCCTCTTCTTTGTGACCGCGATGGGTTGAAGGCATCGTAATCCGCTGCGTATTCCACTGCGTAGCCTGCTGCGTGGCCTGATAACAGTGAATTGTGCCCTGCGTCTCGCCTGCGCCGGCAAGCTCATTGTCAGAGTCAGGCGTGCGGTGCCGCTGATATGCCCGTGGCATCTCTGTGCCTGGCTCGTATGAGTCGCCATTAGCGTAAATGTATTCCAACGCCTGCCTCGTCACATCGGCGGCGTTAACAGCGGTGCTGCTGCCCCTGCCCCTGCCTTTGCCGCCAGCCTTGCTGTCAGCCTCGTGTTTTTTCGTGCTTGTGAGTGCCGCCGGCGCTGTTGACAGCGGTGGCCTTATAGCCTCGGCACGCTCGATCCTCTCAACGATCTCATGTGCAGAGGGTTTACGCCTTGTGCTGCAGGCACCTTTCTCGAGGTTGGATGAGCCCTTTGGCCGGCCTTTACCGCGTACGGGTAGTGGATCGAGTGGAGCGTCGTTAGGGCTCGAGCCCCGAAGCTGCCGCTCGCGATGCCAGAACTCGTCAACGTCGGTCATTTCGAAAGGAATAGCGCCACGGGCACCAACGCCGGCGCCACGGGCACCAACGCCGGCGCCACGGGCATCCTTGAGCCGCTTGAAGATATCGTGACGGCATGGCAAGCCAAGGCTGGACTTAAAGCTACAGTGATGGAGAGGATCACAACTGCCAGGCGGCGGCTGCTGTGCCCGGTCATCTGTAGCAACGTTTCTGCCCACAGCACGGAATTCGATCCCTATTTTCCGTACCGCCCAGGAAGAGAGATTTGGCCGGATTTTCGCAAAGATCGGCTGAAGGGTAGAAGTTGATACCTTATGTATAGCCGCCTGCTGTAAATTGAGGATCTCGTCTGACTGATGCTCCCAGAAGGCTTGGAAACGCTGCAAAACGGAGGTCAAATCACCTGTCGACGACCATAGGAACTTCTTCATCGTGGCATGCATGCCCTCAAGGATAGACGTCGTCGTACGGCCAAGATGACGGTGACGGTCAACGCAATATAACACAATTTTATCCTTCCAGAGCTTGAGCCATGTATTTACCGCATAATCCACTGCCGCCTTTGGGTGATGGTCTGGAGCCGTGAACGCCTGAAGTCGTATATCGTATGTAGCTTCATCAGGCGCGTTGATGAGCTCGTTCCACTCTTTCAGGAAGGCCGTGAATGTAGGGGCACGGATAACGCGGTTGCCGTCCTTTGTTGCCTTAGGAAAGTATTGCTTGCTTTGGGCAAGAACGTTCTTGTTGATATGCCAGCGGCATAATAAGTGAATTACTGGTGCAAGCTCTGAGAAGGAAACAAGGGCGTTCATGAGGGCAAGCTCACGGTCAGTGACTATGACCCGAGGCAATGGAATGCCTTCCTCTGCTGCTAGGTCAAGTAGGCATTGCAGCGCCCAGCGGTATTGCGGCTCTGCCTCTCCGCTAAGGAAGACAGAGGCTACAGAGAAGGTCTTCTTTTCTGAGGTTGATCCACACGTATTGAGAAGAGGCATCTTGAACCTATTGGTCTTGTACGTGCAGTCCAAAAGGAGAATATTTGGAAAACGCCGCCAAAGCTCAATGCCGGTGCGCGGTGCGATGAAGAGGCCGGTCAGCCGCCCTTCCTGGTCGCGTGTATCGCGGAAGAAGAAGCCGAGGGATAAGTCCTTGAGCTGATCGTAGAGGAATTGAAGGGCGTGCGGCCAGCGAGCTCCTGACGCGGTAGGCAGCAATAGCGTTGCGGATATGCTGCCCGTTATGAACTTAAGGTCGGGGTTCTTGATGAGGGCTAGGCCGCGCAGGTGGGTAGCAATTTGGAACGGCTTGAGACCAGTATTATAGAGGCCAACGATATGACCGTGATGCTCGGCGATGAGCTCTGCGCGATAACCACTGTGCGTGACAGCAGGCGTAAAAGGGTGGTCGTGGTCGCGTGAGGAGGGAGACGGCACTGGGGTCCAGGCGCCACTAGTACGGCTCTTCTTAACGGTTAGGCGGAAGGGGCATCCTGACCTCTGCGTGGACTGATTAGGCCGGCTTTTCGTCTTGTGGGCGCCCGGGTCAGTGTTATCGCGATACTCGCCTGCCTTTGAGCAAGTCATATAGCAGGCGCTGGCCCTCCCCGATCGTATGACTAAGGCGAAGCCTTGGGCCTTGGCGACGGCGTGACAGGCAGCTTGGGCAGCCTCTTTGGTATCGAATTCGCGGCAATAAACCGACTCCATAATACTGGCGGTGGAAGCGACGCCGGTTGCAATACGTGGTGTTTTGAGGGCAAAAATCGCACTAAGATGCGATACGTACTTCGCAGAGGTGGAAGAGCCCTTGGGCCAGTTCAAATTTGCGGTATCGGCGCTCCTGCGCCACCAAACCACACTACTCCACTTTTTGCTGTGCACATAGCGTAACCTGTTGTGCATATAAGCACTCCCTTGTATTCTTACTTTCTTGGCACCATCTGTTAAGGACTTCGCTGTACACAACACACATCCGCTAACAAGGGCGTTTAACACCACGCTCAGCGCAAGCTGAGGGCGGCGATGGCACCCAACCCCGCGGACCAGGCGCGACTGCCGCCCCAGGAACAAGAGCCGATGACTCCACGAACGCCCCAGGAGCTAGAGAAGCGCTCCTCCGGCAGGCCCCACGCGCGGGTCTTGCCGAATTACTGTTGCCACGACGCGCACAGCAACCCGACGACTCTCCATTCGGCTCCACGAACAGCGACAATGCCCACACCGACACCGACCAGCCAGATGCTGTAATGGGAGACGCAGCAGACGAAACCGAGACCGACGAGCCGGACGACCTGCCCGAGACTCAAGGCCCAGCAGTAACGGTTGCCCACGCGGCAGAGAGACTTATCGCCAACCAGATGGAAGCACAACAGGCAAAGCTGGCCGTCTTCCGCGCATTCTGCACCGCCTTCGACAAGACGGCTGCCCAGTTCAACTCGGGCCACGAGCTCAGCTTCGCGAAGGAATTCTCGCGCGGCTTCATTAGCTACTGGGACGACGCGCTCAACGGCGCGCCCACACGCGCCGGTCAGAATGTCAACAACCGCCACGGCAGAGACGGGACCGCACCGACCTACGCCGCTATGGCCCAGAAGGGATGGCACAGACAAGGGCTCCCCTGCCGGCACGCCTCGGCCCGAAGCCCCGGAAGGCGCCTCCGGTCCAGCCGCCTAAAGATGACCTGCGTGTCTTCGTGCGGCTCGACGACAAGTCCCCAGCATGGGGCTATCAGGGGCATGCCATCAGAGCTCACGTAGCTAAGACTCTCAACCTAGGGACAGAACGCATGCCACAGATCGCCCGGGTTAAGACTGGATGGGCTATACGGGCCTCAGACCGGGAGGCGAGGGACCTGCTTGTGGAACGGCAGGACGACTGGGCGGCCCGCCTCGGGGCCGTGGCGGTTGAAGGCTTCCAGAAGTGGCACACGTACGCTGTGGCCGACTGCCCCAGGCAGCTCACGGATATCTGGGGGGCCGCCGTGGACTATGACCAAGCTATCAAAGAAGAGATCAAGCTCCAGACAGGTGCCGAACCAATTGATGTGCACATTGCTAAGAGATACTCCGAAAGCTCCGACCAGCCCACTGTGACAATGATTGTGTCCTTTCAGGCGGCGATACAGAGGAGATGGCGGCTCTTCGGCACCAGCCGACTAGCCCGACTGATCGCCAAGACCGCCCGGCCGCGCAGTGCGACACCTGTTGGGATTATCACCCCGCTACGCCTGCGACCGAAAACAAGCCTGCCGACGATGCGGCGGGAAAGACCATCGCGATAACGACTGCAAGCAGCCGGAGAGGTGCGCGAACTGTTCCGGGCCCTTCCCGGCAGACCATAAGGAGTGCCCTGCCAGACCTAGGCGCTCTCACGGCCAACTCGTGCGGCTCTCCAAGATCGAGAAGTACGCCGTAAGGAAGATCGGCTCTCAGCTATACCGGCAAGCCAATATGGAGCTCGAACGGGCCACGGCGACCGCCTCCCCCCAACCCTCCCAAGGACCGACCCCATCGCCCTGCATGAGAGCTGCCGAGGCCCGCCTAGGCAAGCAACAGGACCAGCAGCAGCAACAGCAGCAGCAACAGCAGCAGCAATGTCGACCCCAGCGGCTGTCCCCCACCAGCGCGCAGGCGCCAGACTCCACAACGCTCCTCCACCACAGGAAGACAGATCCGAGTCTCCTATGAAGAGGCGCCGACGAAACGTATCCCTGGACCCCTATGAACAATAGGCCCCCAACACTAACAACTCGCGACAGGAGGACGATCCGAGTTCTCCAGGCCAACGTGGCCAAAATAGGGGCCTATCATAGCATAGCCCTACGACTAGCGGAAGCAGAAAACTACGACGTCGTGCTCATCCAGGAACCGAACGTTTGGATAGAAAAGAAGGCGGAGCCTGCAGGACCCAGACGCACCGCTCCTTCCACGCATTCGCCCCAGAACGCGCCTGGGAACCGGATCAGGCCCGAGAGTGATCTCGTATGTCCGGAACCACCCAGATATACGGGCAGAGCAACTCTGCCCCGCCCTACGCGTGATATCCTGTGGCTCCGGGTAAACAGCACCCTTATTATCAACTTCTATCGACACGCGAAGACACCCGAGCCACTCGACTACCTCCTCCACCAGCAGGACGTCCCCGAGAGATGCCTCATCGCGGGCGACTTCAACGCCTGTCATTTCTCCTGGCAGCCTGGAGCCCGGAGTGCGAGGAACGGAAAGGACATCGCCCAGTGGGCGGCCGACAAGGGGCTCGGACTGCTCACCACGCCAGGCGAGGCCACACACGCCCGCGGAAATACCATTGATCTAGCCTTTGCCAATATCCCTCTGCGGACGCGCTTATCGAAGAGCACCTTCATACCGGCTCGGACCATTACACGATCAGCATTACGCTCCCCGGCGGATTCCCCAAGGACGATAGCTAGACCAAGGGTAAGCTCCGAGGAAGAAATGAAGCGATTCGAGGAACTTGTGCGGGCTGGGGCCACAGCACTACCCCGGCTGGCCGTTGAGCCCAGAGGCCTGGAGAGGCTGGCCGAGGCGCTGTCTCGCCTACTCCAAGAGGCGGCCGACGCAGCGGGCCGACGGCCCAGGAAGAACGCGAGAGGCACCCCATGGTGGAACGATCAGTGCGCGGTGCAGCGGCCGAACTAAGAGCTATGCGGCGGATCTACCCCACAGGGCACGGCAGAGAGGTCCAGACTGCCCGGCGGGAGCTGCGCCGGGCGGTACGGCGGGCTAAGAGACATTTCTGGCAGACTGTTCTAGAAGGCGCCGAGAGCAACCAGGATATCTATAAGATCATGCGGTGGTCGAGGAAACCGAGCCCGTTCCGGGCCCCGCCTATACAGGTAGGCGACCAGGTCTTCGAGACCCAGACGGAAAAGGCAAACGCGCTCCGAGTCGAGATCCTAGAAAGGCGCGGGGCCGCGGACGACATCCCGGACCCCTGGGCCCCAGAGGTGCTGGCCCCAGGAGGACTCTCGACTGCAGCGTCACGCTCGCGGATGCGGCATGCGCCTGCACCTCTACGGGCAACACCTCCCGGGGATCGACGGCATCACGGTCCGAATGCTGCGTCGCGTCTGGAACCACATCGGCGAGGCGGTGAGGGAACTATATGAAGGCTGCCTACACGTGGGCTACCACCCCGCCTGTTTCCGCGCAGCAGAGGTCGTAATGATCCCTAAGCCTGGCAAGAGGGACCTGTCTATTCCGAGAGGCTGGAGGCCGATTTTCTCCTAGCTTGCCTCGGCAAGGGACTCGAACGCCTAATAGCCCGGCGCCAGCCTGGGCTGCGATCACACAACGAGTCATCCACAGCCAGCATGCGGGTGCCCTGCCCAAACGTTCAGCGCTCGACCTAGCGCTAGCATTGCTCCACGACGCGGAGACGGCCCTCACCGAGGGGAAAGTCGCCACGCTAATCACGATGGATATACAGGGCGCCTTTGACACGGTTCTGCGGAACCGGCTCCTCCTACGCCTACGGGAACAGGGCTGGCCAACAAACCTGGTCCGGTGGGCAGGCTGCTTTATGGAGCAGAGATCGGCCAGAATACGGCTCGAGGATATAACGACGCCGACAACCCCCCTGACGTGCGGGCTGCCACAGGGCTCCCCGGCCTCCCCGATTCTCTTCCTCCTCTATACAGTGCCCATCTACTCGACAGGGGAACCGAACTCGCGCTTCGGCTACGCAGATGACGTGGCCACCCTGATCCGGGGCCGGTCCCTACAGGAGACGGCCGCCCGGGCCACGCCGCGGGTGAGCTCATCCAGTGGGGAGCCGATAATGGCGTAGTGTTCGACCCGGGCAAGACAGAAGTCATCCACTTCACGAGACCGAGATACAAAGGGGACCTGCCGTCGGTCTGGCACGGGTCCGTAGAAAGGAGCCACAGCAGGACCTGCGCTGGCTCGGCGTCTGGTACGACAGAAAGCTCTCATTCCGCACGCATGTGGAGAAGTGGGCCGCGAAGGCGATGACGGCCGCAGGGTTCCTCCAGAACCTCTCAAACACCCGGCGCGGAATCCTCCCGGTCGACACGGCATGCGGTCACGGCCTGCGTCCTCCCGATCCTTTATACGGCGCCCATGTATGGTACCCGGGGCGCTTCGGCCTGTGTGGGGACTGCCCGCTTAGTTCCGTCGCGGATCACCTACCTGAAGAATAGGATCCAGCTGACCTTAAACGTCGCAATGCGCGCTATCGCGCCCGTCTGGTGTACCATGCCGATTGTGGCCCTCCACCGAGAGACCGGCATCCCCCCTGCCACGCTGCTCCTCGCAGACGCCCAGAGACGCGCCGCGGTCCGTCTACGCTCCCTAGATGAGCGGCACCCCTTGACCCCCCGTATGAGCATCCTCCCAACGCCTGGCCGGGAGCTAATGAAGAGGCACGGTATGCGGGCCCCTCGCGCGGCCCAGAAGCAGCACGCCTCGAGACTCCTGCGTCTTCACCAAATGACGGCCCATGCCCGAGGCCCCGACTTCTCCCCAGCACCCCTCAGCCCGACCCGACAGGGGCGTAGACAAAACGCAGGCGGCTCGAGACTTCCACTCGTGGCTCCGGGTATGCCCTGAAGATACCCTCATCGTCTACACTGACGGCTCGCAGAGCGAAGACGGCGCCTGCGGGTATGGGTACTCAGTGTGGCTAGGCCCCAGCGAAGTGACCTACGGCAGCGGTCGGGTCCTACTCGCTGAGGTCTACGACGCAGAGGTGGAAGGCGCCCTCGAGGGGCTTCGAGCGGCACTCACGTGGTCCCCCAGAACCCCGGACCAGCAGTGGCCGATAGTCGTCTGCCTTGATAACACTGCGGCTATAAGAGCCATACGAGGCAGCCCATCGATCTCGTCGCAAGCGGCTGCGGAGAAGTTCGCTGAGGCCGCGGCTCGACACGGAGATGTCAGCACGCGTTGGTGCCCCGGCCATACGGGGATCGCCGGCAACGAGCGGGCCGACCAGCTAGCAAAGGAGGGCTGCCGGGCCGAGGGTCCGGACAGATCGCCGACCTACGCGAACATCAAGAGACAGGCCAAGGCTGCGGCCAGGCGCGACTTCCAGGACTGGTGGGCCGCGGGGCCCCGAGCAGCTACAAGAGCCTAGAGCTCAAGGCCTCGCTCGGTGCCCCCGGAGCGGCACACCAAACGAGAGCACCTCCATCACCTGCTCGCTGCGAGGAGCGGGCACGGGGACTTCGCCGACTACCACGAGAGGTTTAACCACGAAGAGGCCCGGATCGAATGCTCTTGCGGGAGGAGAAAATCACCGACACACCTTCTACTGCCGGAAGGTAGGTACTCGACACCGCCTAAGGCCAGCCCCACGGCGGGCAAGGCTATCAACCAGGCACTAGGAAGGGATTTGACCGGTTCCTCGGGCTAGTAACGGAGGCAGAATTCTTTGATCGGATCTGCCACCGCCACTAGCTCGAGGCAACCTCCAACCTAATATGTACAACTCTCTTTTCTATGTTTTCTGCCCGTAGGCTCCTGTGGGCCTACGGCCCAGCTGACTGCGTGGGCTTTCAGTCACCCGGCTCTGACCGAAGACTGACTATTACGGCTTCGCCGCCGTGCCCGGAACCCGCTGACGGGGGAAGGGACCTGAGAATCCGAGCGGCCACAGAGTCCAAGAATTGCTAGATAGGGGAGTAGAAGTAAGGAACGCGCGACGGGTCTCCGACGAGCATCCCCATCTTGTACTATACCTAGCCTAGCACGTCTTTTGCCCTTATAGGGATGTCCCAGACGGTAATCAATACTACTACTACTACTACTACTGTTGTGCATATAACTAGTCCCTAAATCAACCAAAACACCTGGAATCATTTGAAATCAATCGGAGTCGTCTTCCTCAGACATTTCCACTACTATCTCACAATTTCGTGCGTTATGTCCTGTCTTGCCACAGACGCCACAGCGCTGTTCCTTCACTACTCTCCTCGACTTGCGACCGCCATTTTGCCTCATTTCCTGCCTCAACTGCGCATCCATCTCGTTCTGAGCCTGCAGATCCTGTCCTCGGATAGTGTCATGCTCCCTCCTTTCGGAGACGCGACTTTTGGCCTTTCCACGCCGGCTGAGTATCTCATTCTCCTCTCGAAGGATCCGGTTTTCAGACTTAAGCAGGGCAATCTGATGCATGATTCCCGCGCCCCTTCGAAAGCCGGTCGACAGCTTCATAAATAGATGTCGGCGAGCTATTCTGATGACGAGAGATTCGCCCCTTGATAAAATCCGTCTGGGAGCTCGCTTCAGTCAGGTTGTTTGGCGTCTTAGAAACCCAGGGTTCGGGTCTTCCGTGACCCTCTTCCGAGGGTGTCGGCGTCCGTGGCTTCACATCCAGGCGGGAAATCACAGCGTCAGGGTCAAGCGGAGCAATTCCTGCCCCTCGAAAACCTGACTGGATGTTCTTTCTGTCATTGCCTCCTGGAATGCCGCGAAAAACGCGGGAAAGAAGTCCTCTTTGGTGATGTGGCTTGTACCGGCCCTCATCTTCTTCTCGATTTGCCGGCCATACGCTTGCTTGAGCGGGCCAAAACATCCAACATCCAGAGGCTGGAGTATATGAGAAGAATGAGGAGGCATACAGAGCGTGACGATGTTGTTCCCCTTGCAGTAGAGCTCGAAGTCCGTCGAGTGGTGACTTTCATGGCCGTCAAGGATGAGGAGGCGATAGTTGGCCGAAGAGCGCGGTTTGGTGTGCCTGTCAAAATGTCGAATCCATTCCAGGCCTCTCTCATTTGTGGTCCAACCGTTATCAGACGTGGAGATCACCCAGTCTCGCGGTATATCGCTGTCCTCGTACCAGGTCGAGAGGTGGCACTTGCCCGAAACAATGATGAACGGTGGGTAGGGGTGATATACGAAGGTGAATTTTTTGAAGATTTTGAATGAAGGATGAATCAAATGAATTGAATTTTTGGGATCTCGATTCAAAATCTTCAAGCTCCAATTTTCGCGATTCAAGTTGGGTTTGGGCCAATTCAGGCCATTCATGAATGGTTTGAAGGGATCCCTAAACGAAGTGAATTTGGTGTGTACCTAAGCGATTGCAAAATACCTCAAAACTCCAATAAGTAGTATATAGTTTTATAGCCCTCTGAGAAGTGTCTTGATAATCCCGAATACCACAAAAATTAACTTACATAAATACTGATCCGCATGTCCTAGGCAAATCGCTGAAAATAAGCACTTTCAAAAGCTCTGCCGAATCCTCAAAATGCGTCGGTACAACGCGTTCGAATCGCCATTGTGCACGGTTACACACTCGTAGAGCCTCAATCCTCCGAAGCCTCCATTGTACCTAGACAAGGGGTTGATATCGCAGACTTATTGGCTTGGGAAGCAAGAGGTTTGGGGGTGGGAGGTTCGGTGGGAGCCTCGGTAGGACCCTCGGTGGAACTTCCGCCGGAGCAGGGGGTTTAGGAGGAGGATTCTCGCCTGAACGCAGATTAGCATTACACACAAACAATGAGGGTATATTCATACCATTTACCAGCATTCCCGGAATGTGGTCTGGTCTCCAAATAATACTATTAGCGAAGGGCAAGATGTCATACTCCATGGCCGCCTTGATCAACGCCTGATCGATCTTATCTTCCTGAGTATAAGCACTCCGTAGAAGTGTTAGTACTCGCGCTGTATCTGCCTTCAAAGCGTGACGGCGGATACCGAATTCGTCTCTACAACCACTGAAGAGGCGTTCCACGTCAACTTCAGAGCCAGGGACAGAGAGGAGATCACGCGCCGCCGCAGCCAAAGTGGCCACTCCTCCTTGTGTTCTTTCCACCACTTCCGTAAGAAGTCTGGAGACTTTGCAATAGACTCGTCGAACTCTATTCGGGAAGTTGCAAACCACCGTTCAAGCTCCGAAATAGGGATCGCCGCGCCCGCCTCCGCCTCCTTCGCCTTCTTCATTTGGATGGCTCTCCACTGCGCAATGGAGACTCCTTGAGGACGCTCAGCTGGTCTGGATTGGCTCATAGATGAGTTTGTGGCATCCAATGTTGCTAGCTCCGGCCACTCCGTTCTGAAATACTTCTTGACTTTAGCCATAATCTCAGAGTATTGATCCGGTACCATCATTTCTAGTTGGTGAGCTTTATACCGCGGATCCAGGATGTGAGCTGCGAATAGCATCATTTGATCGTCAAGCTTCTTCATATATGTAACGTGTTTTGCTTTGCCCTTCGAGAAGGTGTTTCGAATGGACATATCAAGGTCTGAAAAGTCGCCAACCCCTTCGACTACATCATCAAGGAGAGCTTCCAAATCCCAATAGATATCGAGACTTTGTGAGATCTGCGGCATAGCTTCGGAGACTTTCAGAGTGTGGTCTTTAAACGGCTTCAGAACCTTCCGTAGTTGATAGAGCGCGACAATCTCTTCCGATAAGGGCAGGAGGCACTTGACTTGCTGGTGAGTATCAACGAACTCGGTATATGTGACGGTACAAGTGCACGAACAAGGTCGGGTGCGACTTGGGTAAAGTGATTGTCTACGAAGAGAGAAGGAGGTTCCTAAGGAAGACTCTGACTTTCGCTATTTACATGAATCAAAGTGAGACATTTCATAAAGTATGAAAGTCACATGATCGTTCCTCACACATGGGCCTCCCTTACTCCATCGCTTCTGATTCTTCCACGTCTTGCTGAGCCTGTAGGCGAGCATTTTGCACTTCTTGTTTCGTGGGTCTGGGTTTGTTTTTGCTGTGCTTCTCGAAGTCTCTGATGGCGATGTGAGCGTTGACGACGTTGTGTAGTGGTTCCCATGTTGCCTGCTCAAGGTCGAAGCTCTCCATAGTATATGGTACTGGAAGCCTTTCTGTTTTGTGCGTTTCGAGTCCAGTATTGCTTCAATCGCCCAGAGTTTCTCCCTTTGCATCTAGCGTTATTGGTGGGGCGGTGTGTTGTATTGGCCGGGGAGCGGGTCGTTTGGTGACGGTCGTAGGAGGTTGGCGTGGAATGAATTGTGAATTGAGTCTAATTCATGTGGCAACTTCAGTTGGTAGGAGTGAGGTTGAGCACGCGCTCGATTCGAAAAGGGCCAATGAACTTATGATCTAGTTTGGGGATGGGTCTGGCCGAATCGATGTTGCGTGTGCTAAGTAGCACCATGTCTCCAACTCGGTACGCTGGCGCCGGTGATCTATTTGCGTTGGCGAACTGTTCTTGTGAGGCTTGAGCTGAGAGCAGGTTTGTCCGAAGTAGATCAGTGATTTCTTGCATCTTGGCGACAAATTCGTTCCCCTCGTTGCAGCGTTCTGCCAGGTCTTTGGATGCCGCGAGTGGTATTGCGCGAGGGGGACCAAAGCTCATTCGGGGGTGGTAGCCTGTGTTCGCAAAAAATGGAGACATTCCCGTTGAATCGCTAACAACGTTACGGGCTGCGAATTCGGCCAATGGGAGCCACTCGTCCCAGTCGTCCTGAGCAAAGCTACCATACTGGCGAAGGTATTGTTCGAGAAATGAGTTAGCGTTTTCCGTCTGGCCGTCAGTTTCGGGGTGATATGCTGTGGAGAGGCTGATATTGATCTGTAGGCGGTGGCAAACCGCTTTCCAGAATTCCGAGACAAACAGTGGTCCTCTATCAGATACGATTGAATCCGGTAGTCCATGGAGTTTCCAGACATCTCGTACGAAGAGCGTTGCCAAGTCATGTGCTTTCATGTCGGTCTTGCAAGGCGTGAAATGTCTGTCCTTTGACAGCCTATCGACTACCACCATGATTGCGTTGAATCCACGAGCTGTGCGCTGAATTGGGCCAATGAAGTCAACGGACAAGTCCCTCCATCTTTGCAAGGAACTGGGAGCGGTTTCAACGTCCCCTGGTACCGTAACCGGAGGTCTTGTTCCTCAGGCATCCGTGGCAATTGCGTGTGAATTGTTTCGTATCGGCGCTAAGCCTTGGCCACCAATAAGAGCGTGAAATGAGTTCGTATAGCTTGTTTTTCCGGGTGGCCTGATTCGACGCTGTCGTGGGCGAGTTGAGTGAGAAGGGTCCGTAGTTCGCCTGCGGGTACGTATAGCCTCTCTCGGAAATATAATCGGCCTTCGTTTATCATGCATTCCGATAGAAACTTCCTTCGAGTGAGGAGTGCCATGGGGTTTGAGCATCTCGTCCTGATTTTCATCCACCATTCGTCCTCCTCATAGCCCTTGTCTAGAAGTCTTGTGATTCTGTGGTTGATTGGTTCTGGCTGAATTTCGTCAAGAATGGCGGGACATAGTGCAATTTCTTGTTCCCAGGAGAGATTGGCAAAGAGTTCTGAGAGCTCGGGGTCAAGCTTTAGTTGTTCTTGTACGGAGGAGTCTACGTTGCAAGGCTTAAGCAGCGACTGTTGTTGGTACTGGATGCGGTCGTCATTTTCATCTTTCGGCAAGTCTTGTGATCTTCGTGTGAGTGAGTCAGGTTTTCCGTTCTCTTCCCAGGCACTGACTTGATAGCGAATTGGAACTGTGATAGGAATTCGCTCCACCTGACTTGTCGTCTTGAAAGTTGCTTGGTTGTCATGAAATATCGAAGGTTGGCATGGTCAGTGATGACTGTAATCTGGTGGTGCGTGCCTTGGAGTTCGGGTCTCCAGCATTCGAAGCAGCGTACAATAGCCAAAAGTTCTTTGTCATAGATCTCGTAATTGCACTCAGCGGGGTCGTACTTCTTGGACATGAAAGCCACTGGGTGTAGCACCTTGATCATCTTCCTGGGAGAGGATGCCCGAAGAGACAAAATCGGATGCGTCGCATTCGACAAACACTTCTCTTGCGGGGTCGAAGTGTCTGAGGATTGGCGCTGAAGTGAAGCTATTTTTGAGCATATCGAATGCTTCTTGGCACGATGAAGTCCAGTTCCATTTGACTAGTTTCCGTGTCAGGGCAACAAGTGGTCGTACGATGCGTGAAAATCCCTTGATGAACCGTCTGTAGAAATTCGAGAATCCTAAGAAGGCTTGAACATCTTTGACGTTGATAGGGGCCTCCCAGTTGATGAGACAGTCGACTTTCTCTGGGTCCATCCGTACTCCAGTGGTTGAGATGATCATGCCCAGATATTTAACTTCAGTAGTCTCAAATTCGCATTTCTTGACGTCAAGTTGTAGGCCTGCGGCTTCAAGTGCTTGAAGTACTGATTTGACGTGGAGTCTGTGGGTGGCGAGGTCGTCTGAGTAGATGAGAATGTCGTCGATGTAGGCTGTGCAATATCTATCAAGGAATGGGCGTAAGACTTCGTTGATTCGAGCTTGAAAGGTAGCTGGGGCGTTTGATAGTCCAAAAGGCATCACCATGCTCTCGAAGAGACCATATCTTGTGTTGAACGCCGTCATCCACTCCTGACCCTCCTTGATGCGTATTCGATTGAACGCTGCGACGACATCGAGTTTGGTGAAATACTTGGCTTGGCTTAGCTGAGAAAGTGTCTCCTGGATTAACGGTAGCGGGTAGCGGTTCTTGATGGTTATCGCGTTAAGACCTCGGTAGTCCACGCAAAAACGAAGTCCCTCCTGGCTTTCAAATAACACCGGCGAGGCCGCCGGTGAGGTGCTAGCGCGTATAAAACCCTTGTCAAGGTTTTCCTGAAGGAATTTCCGGAGGACGAGAAGTTCGTCTTGGGACATCCCGTACAGAGGTCCATGTGGTGGAGTCGTTCCAGGTTGAAGTTCAATTTCGTGGTCGCAGTCTCGGTGTGGGGGGAGTTTATCCGCCTCTGATTGGTCGAATGCCTTCAAGAATTCATGGTAGTGTTGTGGTACTTTTGTTGCAGGATCGATCAAAGTCTTGGGTTCGAGGGCTTTGTGAATGTCTTCGAGTGATGCCCTGAAAGGTACATATCGGCTGCTATTTTCCGGGAAGCTCGGAGTTCCTGTGTTTGTTGGTCCTTGGGGTTAAGGGAGGTGATTCCGTCCTGTAGCTGGAGCTCTCGGTTCATCTTGTCCATGTCTGTGAGTGCAGAGTCGAATCGGACCCGTCGGCGTGTTTTAGGTTCTACGAAGGTGGAGG